CAGGACGAAACCCGAGACCACCACGCTCCACAGCATCCAGCACACGGCCTCCCAAGATCAGACCCTGCCACGTGGAGCAGCCCTTTGCGATGATCTTTGCCCTGACAAGGATTTCCCTGTCTTTCTTACCCGTCACGTCAGGGAAAGTCACCCTGATCACGGCCGCACCCTTCAGGTTGATAGGGGCGCCATTTGCAAGACCCATCACGACTTCTTCTTTTGGCCAACATTCCAGCTGCGCTACTGGGAATTTAGAGGAGTCAGCAGGGATATTATCCTTGAGAGCAGCTTTGATTGCGCCGACGATCAATTCTTCTGTCACAGAATTGCAGCCGGCACACCCGTCCAAGAGGCAACCCACATATTTGCCCAGGATCTTGACCTCTGTCTGGTACTGGTATCCTCCTTTACTGTTCTCTGTGGGTTTCCACCATCTCTTGGGCAGCTGGTCAAGGCTTATCAACTCGCTCCAAGACTCCAAGTCATGCAGCGGCCTTACGCGGTGGTTGTTCCCAGAGCGGTTGTTCCTGCTTCCTTTCTTCTCTCTCCACCCTGGCTGCTTTAACGCCTTTGTTGTCCAGACTGGGTCTTGGACTTTGGGCTGGCCATCCTCCAACACAGCCGTGTCAAAGCAGCTCATGAAAGGATTCCCCTTTGCGATGGGGACACTGCCTTTCCCTTCAACGCCTGATAGATCGGAGACATTTGGGAGTTGGAGTCCTGGACCTGCGCCACGCTGTGAGCCGCCCGGTCCTTCGTGCGAAAAAGGGCACTTCGAACCGCGGGTGCAACCCCCAGCGGTGTTGTAGAACCTGCACGGTTTCTTGTCCGTTTCCCCATGGGTCTCTTTCTTACCCTTGTCCTTTCCTCCTTTCTTTCCAGCTCCTTTTCCTTCCTTCTTCTGATCGTCTCGGTAGCTGCTGTGCTTGGAAGTTCTCTCCTGGCTGTTTCCCGCGGACTTCTTGTCCCGCAAGGCTTTCTTTCTGGCTTCATCGACTACTGCCTTGTCATGGACGTACTTGCAGTCCTTGCCCCTCGCGCAGGTCCCTCGATCCCGCATGTCAAAACAGACCTGCCTCAACTTACTGGCGTCGGCCGCCTCAGGGCCTTGAACCAGCACTTTGTCAGGCTTTTTCTCCTTCTTGGGCCGATCTTTGTTTTCCGGTCCATGGGTGAAAGTGCTGTTGTTCAACGCTCTTTGGCCTGCGTTGGTCTCTTCAATCTCCTTCACCACTTCGTGGGCCTCCTCCCAAGTCTCTACGCCCCGAAAGGCATTTCCTCCTTTCTCATCCGGCCGGAACCTTTTGTCTCGCCGGACATCCTTGGAGAGGTTGGGCCCAATTTTTCGCAAGTACTGGATCAGACCTTCCGTCTTGTTGAGGCCTAGCCCGATCCCATCACGATCGGCCAGGTGAGATTCCCAGCGCACTTCCCATTGGAATGCCGACAACTTCCCTTTTTCAAGAGCGTCTCCTTCTTCCAGGACTCTGATCTGCTTCTCTTCAGCGGTTTCTGAAAACAGCAGATGCTTACTTCTGATTTGATCATAAACTTGGCCCGGATCTTTTTGCACCAATCCCGTGGCCAGATGGCGGCGGTATACCAGCTCATACGTCTTCAGCCGATGCTGCTTCAAGCAGGCCTTCAATGTAGTCAGCTTTTCGATATCCGTCATTCCATCTCCGTCGTTGGCCAACCCGATGGTGGCCTCAAACGTATCATAGAATTCTTGGACTGAGCGATAGTCGCTGCACTCATCGTCCAGCATAGGCCAAGAAATCTTAGGCGTCACCTGGATCGTGGATCTCTTGCTCTTACGGGTCAAAGCTTCTGTCATGACCTTCGTCTGTTTTTCCAGTGCTTCAGCAAAAGCAGACGCGTCAAAGGCACGGCTTCCTTCTGAACGCACGTCGCCTTCGAGCTCCAGGAGGCGTTTCTTCAGCTGATCTATTTCTGAAATATTTTGGCCAAGTCGGGTTTCCCTTCTCGGCTCCCTTGACCTGTCCTCTCCGCGACAATTGTCCGCCGGAGTCTCCTCCCGCAGGTTTTTCCGCCGCGGAGTGGCCGTACCAGCTCCTTTAAAAGCGTCCACTCCCTTCTCTGGGGTCCCTTCGGTTGAGGAGAAAAGCTTTTGCGCAGACTTACTCAGCTGGCCTCCTCTTTCTTGGATCATCTCGAGCAGAACTGACACTCGTCTCTCATGCTCCTGCTCTTGCTCCTCTGGCGGTTCATCCAAAACAAGCTCTTGGAAGAACTCCTTCAGCAGGGCTAATTGGCGTTCCTCATCTGCCTCGTAGATCTTTTCCAAGTAGAGGGCGCGGATGACCCGCCGCTCCATTGAGGCTTCGTCCACTTCTTCTCCAAGCAACCCTAAGGCCTCCGACACCCGTCGCAACCTTTTTGCAAACCGGACTGCCGTTTCGGACCCAGGAGCGTAATCTTTCAGAAAGACTTCCTGCAACCGAACAAGAGACATATCACGGAACACGGACTCACCACCAACCGTGGAAGACGCAGCCGACCCGCCTGGACCTATGGCCGGTGGTTCGGCGCCTTGGGCCGCTCGAACCCCGCCTTCTGGTGCCCTGGCCAGGGTAGTGGGAGGTCTTTCTTCTTCTTCTTCTTCCTCCTCTTCCTCTTCTTCTGTCTCTTCCAAGGCACCCCCGGCCACAGCCAACTGGTCCTTCCATTCAGGGCCGTACAGCGCTTCCATCACGGTCCTCCACAACTGCGCCTCTTCTGCAGTCGTCGTGGTTCTTTCGTCATCTCCATGTCTCCTCTTGCTCGGGCGCTGCCCATCCCTGGCACGCCACGAGTTCCAATCTTGGTAGGTCAATAGCCCCGGCCTTGGGACTATACCTTCCTCGATTGCTTCCAGCAATGTTCGGTCAAACATTCGTACTTCCCGAGCCATGCTGGCGGTGAGCTATAGTAGCCTCGACCGCTACGGTACTTTCAGCTCAGTAGATTTCCCAGAACAGCCCCCAAACTGCGAACCAAAGAGTCAGGTCCCGCCAGTCTCACACCAGCCCAGAGATCACCCTTTGTCGCGCGGTCGGCTACTGCTCAGCCGGTGCCACAACCTTGCTTTGCAAAGCTGCAGTGAAACTGAGGTCACAGCTCACCTTGAGCCAAAAGTGATAGGAGCAAGCGGAGTACACTCAACGCGGCTCCTCAGTAGCCCTACAAACTGAAGGGGCAGACCGCTAGGCACTTTACACTAAGGGTTGGGTTCACAGATATTACATTTTATTATATTATCTTATATTATAATATAATATATTATATTATATTTTATTAAATTATATTATATTACATTATATTATATTATATTATATTATATTACATTATATTATATTATATTACATTATATTATATTAGATTATATATATATATATTGTATTATATTATATTATATTATATTACATTATATTATATTATATTACATTATATTATATTATATTACATTATATATATATTGTATTATATTATATATATATGTATTATATATATATACATGTAATATATATATATATATATTATCTAGTTGGTGGTTTCAACCCCTCTGAAAAATATGAAAGTCAGTTGGGATGATGAAATTCCCAATAGATGGAAACATAAAAAATGTTCCAAACCACCAACCAGATTATATTTACCGTGACTCCTCCTGTTGGGGGGTATAGTTCATTTTTGGGCAAACGACCTTATCGTTGTATGATGAATCTTTCATGATAAGCATCTTCAGCACAAAGATGTATAAGCATAAAATATTATGTTTCGAAGAGCATCCCTCTATGCATATAACATCGTAGAACATCATAGAACCTCATAGACTCATAGAATATCATTGAACACCAAAAAACATATAGATACAGTAGATACATATAGAAAATATAGAACATTGGTGATGTTCGTACCATTTCATCATCATTCATTTCAGGATGCATACAGCTGTACGAGCGAGGAGATGATTGGTTGGATGTGTCCACCAGTTTTGGACATACTGTAATTTGAGATGGCTGGTACATCTTCAGCCACTGTAGGCATTGCATAGGATCAACATGTTGAAAGAAAAAACATGTTTTTTTCAACTGGATTGTCTTAGAAAAAAAAACGACAAATGGTGTGTGTGTGTGTGCGTATGTGTGTGTGTCTGTTGAAAGGGCAATCAGTAGAGACGTCAGGTGTAGGAAAATTGAGGCCTCACAAATCCTGCGATATTGCGCACGATCATGCAAGCGTCTATAGTATCTATAGATTTCCACTACACAAGATCATTTGACAAATTTATCTATAGATACTATAGATACTATAGATACTATAGATACTATAGATACTATAGATACTATAGATACTATAGATACTATAGATACTATAGATACTATAGATACTATATAGATACCCCAAGTTTATCTACAGATACTATCAAGTAAAACCTCAAACGTTTGGCTATTTTGGGAGTTACCCCAGTGACATCCCCAATCCTACGGTCGTCGTCAGGCCGTCCTTGATGGGCACCAGTGGATCAACATCTGGGCGCAAAGCGAAAAAAAGCCGAAAAGCCGAGCTTCGCGCATGGCTAAAACATCCAAAAACAACAGCCAGATCTGGATACATTAACAGTTGATCACTTGATCTATGGAAGATTTATGATTTATGTAAGATTTAGTGTAAGATTTATGTAAGATAGATCTGAAACAAAATATAAACCCTTAAGTTGAAGACACATCAGCAATGAAAAACACGTGGGTCAATGTGGGTCAATGCCAGTTGAGTTCCAAGGAGCCACACGATTTTTTGGGCATGTGTGGCATCCAATTTTTGGGGATCTGCACCTTGTAAGTCTGGCCCTGTTTCCTCTCGCAGGAACAGCTATGGAGAGGGACCCATGAGTTCCGTTGCTACAGCAGAGCCAGTAATGAAGCCCTCTCCGGGTTTCGGGTGTCCATCTACGGAATCTCGCAGCATGGCGATGGCAGCATATGGCATAGCATGGCAGGTTATGCAGCAGAGCGACCCTCGCCCTTGTGGTAGAACCACAGCCACACCGGATCGCGCTTGAAACGACCATCGGAGCCTCACGAAAAATCCATGGCATCACTGGGAGGGGACACAGGCTCGGCGGAGCCAACTTGGGCTATGGCGACCTATCAAAAACAAGGCGCCAATTTCATAAGGATGTCCTATGAAAAAAGCGCCAACGTTGGCGATCCAATTTGATGGGTCAAATTGGGTCAACAAAACAGAAACAGTCCAGCGCTTCCAAATCAGGATGGAGGGCTTTGTTCACCCCTTTTTCCGGCAAACGACTAAGGTCTGGTAAACATAGCTATTGAAAATGGCACCTTTATAGCTGATTTACCCATTAAACATGGTGGATCTTTCCAGTTCGTTATGTAAACGTTTACCAGAGTGTAACACATGGAAAATGGTGATTTTTACCATGATAAACCGTATGGAATTTTCCGGTACCCTATGGATCATCCGTTTGCCAAGCTGCGGTTCTTGGCTTTGTGCAGCCAAACGTAGGAACCACCGGATTTCCAATGCGCCGTGTATCCGGGCACCTTGGCCAGTACAGATGTTGGCAGGGTCAAGGTTTGACCATCAAACCTCGCATCGAGGCTTAAAGTCTCGCACATGTTGCTGGTGTTGAACCTCCAAATCCACTATTCAGGTACCATTCAAGTCCAGAGCTTTAGCCGCTTAGCCCTTACCGAAGCGCACCATGTCCATTTTGAGGGTCGTGGATGTGGCGCAAAGATCTGGGTCCAAACGTTTTAACGAAACAACGATGTGGAAGGTTTGAGGGAGTCCATCCCAAGATCATCGGCCTGGTATCCCAAGAGACCCACAGAATCGCTTAAGTCGTTACAGCGTTGATGTGCATGTTGGGAGTTGACAAACAACAATAATTTTGACCCATCCTCATTTGATGTCCATTCTGGTACCAAGACCCCCTACAGTACGCCGGAGTTCACTCCAAAATCCCTGGTAATTGTCTGGTTGTCAACCATGTTTTGTCCCAACTCAGTCAAGCGTTTTTCGTTTGTTGTTGCTGAACTTTCCATGTTTTTGCTACAGTAACTATTAGGATTGGTCCCAACATTATTTAGCGAAATTCCCATTGTCCTATTGTTTTTTATTGTTTTTGGTAGTAGTATGTTATAGTAATCCCCAAAACGATAGAAATCTGACTCCGCCATGGGATTGAACTAAACTCAGATCTTCTTGGGGGTTACCACAACTTTCGTTTTCTTTAGTGCTTTAAGCAAGATACGGATCCTTGCACAACGATGATGGACTCAGGCATGTTGTCCTGACGGTCGACCGTGGATGAGGTCAGGGATAGAAAACATGGGGAAAAAAAACTGTTCCAAAGTAATTCCAAAGAGTTAAAACATATTAGAACTGGATTATACTTTATTTTTCCCGTAAATGGCCATAAACATGGCCAATTTCAGACCAAACAGATCCAACAAGTCCATTCCGTGCTGTCCTCATCAATGCGGTCCATGATCTTCAGAATCTTCAAGTTGTGGGCGATGCTCTTGCATGCACCTTGCGTGCAGATAATTTGATGGGCGAACAAGAACCCAGAAACGTCATGGCTACCCGACTACCTTCTTAGAGACCCTGCACAAAAAGTTCTGTTCAGATCTGTTCAGCAAGACATCAATTGAGTTTGTCATCAAAAACTCGCTACGAACCTATCCAACCAGGTTACCTTGAAGTTTGCACCAAAACTGGCTGGTGGTTGCGAAATGGGGATCCTACCATACAGATACAAATTCAATCACATGGATATCTGGTTCGCGATTTTAACAATCTTGAAAAATATGAAAGTCAATGGGAAGGATTATCCCATATATGATGGAAAATAAAACATGTTTGAAACCACCAACCAGATATTGATCAGCACTGTTTCTTTTTTCTGGTTATATATGGTGGTTGGGCCATTTATCCCAAGTGTGTCTAGGGACCGCCATCAACTGGCCGCAGGGGAACTGATATCAATCCATGAGAAAATGCTGGAAAGGCAGCGTATTTCATGTGAAAACCACCTATTGAACTCTATGGTTTCCTGCACAGATTGTCACCAATCCATTCCCAAACTGGATCCAGATTCTCCTCAAGGCACTTTTAAATCAGCCATTCATCATCCCCCAGTCATAGCCTTAGAAGCTACGCTGTAAAAACCCATGGGGATCCAAGGCGCCGATCCACCCCGCACGGTGGCGCTGGGGCAGTACACGTGCCGGCCAGGCGGCACCAATGGAACCTTCTCTCCTGGAAACGGCGACATGTTGGTTTCTACTGTCCAAATACCCTCTGGTAAACGCTAACAAAAAACTATGGAAAGATCCACCATGTTTAATGGGAAATTCCACTATTTCTATGGTCATTTTCAATAGCTATGTTAAATTACAAGAGGGTATGTTCAAATATGTTTGGGTTTCCTGATGTGTTCTCCAGATTTTCGCTGAAACCAGTTGGATGTTAAGGTAAGTTGGTATACTGAATTTAGATCATCATATATCATCATCAACAATGGTGAAAAATGAGCATTTGACCATCAAAGGATTTATATAACAGAAGGATAACGATCCCATATATTGCTGTCTGTATGGAATGCTTATCTACATTTACAGTAGGCCATTTTGGGAGAACATGCTGGTAAATATGCAATACATGGAGCATTGGGTTATGGTATGTGCCATACATTGAGCATTGGGGTCTTGTAAATATATTGTAAATCTATGGCTAATTTTGTGTCTAGGGGAATTCTGACCAACAATTCTTTGGTGGCTGCAAACGCGCAGTGAAACTAAAACCGATTGGACAATTTCAGATGTGAAAATATGAATTGCCAAAAATGTGACATAATGGGACTATCTAGCAGCAATCGTGAGGATATAGGTCTGGAAAGTCCGCTATAATTCTTCAATGCCAATCTTGGATACCCTGCGAACAAACGAAAGCAAAAGTTACGTATTCTAGGGAAAAAATGAGACGGGCTATTTAGAGCACAAAAACCACCCCAGAAAAAAGAAAGATAACATGTTCAAAAAGAAAAAACAAAACACCATTTAGAACACAAAAAACACCGGAAAAAAAAAACACAACAGGTTTCATAAAGGGAAAAAACAACAATTTCGACAACAGAACAAACAACGCAAACCCAGACAACAAAAAACATCTTCAAATAAGACGAAACACAATTTAGAGCACAAAAAAAACACAACAAAAAAGAAGGAACAAAGGTAGCCGAACAGAAGCACAAGTTAGGGCAACAAAGAAAACACCCAATAAAACCATCACTTCGTTGTTTACCGACCCAAAACCTGAGATTTTAAGAACCAACGGCAGAGATGCGAACTGTAAATCATCCTGAAATTTGGGGAGCATGGTCAACAGTAGGGACATTGATTCAAAATGGTGATAATATCATATAAATTCATATAATATCAACTAAAACTATCTAAACTATGTTTTTTTCAGAATCTTCCCAACATGTCTGGTTGGCAGTAAAGCCATCCCACACGTTACAGCTCAGGAAAAAACCTTCCCAGCAATGGAGCCGATCCCTAACGGATCCTGTTCAGCGAAGATTTTTATTCCATCCCCCTATGAAACATCCTGTAAATGGTCCCAAATAGGTGTAAAGTCCCACTAAACCATGGTTTCTAAGAGACTGTTTAATAATGTTTAATATTAGGATTAGATTGCCGTTGCAACCCCAAATGCCCACTCCCCTCCCTTGAGATTTCGAATCGGTCCTGTGATGCTTAGAACCGTGGGTCATGGGTCCCCTCTTTCCGCCCCATTTTTTGATGCGGCCGGCAAAACCCTTGCCCTTGGCCCAACCTCAGGAGTCGATGAAAAACTGGTGGTCAAAAACAGGGTGTCCCAAACATGGGATGATTGAAAGTTAGTTAACTTTACATACATATCATAAATTTCTCGCGAAGTTGTGGCTCTCGGACGAACATTTCACCAAACGAACATTTGCATAAATCCAGGTCTTACCACCAGCACTGGCTAGGAGGGTTACCAAACAAGGAATGCAGAACGAACCCTAGCCACCACCCAATTAATTTAGAGTTTTCAGGAATTAGATACAAAATAATCGAGGTAAAGGTGGTATGAGGTGGTGGGCCTGACGGTTGGGTGCCACTGGGCTCATTGGTTCAAAATGTGTTGCTCCAAGGAGCCGTGGACATCCACCAGATCACCCTCTTGCAAGAAGTCCGACGGCCAAATCTTTTGGCCAATCTGGGCAAAAACAAAAAATGGGCCATTGGACGATGCTATCACGTGATTGGGAAACTGGCGCAACTGGCTCCCTCCCAACCACTGCGGAGGATGTCCCATACAATGCATGATGAAGCGTTTGCCAAGATGAACGGCTGATTGTGAGGATTTTTCGGGTCAAGATACCAGCACCATGATGATCTGGGTGTTGCACTTGGCACTTCGAGAGGGTGAGAATTGTGGATCTAGGTGTATAATTATCATATTATATGAATATATGAATTAAAAAAAACAAAACTATATTGGTGTTCAGAACCGTTTTCTCTTTTGTTTCTGGTTTGACTGAGTGACGGTTTGATAGTTCAGAGGGAGGCTTTGCATGGAGGCTTTCACGATATGTTCAAAAGTCACTCTCATGTCAATATTCCATCACTTGAAACTGCTCAGTGCAGCAACTGCATTATCATTGACGAGAGAATCTACAAACACTGGTGGCCACATATGTATCTATGTATGTAATATATATATATATATACATATTCTGTGTAGGAAACACTTCGTACTCTAGTATACTAATCTACCAACATTGGGGGCAATAAAGACTTGAACCATCTTGAAAATTCAATTGAAATCCCCTTCAAATCCTAAAATCATAAAAAAAAAACCCATGAAAAACCATGGTTTTGTCGGAATGTTTTTCATCACTTTCCAAGATGTTCCTCATGATTCCCCCAAGCTTAAAAAAGGTAGGTCCAGCATGATCTTCCACTGCACGGATCATGGCTACTGCTTGGCCGGACCCGTGTTCCAAATAGCGGCCTCGATATAGTTTCAGTAAGCTGTACCATCTTCATCCCAAAAATATCCAAAAATGCTGTTGATTTCTCTGATTTCTCACTGTTTCAGGTATTGACCTATCATTGACCTATCTCTAGTATATCCCCAATGCTACATGTGTGGCATACCAAGATGTTGTCCCAACATGACCCAGTTTTTTTCAGATAGCAACTCGGCCCCAAATGGCCCGGCGCCTCCCATTTCTCCCAATCCTGCGGCCTGCTGGGGCTGATTCATGGAACTCCCTATGATTTCAGCATGTTTCGGTTGAGGTGTCTAATTAAATAATGGAATAGTTAGCTGGATCATGCTGGATCCTATTTTTTTCACTTAATTATGATTGATGAATGATGGGAAGCCTTGCCTCAGTCCAAACAAAGGGGAATCACCCGTTGAACAAGTCCCGGAACTTGCTTGAAATCATGGTTGAATGACCAGCCGCAATTGGTATACCAAGGGCAGGTAACCCTCCGTTTGCGCACCGCGCAATACTTGTTCCGAATGATAATATATGCTGTGCAGCTCCTTAAATAGTCTTCAGTGTGGCCTAAACATAGCTACGAATAGTTTTGTTTGATCCCAAATAGTGTGTTGCTTGACTTCTTATTATGCACTGAACACACAGGTAAAGCTATTAAAGCTACACAACATGTTAGGTACGTTTATCAAATTTGAGCAAAGTACTTTGACCGGAGCATAGGACCGCCCCCCTCCAACAAAAGCCCAAGTCAATGCTCTGCAGCCCAATGCAACATGGGCCCAACTTGCCTCCGTGGCTAATTTGAAAACTGCTGAAATAATATACCCTCTGGTAAACTAACACAACTATGGAAAATCACCATTTTCAATGGGTAAATCCACTATAAATGGTAATTTTCAATAGCTATGTTAAATTATCAGATGGTAGATCCAATTGCCATCAATTTACTCATTAGACGTCACCTCTGGTGGATGTCAAAAATACAACTCTTAATCAGGACACCTCACACCCCATAAATCTATGGGGTTCCAAAGGTGATTTTGCTGCTGGATGTGGCGCTTGTTGCCTTCCCATGTGACTAATGGGGTGTAACCACTAATTCAAGCATGTCATCCCGGGTTATATACATATCAATTTTGGGAGTCGCAATTGGTAGATATTGATCTGAAAACACAACTCCCACTATACTAACTCCAAATAATTCCGAAATTAAAGATCTAAAATGTTTCCAAGATGGTACGTCGATGCTGTTTCACCCAGGTTGAATATATCCAGCGATCAAATACGGTTTACCACATGATCTGCTTCATTCTCCAATAAATTGGTGGTAAAATATCTGCACCAGGTATTTCCAATCATATTCATATATATATAATAATCATAAAATAATCATATCTAATAATATAATCATATCATAATCATACAATAATTATATATAATAATCATATCATTAAAATAATCCCAATATTATATGGATATATATATATATATGTATATATATATGGTAGGTTTTTTCAAAAATCCCATTGTCAGGCTCCAGCCATCGGGTGGGCGCCTCACGCGGAAATCCTTGATCCTCCGCAGCGGTGGACACTCGTTGCGCGCCAGGCGTTTCAGCTGTAGGGCGCGCTTGCCCTCCTTCTCGCGCCTCGTAGGGTGACACGTGGTGAAGGGATGCGTTACCGTTAAGGCCGTTAAAGGCCGTTAAGGGGATATATATATATATATATATGTATGATATGATATTTATTGATATTTAAAGCACATTAAAGCACCACTTAAGCAAGATGTGAAAAATTGTTAAAATATCTTAAACATCCATCAAAACCAAAACTAAATGAAATCTGGAAGTCGAGATGTTTTTCGGCAATCTGGATGCGGCAAATGCGAACTTGCTCAAGGATTCACTTCCCAGATTCCTTTCCCACTGGAACCATCTGAAACATAAGGTTGCTACCAGTATGTTGTGGCTAAGTGGAAGGATTCTGCCAAGGTACTGGTCAGGAGTATAGCGTTCATAGCCCACCTGAACTGAGTAGTGGCCGTGTTTCTCGGGCCATCTCTTGTCTGTAACCATGTTGCCACCGCGTTTCACCACCAAAATGGTGGCCGGAACCTTGCGGGAAGTGAAGAAGCACTGAGAAGTTGGCTTTTCACTGGGGGGTTGAGAAAGATGGTCATTGATCACCAGCATACTTGCCATCATGATCAATCATCAATCATCATCACCACCACCACTACCAAATTGGAACGTCAGTTGCATCGATCCAAGTAGGGGGTGACATATTTAAGCCCATCACAAATTATACAATCCAGGGAACTGTCCTCACATTGCCTTCCTCCTCTTGGAAAATGGTGGTCATGTTCAATTTTTCCTGAGCTGAGCTTGGAAACCCAGAGAAACACGACCCGGCAGGACTCAACTGAGCTACGTTGGATGCCCTCCAAGTACTCGAACCATGGTGATGAATCTTTAAGAAAAGACTTCTGGAGCCATGCCTCAAAATCCTTAAAACCTGACCCATTCGGATGGTTAAATGGGATTGCCTGAAAATAGGGTGCCCAAATACGTGATGATTAATCATTTATTCCCGACAAGATGGGTCACCAATTTCCAGACACGCAAAAAAATAATGTTGAAACATTATGATCCACCATTTAGTTCGCTGAATTTCCCATCAAAACCTCCATTTAGTTCGGGGATTTCCTATGTTTTATTGCCGAAGCAGATTTCCAATGCCCCAGCCGTTTGTACACCCCAGACCCGCGACCGCTGCGCGCTCGTCGCTGGTTGGGACCGAGACACGGCCCAAATGCCAATGCCGGGCTCGATGGTTGGCCGTGTCAATCGTTCCCACCAAGGGATGGCCTGCACACCACCAAGCAGCTGGTGGCTTTCTGAAGGGGTGTTTTAAAATCGACCATTTTATGGGGATGCAGTGGGATATATCATGCAATATCATGCATATATATATATACAGATATATATATATATACACATATATATATACATATATATATATATATATACATATATATATATATACATATATATATATTGTATGTACATATACTGTTATAAAATGTTATAAATACAATTGATTAGATCTGTAAAGCATGTCAAATCAATCCATTTGTGGTTGTTCAGAAGTTGAGAAACACAGCCAATGTTTATGGAAAAACATGTTATACCACGGAGCACGGAAGTTAGTTCTTGTTTTTTAAATGTGTTCTTTCTTGTTCGTCTTTCTTGTTTGTTTCCCAGCATGTTCAACAATTTTAGATGCTTGTCCATGGGATTTACAGACAAACCTGACAAATGGGTTTGTCTGAAAATAGGGTATAGGGATCCCTATACCCCATTCCATTGGGCAAATTATAATAATTCAGAAACCTGAATTAAGGCCATTTGGGGATGATTTCCCTTATTAACCATGATTCCCAGGGCTCGGTCGCAGTGAGGTCGTTATAAATTGCCCAGATTCCATCCACTGGTTAATCATCCCTTTCCCCATAAGAAGTTGCTGTCCTGTTTTCGGGTGCAGGCCCCATCTTTTAACACACGGGTATATTTGATTTGGGATCGAGGAGTCGTTATCTTTGTTCACCTGATAAATGTTGGAATCACTATATATGAACGAACACATATTCACAATATATAATATATATATATGTATATTATATATATATACAGTTATATCATATATTGGTTCAAATGATTCTTCCATATTCCCAACTCACCTCGTTTTTTCGCCGTGTCTGGCGCCTGATCCGGGCGCGTGGCAATCAGCGAAGCCTTACGAGGCACCGAGCTTTTACACCTCGACCTCCTAGAAGTTGCTCCTGGTGCTGGAGGCAGGGGATTTTAGAGTGATTTTATAGAGACCCTCATGGGATTTTAGAGTGATTTGATGGGGGGTTATCATGGTTTTTCGTCAATTCATGGGATGTTATTTGGTGATTTGACGATTGCTGAATGGATTTTTCCTAGTGATTTGATGGGTTTGAATGGGATAAATGGAGGTTTAATGGGATATTGATAGGATGATACCCTCCGGAAATCAAACGTGACTGGTTGGAAAATGGCTTATAACATCTTATCAATGGAGATTTATAGCTGGGAAAATCATCGATAAATGGTGGATTGTCCTGTCCAGCAAGCCATGTTTGATTTTCTATTGCCTTACTTTATTAATTCTTAAGAGTTATGCTCTATCGGGTGCCCGGGGACCCTAAAACTGGGTACGACTTGGGCATCGGTACGGGGACGTACGGTGGGTACGTACCGTGGGTACGTACACTGGGTATGGGTACGATGCGGGTATGGTGCGGGTACGGTACGGGTACGGTACGTGGGTACGGTCCGTAGGTACGGCGTACTGGTACAGTGTACCCACCGTACCTGTTTTCAGAAAATGTGGTGCTATTTCCAAAATGTGCTGCTATTAGCGCCACATTTTGGAAATAGCACCACATTTTCTGAAAACAGGTACGGTGGGTACACTGTACCAGTACGCCGTACCCATGGACCGTACCCACATACCGTACCCACGTACCGTACCCATACCGTACCGTACCCAAAAGCACGTACCTACATACCGTACCCATACCCAAAAGCACGTACCCACGTACCGTACCGTACCTAACCCCCCTAGGTATGTACACCGTACCCCCCCGTGATGCTCAGATAGAAAACCTTGATTTCATAACTCTTAAAAATTAATAAGCCTTACTTGTGATTAGGGAATGGGGGAATGGGATGATTGTGAATATAGTTATTGGATCATTCCCCCGTTCCCTACGTTTAGCACCAGGAAGAACATGGGGATATGATCAATGGATTAATGTTTTTTTTTCGGGAGAATCTAAAACCGGAAAGCATGGATTCTCCCATGAAAATATGGGAGTTCCTTTTTCAAATTTCCCGCAGAGACCAATCCATTGACAATTGATATGAAATATAGCCTGTGAATGGGGATTTAAAGATCACTGGGATGTACTATGGGGAAAATCTATAGGATATCATGTCATTTCTTGCAAAGAAAACATGCTGTGTTCATATATGAAATGCCCATCAATTCTGCGAACAATGGAGATGTTAATCAACAATCATGGGAGTATTGACTAGCAGTCATGAAGATCGGGATACCAATGGTGGATGCCCAGCCATGAATTGGATGTACGACCTGGACACGGGAAAATCTGATCAAAAATCGGGTATCCAGCAGCTGCAACCATTGGAATCCATAGTAGTATTGCCTATTGGATCCAGCCGTACCTTCTGAGGAAGTATGACTGGAGTATGATTTGAGTGGGGTTAAGTCCCTTCTCAGGACGTATCTGGATCCATAGGAATTCATATGTCATATGTGAAGATATCCAACATCAACAGCAGTGGAACATATCTGGATTCTTCCAGGAAGGGGCCAAGGAGCAATAGGTAAATATGGTAAATTGACTTGCAACCCGAACGACGGACTTCGGGTGGAGCATGATTTCTGGGGCTATCAATCAACTTATTGGCACTTTGCGAATGGGATATTTCCCTCCGAAACTGGGTGGTAAACTGAGTGTAATCACCATACATTCGGTGGTAATTACACCACACATGTTGGTAAATGTTCCAGCATGGAGCATGTGGAATTTTGTTTCACCTTTCATTTTACTTCCCCAGAATGTATCTGTATACATTTATATATATTATATATGTATATTATATTATATATTATATATTATATATTATATATTATATTATATATTATATTATATATTAAATATTATATTATATATTATATATTATATATTATATAATATATAATATATTATATAATATATTATATATGTATATTATATTATATATTATATTATATATTATATTATATATTATATTATATATTAAATATTATATTATATATTAAATATTATATTATATATTATATTATATTATATTATATTATATATATTATATTATATATATTATATTATATTATATATATTATATATATTGTATATATTATATATAATATATAATATATATATATATATTACATTATATATATATATATTATATTCTATTGATATATACATATTGCCTTTCAAATTCAATATATGACCACCAAAAAATACCAAAAAAATGCGTATGTATTTCACCCTTCAAGTTCAATATTTGGCCCCTGAAAGACATGTATGCCAACCATAAAAGTGCTAAAAAGTGCTATATAGATGAGTATGTTGTCCTTAAAGCAATCAACCAGTGGTACTTTCCACCAGAAACCAGAAAAGTGATCCTTCGAACATGAATTTCACAGTCCGTAAATCAACATCTGGTGACCGGTCGTAGCTATTGAAAATGGCCATAGAATATAGAAATAGTGGATTTTCCCAGCTATAAATTGGTGATATCCATATAGTTATGTTATGTTAGTTTACCAGAGGGTACTTTACCAAGAGTTTGGTAAGTTTGATGTTTACTGATTTGGCGTAGGGAGTATAAGTGGAATGGACTTGAAAATCACTGGGCTGCAATGTTCCTGTGAGTTCGTCTTGGCGACTTTGAGTGGATTCATATTGTGAGGTCTCAAATGGGAGTGGCCAACCGACAACCCCAACCAAAAAACATACTCGTTGGTGGTTGAGGCACCCAAAGAAAGTATGAAAATCAACTGGCATCATCTTCTCCGTGAAGGACGTAGATGAAAAATGAGGTGTTACACATTTTGAAGCAACAATCCGAATTTCCAAAGATATCCAAAAGGAAAAATCCAGTTCAGTATTAGGGTCTCGGGAAACATCATGTGGTCCATACGTCTTCAGGGAAGCCATGTTCCTGGCCGCTGTCCTGCCAGAGCAGCCACACCTGCGGCGTGGATGGTTTCTGAATGTGATCTCTGAAAAAAGGTCTGTCCAGACATGGGGTACAACTCAAAAGGCTGATTGAATGGTTGAACAAAAACATACAAAAACCATTAGATGGGCCATGTCTACCTATGATGTACAGTAAAGGAGGGGATGAATATGCATGGCTGTGTTTTTTTTGTTGCAAGGGTTTGACCTCAAGTGGGCCCCAAACCACATATATTAGTACCGCTTTCAAAACCATATACAAAATCTGTGTCTACTGTTTATTAAAATGACCCCAACATCACCCATTGATGTACCATGCAAGAACTGTACAAGAAATGGCATGAATCATCCCAAATTGAATTCATTCATACGGGCAGGGGCCCGCGAACGATAGGTGAGCTGGCATATAACCAGTCTATCTATTGGATTTATGGCCATTAGCTATGGCTAATTACATGGAGTTATGACTCATTACATGGAGTTGTTTTCCACCAAGTTCCAACTGGCGAGTGCCTTCTTCTAGACCCCCAAAAAAATAGTGTAAAATTCCCTTACATGCAAGTACCTTCTTAGGAAGTCTTTCGATAATAATTTTGATGGTGATTTAAGTACCTTTTCAGGAGGTGTTTGGGATCCATTGGGATCATAACCATACGGCTCCCATGGTTGACCGTCATGTTTCCCGGGTCTATATCTCCACTTCTGATTCACTTCTCCCCCATCATGATCATGAAATGGTTGACACCCCCGCCAAATAACCCCATGAATAAATCATAAATCAAGAAGAACATTAGCAGTGACAGTTGATTGGCAACCCAATCATAAACCTACCATTTGGAGCTGATTTTTTAATCCCACCCAAAATGCGCACATGACTTGGGGATGGCTAAAGGCACATGATTCAATGAACCTCGAAACTGCATGAAATGAGCCATGAAATAAATATACCCGTTTTCCCATCTCATTGGACTTAAGTACTAGTTGGTTGAAGATGCTTTCCCTATGGTTTGTCATAATCCCCATGAAATGAGCTATAGGATAAGTCGCAAGTCCCTAACCAATCAGGGTAATGTCAACCCCGGATTAATAAACCATGGTTTATTAATTAGGGGGTTACTCCTCCAATAGTCATAATCCAATACTTAAATGGTACCACCCCAATTAACCAGCCTAGGTCGAGCCCCCCCAGTCGACCGCCTGCCAATGCCATCACCGACGCACGAAACGCCACGCCGGAGGAGGCGGAGGCTTCGCGGCCGCCCGCCAAGCGTGGCTGGCTGGAGAGACCCACCCGCGGCAAGGACGTGGAAATCGGTGCCTGCAGGGTGCCCTCTTAGCGACATGGGATTTCTGGGGATTGTAGAAGAATATTCACTCAAATATCGAACATATACTCACAAAAATAACTGAAATTTCCATGTATATTAATATTAATATCAATATATATCTATATATATATATATATTATATACATATAATATTGCTGTAATCATACTACAAAACCACTACAATAGCATCTTATAGGAAAACTCACAAATGTGAAATGAGGTCTTTGTGAGGCCGTTCCAGTTGATGAACACTACAATCAACTCAGTTTGCTTGGACCCAAAAAAAATAAATCCCACACGGTCCACCAGGGCTTAGGGGGTATGGATTGTTTCATCAAGGTCATCGGCACAAACCATTCCCAAAAAACTCAAAAAACACGACTGGAGCATGGATGAGTTTCCCACCATTTCTCGAAATGGGTATGTGAATATGTCTGGCTGGTGGTGTTCACCATCTTGAAAAATATAAAAGTCAATGGGAAGGATTATCCCATATACTCTATTATGGAAAGTAGAAAATGTTTGAAACCACCAATCAGATGTGTGCAAATTGGGTACCCCCAAACCCCACGACCACGATATCTCAGATACTACCAATATCATGATGCTTAATGATGCTCCCCGTTGCCATGGTAAGCTTCCAGTAATACTGCAATTCTGTAGTCATCCCCATCTTTAGACAAACCAAATAGCAGCATCACACATAGACATAGCATCACCAGCCCGCGCCACGCCTGCACAAAGCAGCTGCTGTAGATTTGCACCGCCATCACCACAGCGGATGCGCCAAGGGCGCCCCGGAGCCACGCCATCCGCGACGTCACGGGTCACGGCGCTGCAGAGGGCGCCCGGAGCCACCGAACTGAAAGCCGTTGGCTGCGGCCGAGACGGGCTGTGGTTTCTCCAAATGGAGGGACCTCAAACTGGGCCGGAAACTTACGACAGACCTATACCTTGAGATTTTTCGGCACTTCAGCCGCTCAGTCCTGCCGGATCAATCATGAGAAATCCGCCTGGCAGTAATTTACTGGCAACAAGTTACAGTACATCATCGAAGAATCATGCATCATCAGTAACACCATAAGCAACATTCAACATCAATAAAACACCAAGTATCATCTGAACATCAAAACACAAACAAAAATCATCTCCCAACAGATCCAAACAGCTCAAATTCATCCGAAATCATCTAATATATATAGGCACCAAAAAACATCAACGTTGTGAAAAAGCCAACCATCTGGGTAAAACATAATAGTTATTCACTAATGTGAAAAGTTCGGCTATTTTGGGATAGTTTGCCCTGACCAACCATCATCCAACCATCTCTTACTCGCAGCTTCAACAAGTCGTTGGGGTTGGAAACCGCTCACTGAGTTTCGGAACCTTCAGCACATCCATGCACCCTGAGGGATGTGAACCCGCGGCGTGTCACCCGTCGGACTCACCGGTTGTGTCTGAACATGTGGTAGACTCCCAAAAAGGCACTGCGCATATCTTTTAATAGGAACATATGATTGCTAATCGGTGGCTTTAGGGGCATCAAAACATGGTAGACTCCCAAAATGGCAATTTCAATAGGAAAAATATGGACAATCTATACGACGGACAAATGATGATTTAACAGTGGATGATTTTGGTGTAGCCTATTTTCAAACCCAACTGGTTTTAACCACTTGGATTCTGGATCAAACCCGCTTGAGTTTGCTCATCACATGAGATGGTCTTCACAACCTAGGTCCTCCAGAGAGTTCCCGACATTCGAGCAGTGTTCAAAACCCTCTTTCATTCCATTCTACTGGTTGGCAATAGAGATTGCCAAAAGAGATGTTTTTTTTAAGTATATTATACAATTATATAATAGTTTAATGTATTATAAACGCAATTAAGCCTTCATTATTAAAAAAAACACAACAACCGGGGGGGTTGAACACTGCTCATTTGACATGCTACCAGAGTAGTAACTTGTGACCCTTGTAGCCGTTGGTTGATTGGCGCATATTGGCGCTATTGGGCAGGCGGTTTGGAATGATGGGAGTACCCCATAGTCATATAATTCTTGCTACGAGAAGGGTATCTTCTCGCAGTCCCAACCACCAATCCCAAAAAACCATCGGCGATATGCAGAGACCGATTGTTTATCCGTGACATTTGCCCCACCATTTTTACATTGATAAGCTCCAAACTAACCAACAAAATAGATGTTATAATATCCTAGAAGGATATATCAACTGATTCGCTAATCATTCACCATGAGGTGTGTCCTCTCCCGTCCACCACCTGCTTGAGTAAAAGGATCTTGAAGACATAAGCGGTTCATGGCCCATGGCCATCCAAGTTGTGCAGCTTGGGTCCCAAAAAACTATCACCAGGAATCGGTCCTTCTAAAACAAACACATTTATATAACTTGCGCAGAGATGGACTTGATATGACTTGATGCTCATTGGCAATGATATCATCAAGCGCGCTGATCATTACTCCTTCACTTACTTCTGATAATTACCTCATTTGATCGCACGTGCTAGCCAAATCTTGGGCCCAGAGAAAGGGTGTCGATTGCTGCATCTTGAACCAGCCCCGTTCGTTAAAATCACAAAAAATCGAGATACAAAACATGAAGACATCAGCAGAAAACATGGAATTTGATTTGATGATGGCTAGTGGGCAAATGGTTGTCAATATTTAATGTCCCCAAGCAATCTGCCGCCCGTCACCATCTCCAAACAGTCCGACGGACTTACGTTGAAGGGGGCTTTGATTTCTTTTATTGGTATCTATAGAATTCTTCAGCTGTATAGAACCAACAGAGGAGATTGCAAACACTATTGACTATTAGGGATCGCTACATCACCAGTGACTACACAAGTGTCGGGCTGAAATACCCAGTCGGCTTGTTTGTTTGGACGGTCGCTCAATGGTCAGGTATCTTGCTCCTTAAGCACCCCTCACTAACCCAAGGAACGGGACACTGTTCATTGCCCAGTGGTTCGGGTAACCGGCAGTGTTTCACATATCTCAAACTCACTGATGGATAATGGAAAGCCACAAAGACTTGTTCACCAAGACTGCCATTCCCAAAGGCATGTGAGTTGACAAAGGCGAAAAAAATGATACTTTCCGGATTCCACTGCATTGAATCATTGCATCAAGTACACACACAATCATTCTGTATATATATAATAATAATATATTATTCATAGATTTGAATATGTGAAATGCAACCAACAAAACGTTGAGTTTCGCTTGAGACCAGCCCCGGCTCATCCCCTCTGATTTCTGATGTCGCAGTCATTGGCCACGCTCAGATGCGCAGAGCACAATTAGAAACCTCCAAGGCTTCACAGGTGGGACCAGGTCTAAAGTATCCATATCTCAGTCCAGTTTTTGGTTGTTGGAAAAGTGTGATGAAGGCATTCGATAATTTTGATGCTGACTTTACTATATTATTTATATTCATATATATATATATACATATGTATCGCTTCACCCCCGAGATTGAAAGTTGGTGAAATGGTGTGTTTTGTGGAATTATCATTTTTCAGGAAGAGCCACCCAACAGTGCACTGATCACAGAATTATCTATATTGGAATCACATTTATTAGATCTGCGCGAATGAAGCAACCTGTCAAAATCCAGTCATCACCAGTTGCAGTATTACCTGCCTGAAAATAATAACCTTGTCTATCTGTTCCAGTTGTAGGTATATCTGAGATTATATCTGTTACATCACCTTCAAACTGCTGCATCCCAGCTGGTGCATCGTATCGGTGACTAATCGCATCGGGACTAAGTGCAATTACCCATTACACGTTCTTGCTGTTTAGATCTGTTGAGTAACTTTAGGTTTTACAGATTTAACTCTAGGTTTATCATAGATGTGTTAAGTAATTTTCTGTACTATCTGTTTTTATCATTCCAATTATGATATATATTATGGTATAATATGGTATAATATGCACAACTAGCACAGAAATGTACAGCATATGTGGCAAGCCGCATGTTCATTAATCCTGGAATTTCGGCACGACTGGAATTTCGAACTACGACTTCGAAGCAACTCGGGCATGACCAAAGGAAGCGAGAACTGTGATTCTATTAGTGACATCCAGATGATGATAATATATAGAAACTATAATATATGACAATTAAAACTATTTTAATCATCATCATGATTCTATTCGTGACAATAGTGATTATAAAAATCGTTGTAACTGATGATAATAATACATCATGAGAAGTGATGATGATAATAGAGATAACAATGCTTGATTTTCAGTTTTTAATCATGAGGAATGATGATCATAAGCCAAAAAAACAAACATAGTAGTGAAAAAACGTGATACTAATGATGCTCGTCCCCATGGATTCAATGACTCCCTTCGCGAAGAGACTTAACTCCCCTGCTGTCGTTTTCCAGTCATGCTGTACCGGAAAGTATGCCTTAATCCATAGGGTGAATAGTGATTCCATGACAGTAGTTTAGACTATTGCACACTTTCATAGAAGTCCCGTACTACTGCTGCTGTTGCTTCTGCTAATAATAATCAGGATGACAAACATGAACGATATACAAATAACAATGTATATGTATATATATATGCCTATATAATATATATATGTCTATTATATATATATATAATTATATATATTTTATATAGTATTTTAGAACGCCCCAAACACCCCTGAAGCCCTTTATATATAATTATATATATATGTGATATGTGTGAGTAGCGGACAAAATTATTTGATAAATTTAATGCCATGCACAAATCAGGGTCATCCCCTATCGGTTGTGAGGATTTTAGTATTCCCGGAGGTATCACAAATGGTATACGGTATAGGGTCCCCTATCGGTTATGAAGGTTTTGTGCAACTTCAGAAAGGCCAAGGCGACACAAAACTAAGTTAGTTACAATAATTTGTCAGTTACTCATATATATATATATATTCGTAATGTATATATATATATGTTATATATATGTTATATATATATATATATATATTTTATACATTACAAATGATACATACACGTTGTAATACAACAACAGTCCACCACGGAACATCGGCCTTTATGGCCACGGGCCACCGAGGCCACTGAGGCGGCCGAGGCCGCCGGCGCAGGGGCGGCTGGGGCGGCCGCGGCCAAGGCCTCTTCACCTGGGGAAGTTCTAAGTGGTTGGGGGATTTTTTAATGGTGTTGTGACTACCCTCTGGTAAACGTTTACATAACTATGGAAAGATCCACCATTTTTAAGAACGGTAACCCATCTATTTCTATGGGTCATCTATACCATGGCTATGTTAGTCATAACCATAGGGTATATTTTGGATGATATTGTGATGTTGTTTGATGATAAACAATAGTATATTTATTGTTGTCTATATATATATATCAAACAACATCTGAAAATATCAACATTCAATACTGATGTTTTTTTGATGATAAGAATTTTAGATTTTAGATGAATCATACTATATGATATATACTGATTTTATATTTTTAACAAACAATATTTTTTGAATATCTAGTATAGCCAGTTTACGCTTAAATATCAGAAACTTCAATTTCACTGATGTCTGATAGTTGATCATAAACCAAGCGAAGTGGAAAAGTATCATAAACCCCAGTTCAACGTTGAAGTCCAATTTTACTAATCAGATATGAGTTCACTGATGTCACTATGGTTTATGAATGTTTATGATAGGCAAATGTCTGATATTATCTGATTAGTATTCTGGTTGGTGGTTTCAATCCCTCTGAAAAATATGAAAGTCAGTTGGGATGATTATTCCCAACTGAATGGATAAATAATCCAAATGTTCCAAACCACCAACCAGTATTGATTTCACTATGGTTTATGATACGCAACGATTTTTTTGTATTCATGGGGGTGATAAAGCAATGTATAGCTGGGCACCACCTTGTACCATTCCAGGTATATTAAAATGGTAGAAATTGATGTTGTAACATGTTATAACAAAGATAACCAAGTTTTTAATTATATAGAACATTCAATTTATGGTTTTGAAATGATATGAAAGGTGAAACCCTCCCCTGTTCTCCCAGTAGATCTTGCCAAATGGACCAATGGTGCTAGAGGATCAAATCAACCCCTCATCAGGTCATGAGCTGTGAAGCAACATCAAAGTTTAGTGATCATGTTGGGATATTCAATCCACCAAAGTTTGGGGGAATTGTCGTTTTGATCTATCTACATTGGAACCACGAGTCACAGAAGCAGCCTTTCGCGCTCTTTCTCGCTGAAAATATGGATGTAAGCTTTAAATCTGAGGGCTAAAGGGTCAAAATTAAACATACCCCAGTTGGGTAAATGAACATCCAATCATAATGTTCCATTGTTGGGATGGGTTTGACTATATTTGAATATTTTTGACCCATACGATTAGGCTTTGGATGCTGCCAGCGGTCCCTGCATGAGATACATGAGACATCCGCTCGCCACAATGGCCGCAGAGAAAAAGGTGGTCATGTCAGCGATGGAGTTGACCACTGCGGGAGACACCATCACCAGGATAGGGCCACGCAAACAGGAGGCAACGGTCTTTTGCCTTCCAGTGTTCAGAAAAGATGGGCAAAACCCACATGTTTCATCTTGGTACTGTAAATTCCATTTTCAGTGGCTGAATGTCAAAGAATGGAGAATTCCAAAGAATGGATATCCTTGGTAAATTCCCATTTTCAGGTGGGCAAAACCCACATCCTAGCTATGCCAAAGAATGTCCTGGATATCCCCGACCCACAAGGGGATCATCTGCTGGTGCCCAATGATCAACAGCCGTTTGGGGGTGAAAGCCGGGGTTGAAACTACTGTCAATTGGAAAAACAATATAGTATGGTTTCAAGATGTTTCCGGAAGATTCTTTTTAGTTTTGCAGTCTTCCATAATTTTGATGAATATATAAATAGAATTTTCTGACAATACTAATTGTGAATGTAAAAAAACGATGGTTTCTCCTTTTCCCTTTCCCAGACACTCCATGTATGCTATATCTACCAACATTTGCCATAGAAATCACCCAGTGTTGTAGGTCAATATACCATACATGGAGCATATGGGTTTTAATTGTGAATGTAAAAAAAGCGATGGTTTCTCCTTTTCATATAATTGTCAATGGTATCACCAAATGATAATATAATATAATCTATTATAATTTGGGTTCCAATGGACTGACTTGACCGCCTCCCGTTGTGACTGCCAGGAAGCACTGCATCCGCATACTTCAGGATGCGAGACACGCTGAGCCCTGCGAGAGCTTGGAGAATCACCGTGAACATCGTGTGCCGCGTGAAGCCATGGAAGAAGCCGTGCGCATAGACCTTGAACAATGGGGATATTGTATATTTAATGGGATTTATGGTGGTTTAATGGGATCTAATGGGACTTTACCCTCTGGTAAACATACAAAAAACTATGGAAAATCACCATGTTCAATGGGAAAATCCACTATTTCTATGGTGATTTTCAATAGCCATGTTAAATTACCAGAGGTAATGCAAAGTGGCGCCCAAATGTTCGTGATTTATGATCATTTAATCTGCAACAATGGGGATATTGTACAGTACTCAGTAGTACCATGCCAAACAGTACCATGCCAAACTATATTTAACCACAAAAATGGGGATATGTTTCATTAGCCGACAAAAATGGCGATATCAAATTCTTGCATTTGTGTTATAATTCATCTTTTGCTATAGTTCATGGGGGAAATAAATCAAGCAGCAAACCAGGGAGAGCACCAGCTTATAGGGGGATTTTTCTTGGGCCCAGATAAAAGTGTCATGTTGTGATCTTCATAAATACCAGATAAAAACTGTAAGAATTTGATGTGGTCATTGGATATTGCTTGTTGTATAACTTATGATTATCATGATTGGGATAACTATATGGCGAATGGATCCCTTCCACTGCAACTAATCACATTTCAACACCCTTCAGAAACTCGGCATTCATTCTGGGGGAATATGATGTTACTCACCAAACATTGTAAGCAGAAACATTGCAGTAGCCAATGCCATTTGGAAATGTAGAACCTGCGAACATGGCCACTCATAGGATCCGAACATGGTATGACATTATTAAGGAAGGTTAGGAAATGTTAGGAATCAGGAAATCAATGGAAATCATATGCACCAATCCAAGTTGTGTACCCATTTAGTTCAGAAAGAACCCGGCAACAGGTTTGATTCCTCAGTTCCATGAATTTCCCATTAAATCCATTAATCATTACAACGCCACCGAGGATTCTCTGGCTTGCCATGTTTACCAAAGTTGCTAGACATGGTCGCTTCAAAAAAAGGCAATATGGAGGTGTCCGTCCAGTCATGCGGGTACCCCCAAATCCTCCAAAATTAGATTATGTAAATTGAGACATATTGAAAGCCATGGGGATCCCCCATGACTTTGGAAATCCCGATGTCGCCATCGTCCTGTCGAGGCACGTCTCGCCAGCGCTTTGACAGCAGCAGGGTCAGCAAAGTGAGGATTATGCAGGTGAAATAAAGGACGGAGTTCCTGTTTCGGGGCAGTGAAAATCACAAAATCCTCGGAAATTTGTTTTTTTCTCACAAGGATGGTACACACAAATCATCCAAGTTATATAAAGTCCATGGTTTGGGGGTCCCGCATTTTTTAGAACCCCCAAAATGTTACTTGGTAGAACCACGAAACGAATCCGTCTTCGATTCAAATCCAACAGTTGACTTTCCATCTCAGGATTTCAATGGATGTGACTATAGTCACTGACGCCCTGCCGTCAAACTTTGCTCATGTTTAGTATTAAATCCCGGGCGGTGGTATTCCAACCTGGGGAACCTGAACTCCCAGACTGAGCACCCTGCGACACGCCCATGAAGTTTACTAAGTTTAGTGCTCCGAAGATGTGAAACTGGATGTTCGAGTGCTATGTTTGATGGAGCTGGGATGTACGTGTATACAGGAATAAATATGGTAATAATATTAAAGATACACATGTGGCTTGTTGGTTTACAATGCATCCCAACAGAGAAATTGTAAACTGGGATCTGGTTGTAGGTAGTTGATAGCCAAAGTGACTTCAATCACTTGCCATGGTATTCGCAACACGAAGATCAATAACCAGAGTGGGCTATCCCATTGACCATCAATCAGCATAGTCATTAATGTCATGAACCGCCTTTTGTAGTTTCTATATATAAATATAGTATACATCACTCGAAAATGGCTACTTGCATAAATGCCCCGAAAAGATGCCAAACAGTATTTCTAGGATGCTACAGTAGTGACAGATCACCTGGAAATTTTGGTTTCGCCATGAATTTCCAGGTGTCTAACTAGATCATCCCACTGAGGGGACCCCCCCAACCACGCTTGCTACGTTTGTTGGCTTTGGGGGTCCGGGCCGGGTTTCTGGTGATGAAACCATTTTACGTAGTTAGATGGGTAATAAACCAACATATCACTGGGGAAAACACCACCTTATCTACTGCAAATATTTGCTCAGGCTTACACTGGTTCGAGGGTCACCCCATCTCTAACTAAACTACGACTGGGGGAGGTGCTATAATAACCACATGAATAGGGTTTACCAGATTAATGATCCATAATTATCCATTAATTGTTACCCGATAAATACCTAAACAAAATCACCCCGGTAATTCTACCACGTTATGCTCCCATTATATACCACCATTCTAATTTGTGAAATCCATATCATCTCCCAGCAAAATAAAAAAAACAACAACTGCTGATTAACAACATCCACAACTCCAAATTCCAGCTGCAAAAACATCAATGATCAATTAATTATCCATTGTGGTTGGTTCTACCCCCAGTAATACACCCAAAAAAATATCAAGAAATCCACAGCCACAGCTGATGTTCCCCGTTAATCATCCATGATTGTTGGGTATATAAATGAACAAATCTCCAAAACTCTACAAAACAGTAGACTCATGTAGACTCTCTAAACTATTAACGGTTATATAATAATATATGTGTGTATAGATATATGTTTGTATATGTATAAATGAATAGGTAATAAAACCTCAACCATCCCATTGTATCTTCATATTTTTTATCTCCAAAACGATCCATGAATTCTCCCCCAAACCGATCCAGAAAACGGCCAAGAACTCATAAAATCATCCCTAATGATTGCTGGTTATGATTCGCTTAACTTATATATGTCATTATATATGTCAATCTCCAAAACAACAACCATGACTTCTGGGTAAATTATTTCATAATTCACTAACCTGAATAGTTCGGCCATTTGGGGATGATTCCCCGCAATCTAACCATGATTCCAGTGAGGGAGAACAGTGAGGTCGTTATAATTTACCAAGATGAATATCATGAAGGATCATCCATGAAGATCCAAAACTATCAACTTATATTAACTTATATTGATGTTAATTCTCCAAAACAACAACCAGTCGACTTCAACAAAAAAACACGACAGTTAAACGACCACCAGCTGCTTGATGAATCCAGCGGCTGCAGGTTGATATCCACCGTCCGGTGCTGCTTCAAGGCCAACTCGTTCACCACAGAACCGAAGGCGTTGCAGCAGGTCATGGCCAGGACCAACAGCGGGGCCAAGGACCAGGTGGCCTTGGCTGAGATGGAGAAAATGGGCTAAAAATATGGGTCAAAGACCTACATCTGATAGATATAATATTAGGATTGTAAATGGTAGATATGGATTACATACATTATGAAAAATATGATAACGATATTATTGGCATCTTTCGGAGAATCAACATCACCAGTTTAGCTATTGGATGGGGTCCAAGGATATTGACAAAAATAGTTATATCATCAAAGGTGCCCACGTTTCTTTATATCATTGCCCCCCAAAAATGAACGATTCCAACAGTCGAGTTATTTTTTTTAGTCCCTGGGCAGTCAATACTACTGGGAAGGCAAAACCGTAACCGTTCTGCTCAACAAGTGGCTTGCTCCCAGAGCTGGACTTGATTCAACCTCAAGGCAGCAGCCCAGGCCCCAGGCAGGTGAGGTCGGGCCGTCATGTGAAATATGCCATGGCTGCCATGGATGCTGATGTGCCCACGTGTCGAATTGAATTTTCAAGGGTAAAATGCGTGGCTTTCTGAAGGCTGGGTTCCCTTACTCTTGGTCCGATCTCTCCAGGTTTGACCCCCGAACAATAGCAACATCAGTTCCTATGTCAGATACCTTGCAAAGCAATAGATTTTGATAGGATACCAAACCAACCTCCATGAAAATATGGCGAAATGGCCAGCCGAAGCGCCGATTTCCATCAGACGATTTTCTCACCTTTTACAAAACATGCGTCCTTCAAGATGTTACCCATTCTTGACCCTCAAGATAGTTGACGCCTAAAAAACGGATGGCAAGACACATCAAAACACTCAAAACATCATTCTCATACATAAGTGTTAGAATATTACATGATAGATTCATTTTACGAGTACATGATCTTATTTTTCCATAAATGTGGGATCTTCCACATGGATGGTTGAAATGGAAAATCCACCTGAATCCATGGGTGATTTAGGGCGTTCCGCTGGGAAACCTCACCCACTCCACTGGGCGTCCCGGCACAAGGCCCATGAAGACCACCCAAATGGCCGCCAAGCGTGTCCAGCCCAAGGCTACACCAAAGATGCCGCGCCAAAGCAAGGCTGTCCTGGGATTTTGATCTAACCATCAATGGGACTTAACCAAACAGAAGGTGATTGAACCATCAAACGTTGCGAATGAGTATGACTTATGCTTCAAACAATGTGATTTGAGTGATAAATAGAAAAATCATGGGAATATGAACCATCAAACAAATTATATTCAGATGGTGGGTTAAAGCCACAAGAATACGTTTCTTGTACCAGAATCAAAAAATAGTTCCTAAGGGTATGTTGCCCATCAACAATAAGTCTTTCATGGCCTTTCCAGACAGTGATATTCAAACGGTGGTTTTAACAATCACACGTGAGGCGATTAATAAGTAATCATGGATACATATGTTACATATGACCAGCATTCATAAGGAGATATATTGGAATCTCAACAATTTGGATGGGAATTTTGCTTGAGAAATCATGGGATTATCTGATGTTCATGAGCTTCTCAACCATGAGAGTTTGGGTACAGTATTTTCAGACAAATCCAGAGTTCAGCAAATACAGGCAACTCGTGAAAAATCATGTTAATTCACCATCAAGAATCCCCATTTTATGTTAATTCCCTTAGATTCCTGTGAACCTTCGTGCCAACCCGGTTTGGGACTCTACAAGTCAATCCCCATAAATGCCACCACAAAAGACAAATCGAATACTAAACCGTGTTTTATTTTGTGCGTTATCATTCTATACCCTGCATCGCAACCATGGCAATCCAATGAAAACTAAAACACATGTACTAAGCACATGTATACATGTAGATACAGTGTTGATACAGACATAGATATCGATATCAGATATGGACACACATATTAGATAGCATTTCTTGGATGTTAGATATTCGGTATGATATCGGTATTAGATGTAGATATATTATTGATGTATGCTCATGGCACAGTATATCCTGGCATGATCCTTGAAGTGCGCTGCTTAGCAGACCGAGAAAGTCCAAGTCCCATGGCTTCCGAAGTTCACTTCAAAGGGTAGGAGCAGCATACAATGCTGGCGCAACTAGTAGCATCGAGTTTTTTTTCTAGCAGCTAACAAACTCAGGATATTTTTTTTTGCTGGCCGGGTCTTCCCATCCACCATATCCACTCAAGATAAGTGGATGCAAAAAAAAAACATGGCAACTTCCGCCGAGACTCCACAGGACCATGGTGTCCCGCAGGATCGCAAAGGTGGAAATATCCTGACAGCCCGTTGGAGGGAGCCGCGAGTCCGTCACGGGTTTTTGAAGTCGTGTTTCCCCTCAAAATAATGCTGGTGGATAGTTGATATAGTTGAGCCACCATTCTCAAACTATGCTCAGGATCATTGGGGGGTCATCATCTCATGGTTGGAACTAACACATATTTGAATATATTTAAATCATTTCGAAGTGATCCGTTGCTATCTAAACAGTACCTTTACCACCCAGGCGGATGCTATCATGTAAACTCCAACTTTGAATCCGGAATGGAGCTTCCCAGGGCTAAGAGTTGGCATTTCCATAGATATGGATATGGATCCATATGTAAGTTTTCTAAAATGGGGGTACAATACCCCAAAATGGATCAAAATGGTTGGTTTATAATGGAAAGTCCCATTCAAATGGATGATTTAGGGGCACCTTCCATTTTAGGAAACCTCCATATAGGTACCTTTTTGGCCCAGCCTGGGAATTTTGCAAATCCCACCACTTCACTGCACAAAATGAGTCTCTGGTGCAGCTTCAAGGAACGCCAGTGGCCAAAGTCACACCAAAAATAAAAGTCCCAATCTGTTGACTTGGTCACATCATCCCTTGGTACCCTCTGGAAAATTAACATAGACCCTGAAAATGACCAATTTATAGTGGAAACTAGTCTTCCAACCCCTATCTGCCAGGGTCTGCTCATTTCATCACCAACTGCCAGATTTTGTGCTCATTTTGTGGCTCAGAATCATTCTGGCCAATGGCCCACCAGAGCAAGATGTTGTTCACGGTAAAAATTGCAGCAGCACTAACAAGCCACATCACATCCTCGATGGGACGGTTCTCCGGGGGTTTTTACCAAGGCAGGACGGCCAAAAAACGGAGTGATGGGAGTTGGAAAATCCTTAAAGATGATGACCATGTATTCATGACCTATACCCATGAACTATAGTGAACTATAATCATGAATAATCTCTATAGTTAATAGATGTTGATAGTGCTCAAACACGTGGCAAAACACCAGTGACACACTGTATAATCTTTGACATCTGGAGTTTGAAGGTCCTCAAAGAATAAGACAGTCTGTCCAACAACAGGACATGGAGGGAGTGGCTGTGGATCTTAACTACCCCCAGATCTCAATGGGACGGTTTAATCCAGTAACTTTGAGGGTCGACTTTGCTGATTCAGGAAACTCACCCTCTCCCATCTTCGCCGCAATAGTATCTCCCTACAACTTGTGCTTCTTGTTTCCGAAATCGGTGCATAAACATCCGCATAGACTTGTAGGATGGGTTCAATCTAACAAACGAATTTGCGACGCATGAGCTTTTCAGTTGTCGGTTCAGTACAACAAGGGAACTTTAGGAATCAGAGGCAGGCTGCAAGCCGTACCTCATTTAATTTTGGTAACTGTAAGGTGTGGAAAGTTTGGCAGTGGCAGCGGCTTCAAGTCTTAAGTTGCTGAATTTCACACGAAACGTGCGCCATCTTCAAAGAAACGTTTGTCAATTATGCTGATTCTAGCTATATAATGCTATATAAACCAACTATACATATATAACTTACATAACCAGCTATTAGTTAAATGAGATGTTCAATAAACCAACTAAAAATTTGGGGCACCTGGATGCGATCTTTGCAACTGGGATCATATGATCCATATCATCATATCATCCAAGAGGCAAGAAACTCCACGTCGCTGGTCAAATTCACAAGTTGAAACCACCATCCATTTTATACAGGTATATATATCATGTATATAACTATACATATAATATATATATACATAATATGTATATAATATGTATATAATATGTATATAGCCTTGTGTCATATCATTACTGTACCCATGAAATCCTGTAGTTTAACGTGTTATCGAAAACACCATGTTTGATGCGAAACCAACGCTCTTTTACCATCCCGAAAAAAAATGACCTCAACCATGGGCCGCGGCCAGGTGCCTTCTGCGTCAAATTGGATGTGGAGTCTTTCAAGTAGCTGGGTCGCTGCGCGGCCAGCCCCAGTGAGACCAAGAGCTTGAGGAATTCCTGAGTGATACCCTCTGGTAATTTCTGCTTGGTGGTATACCTACCCATCTTGAAAAATATGAAAGTCAATGGGAAGGATGACATCCCATATATTATGAAAAAATAAAAAATGTTTGAAACCACCAACCAGCAAAAATATTATACACTATATGAGGGAATTTCCAGCAGTTGGCTTTTTGAGCCGCAGTGAGTGCAGAGAGAGTTTTAAGTGTGTTCACAATGGTATTTGTGCGTATACATGCAGATTTACCAAAGTCAATAGTATATAATATAACCTCCAACTGTTCTATATAAGTATGCAAAAACCAATGGAGATGTTCTAAGTATATAACCTCAGGAAGTTCCAAGTGATCACTTAGAGCATCAGCCCATGTTCTACAGGTATATGGTCGGTTAATGTTCTAAGTAAAAGGTTGTTTTTTGGAAACAAATGATGTTTTAAGTGTTTGTCCTCCACTATAGTAACTGCATGAGGTGATTTTTCCCACTTTTTACATCTTTTCCAGGATGGATCAACCACCTATTTCATTACAGGCGCCTACAGGGTTACGAGTACCAACTGTTATAGTAATTTATAGTAGTTTATATTTTTTGGGGGGGGGTACCCCCCAAAGCAATAGTCAGGGTTTCTTAATTTAGGGTTTACATCAATTTGGATGATACTAATTAGTCATCCCACAAACTAAAATAGGACCAGGGGCACTAAACAATGGCTTCCAATTTACCAACCCTTTTCAGGATGCGTCGCACCAGTCGTCCCTTACAACCAAAGCTTCGGTCAGCAGAACTGCACACATTGGTTCGAAACGATAGTCTTCACCATGCACAGTGGCTTGTCTTGCAATCGACAAGTCAATCACCACAGAAATGCAGACATACACAGCGCAAAGGAGGAGTGAAAATGCCATTCTGGAGAGTGAGTCCTAGCTTGTGTCAGGAGGTGCACACATATGAGGATGAGATAACAATATTATAATTGGCTATGATTAAACTTAGAATTTGCCTATACACACATCACTATGACTACCGAACATTTTGATGCAATATATTTTTAACCAGGCAGCGCTTGCTATCCCATGAATTTGTTTTGGTCGGACTCCTTGTCAAGATTTTTCGCCGAAACAAGTCAGACACATCAGTCACGTTTTCCCATTCAAGATCCAAAATATGAACACTGTCTATATATAATATTTTATACCATCTGGTTATTTAACATAGCCATGGAGAATCACCATTTTTAATAGGTAAGCCATCTATAAATGGGCCATTTTCCATGGCTATGTTAAATAACCAGAGGGTACCTTTATCCTTTTGGCCTGACCCAGTCAGGGCAGTCAAAAGTGTGTTTCATGCTAACGGATACCCAGAATTAGGGGATCGGCCCCCCATTTTTTTCACAGCTCAAATGCTAGTGACATATCACCACAGAGCCCTACGGTACATACACAAATATAAAGCATTGTATAAAAATAAAATGATATATAAGTACAAACACCAAAAGCGTGGTGCAAATCTAGCAATCTATAAACTATAATTGCTTGAAGGTAAAACATGCCGGATCCTCTCCTAAAACCATGCCAAAGTATGTGAAGACAATGGTTTCCTCTATTCATTCCATCTAAGCAAATCACAAAAGAATGCAGGGGTAAGATCTACCAAAAGTTTAAGGGTAAATCGTGGTAAATCTATCAAAATGGTGGTTAAAATCCCAATCTGTCAACTTTTGATGTGTTGAAATCAAACCACAAAAATCTAAACAAACCGGCCGTGTCTCAATGAAAGGCTCCAGGCAACAGGTTGATACACCCAGTGCCACCATGGTCATACCTGGGGAGCTTGGTCTCGTTGGTTCTACACCAGGGACCTACACCAAAATGATGGCAATCTTCTTGGGAAACATCATGAGGCATATATATATATATATATATGTCTGGGTGAATTATAATATTTCACTAACCTGAATTAAGGCCATATTGGGATGACTTCCCTTACTAACCATCATTCCAGTGAGGTCGCAGTGAGGTCGTTATAATTTACCCAGATATAAATATATATATATATAAAAACCTCAACAAACACTAACATGGGGGTTTCCCAAGTCATGGGGGTAGCCCCCAAAATCATCCGTTGATGGGTTTTCCATGAAACCATATCCATCTATTGGGGAACCCTATGACTATGGAAACCCCATATGGAAGAGATGCCTAAACTGGCTTCCCCTTGGCCTGACCGGCTGGAACCCCTCCAAGTTGAATGCGAACAGCAATAAAGAGATTAAGGTCAACAAAATGGGGCACTTCCAGCCGCCGGCTCAAAATTTTAGATATACCGCCAAAAAGGGTATGTCATAGCAGTAGAACCAGGCAAAAAAAAGAGGTTGCGAATATAAAAATATTTGATGTGAATTTGATGCTATAACTTTGATATCCTGAAAATCTTGAAAGAATTGCGTGTTTTTACATACGTTTTTGTTTGTGAGATTACCCAAAACTTATGGCTACATTGCTACATAAACCCGCTGATCTTTGAGGTAACTGTAGCCTCGTTGGTTCATTGGCATCTTTGGCTCCAGTCTCAGTCTCAACCCACGAAAACCGATGTGATCCAGGATACAAACCACTGGTAATTCCAACCATGTGCTCCAACTCTGATCACTTCCAAGTGAGCCAACTGGCTCTTTCAGCGTTTCGTTGATGACCAGTTGGCTGATTTCTCGCTGATCTCCCTGAATCACTCTGAGTACAGCGTCCATCATGCCGTCCTGATGATGCTGGGGATGTTTCTGGTTTTCAAAACGATGGACCGGAAAGTTGCGAGAATTCATGGAAAACCGATGTTAAACCTCGTAAAACCGGAAACCATACGATTTTTGGATATTGGTCGAACGAACTAGAGGGGCTACAGTGGAAGCGGGGCTGGGGGTGGATTTGCATGTGAATGGCAGTTGTGCAGTTCCTCATCAGTAAAGTTACCTAACGCAAACAACAATGGCAGCTGCAATTCAGTCTGCCAAATGGACCACTAGGGTTTCCTTTCTAGTAGACTAAGAATTCGAGCCAGCAAGTCGATATTGGTCCAAAAGATAATTTGGTATTCGGGATGTGGTTTGTTTTTAAATGGCGTCGCTGGGAAGAATGTTTTGATAAGGCTGATCTGGGTTGTTTTGGCATTGACGAGGTTGTGTCGACACCCTTTTTGAAGAGTGAATGCAAGCTGCCGGGTAGGTGGTTTCAAATGTCAAAACAACTTGACTTAGGTCATCAGTTAGACCTTTCAAATTCTGTGCTTCTCATTTGGAACCAACAACCACTCTGGGTTGATGCTATACCGCACCACATTTTCTGAAGTGGTTTTTCCCAGTTTTGGTCGAACGAACTAGCGGGGCTACAGTGGAAGCGGGGCAGCAGGTGGAAGGTGGATCAGCTGATCCAAAAAACATTCAGAATCCAGAAAAACAGATGGAAAACCTAGTTGCTTTTGTTTGCCCCAAAAAGAAGCGGGGCTGTGGGTGGTTTCGAGGTACGAGTATGTCTGTGGCAAGCGGGACAGAGGGTGGAAAGAGGAGAGCGGGGCAAGCGGAGGTGAGCTGAATCATTTGACAAAGTGTTGATAAGCTGGGCAATGGGAGGAAAGGTGCCAGCGGGGCAACGGGAGGAATCTGCGTACTTACTGAAAGCGGGGCAACGGTTGGAAAGCTGGAAGCGGGGGAAAGAGATGCATTTCCGGAAAGCGATTTTGGATGAAAAAAAAACGGGAAAAACATTTAAAAAAACGGAAGCGGGGGAAGGGATGGAATTGCTCACAGTTCTGGATTTAACCCATATACCCGATAGCCACCTAGCCTAGTGTGAATACAACTCAACCCCTTGTGTTCACAACCTATTCTAGTCAGAATTTTCTGGCGTAAAGTTGACGGGGGTTCCGCCCATTGTACCGTTCCGACACATTTCTTCAATTCACACAATTGAATCATTAGAGCTTGCACAGACTGGTCTTGTGTTGATGCCTGCCCTGGATCCATCCAGGAATTCAAAAACTTCCGTGTACAGGAAACAGTTCATTGCTAAATAAAATAAAAACATCCGAAATCTACTCGCTGCGTCGTAGAACAAAAAATTGGCCATCACGCCAACGAGTCTCTGCCGGTCTTTGCAATAATACATTTGGGCGCATCTTACAGCAACAACAATATAATACCCAAATTAGGCCCAAATGCATCCAAATGCCTACATAAACTAGTATGGTTGGTTCGCAACACATTGTCACCTCCATGACCAGATCACGAATATGCCTATGCCACAAAAACGGTCTGTAACCCTGCTTCCTCCGCAAACCTGCTATATAATTGGTTTCTCTGAGGATATATATACGGATATACCGCGAAGATGGAAACGGGGTCGCATTGCCATCGCATCTTCGTAGGTTGGCACTGACTGCTGAATCACTTTCAGTTCACCTAGGATAAGAGGACTTCAGTCTTCAACTTGAAAACATAAATCGCATTGATTGAATTACCATTCACCAAGCTGAATTAAGATCGTTTTAGGATATGATAGTACCCCGGTCCCAAACATCATCACCATTCATCCAGAAAACTTCAGTCTGCAACAGGACCATAGGTTCATCCTGGATTAATAAACCTTGACTATTACTTTGGGGGTTACCCCCAGAATAGGGTCTTAAACTATATCTAAATTGATACCCTCTATTGAGAAACTGGAGGGTTATTACACATAAATTACATAAATATACATTATTTTTCCAATCGTTAAATCCCTATTTTGGACGATTAAATCATTTGATGGTCAAATCAATCTCCCCAAATTGATTCTGGGTCTCCGGATTAACATCATATTTTCATATACTTTCCCTAAGACAAGTTTTCCATTGATTTCCCCAATTCTGGCAGTTGAAATGAATTGGCTTCCCCAATTCGGCTTCACCCCATGCCGTGCCAAGTGTCGTCTTGGTAGTGGACTTCATGACCGCAACGAAAATGCGCATCGGTGATGTCTGAGATTTTCAGGCCGCCTTCCCTCACGTGAATCAAACCTGGGTAAGTTTGCCAGGAGACCTCCAAACAAGGCTCAAAAATGTGGGAGAAAATCATGGGAAAAACCTGGATAATACGAAAACCTCAAAATCATGTCAGACTCACACTGGACGAAAGATTGCTTTTGGAATCCAGGATTATGTGAATTAGCTCCATCTCCACTTCTCCCCGTTGCCTTTAGATACCTGGCATTTCTTTATTTTCTCGTGAGGCATGTGATTCCTAGAGCTAAATTATGGAAAATCAAGCATTGACCGATGACTCCATGACCATTTCCACCTCCCAGCCGCATTGGTAGTTTTGCAGCTCCATCTGATGCAGCGCGCCGGTGATTTGCAGCAGATTGGGTCCAGCGATCTCCAGGTGGATATTGTGTTTGGTGAAGACCTTCGCCATCTCTGCGAAGGTGGCAAAGACCTGGCTGAAACAGTGGAGTTGACCTGGAAAAAAAAAATATATATATATTATGTGTGTGAAACGTGGATGAAGCTTTGTCAAGCCCATTGCAAGGAAAACAAACGAAAGGTTCCGGAGTCTCCGCTACTCACTGCACGCAGAGCGGGGCTGACGGTGTATGCAACACCCTGGTCCCAGAAACGGGGCCGCCATTTTGGAAGCCTTTCCTTCTTCCGGCAATATTGCAGCCCCCGTTTTTGGGGCCGGTTTTTGGCCCCATTTTTGGGACCACGAAAGAGCAAACAGGAGCTGCTCACGGTCCGGATTCCGTCCATTTGCTGGCGCCAGCCTTCCTTCTGCAATGCAAGCCGCCATGGACACACACACACATCCGTATAATACTATATATAATATAGGGCTTTATTGAAGATTTTGCCAGGAAAAAACAACAACAACACAATTCTAGGACAAGCATAACAGTTTGTTAGGGTTTCGGTGATAACTGGGTACACCGGAATACCAGTGGATCCAAAGGTATCTTTTTCGGACAAACTGGATTCATGGGGATTCAATTATGACTAGACTGAACATGGCCAACATCCATGGGTCTGTTCAATCTTGATCCAGGTGCGGTCTGACATCCATGGACCCACATGGCTGGTATGGCACTCATGGGATGGACATAAAATGATAAAAGCTGCTGATTGCTACCTAAATCATTGGAAATCGCATGCTAGCAAAGATTGGAGAAGCAAAATCGAATCCACCATCCACAAATGAGTGCTTTCTCAACCATCAATGGCTGGCTTATGACACTTGACCGACATGGCCAAAACATGCCAAAACTATCTGCCCCCAAAGCAACAGTTACCAGGTCGGATGCATAGCTCTGGTGGTCCCGCCTGCCGTGGCAAATAGAAGAAGTCGAAAAAACCTGCGCTGCGCTGTTTTGCTATGGAAGCCATGGCCAAAAAAGATGGACTGAATGAAGAAATTGCCATGGAAACCATGGCTGAATTACTCTCCAGAAAACTAACATACAAGATCATACAAGTAGATGCGGAAAATCCATGAACATCCACTATTTCATCTATTTCTAGATCATTTGCGGGAAAACCACGGGGTTTCCCAGGTTTTTCCACATCGTTTTCTACGTTCGACTCACGGGCGCCTTTCCAACATCCTTCTGCCAGTTCCGGGACCCGCCATTGCAGCTCCGGCCGGTGGAGCAACAACTCCTGCGGGGTTTGTCCATGGGGGATACCCCAATGAAATCCCCAAGGTCTGGCAATCTTCACGTAGAAAATGATGATCGGCTTTGCGGCGATATTTTGATATATTTTGGGATCCAGGATCGGGTTGGATCCAAAAACCACTTGGGAAGCCCGGAAGCCCCGTATTTTCGGGGGATCTGGAATTCTGAGTACCAAGGCCGGCGGTGAATGTGCATATCCAACCAACAAAAATATCAAGGAACAAGGGATGTAGCCCACGACGGTGCCGATTACAGGAACCTTATAATTATATCATTCCCGCTGAGAAGAGACTCAACCCAAACAAATCATACTGCAAATACTTCCTCAGAAGGTACGTGTATCAATAGGGGTTATGATTGTGGGATTCACTACATGGCAATGCCCAAATCAGTAGTGCGGACCCAGCATTTCGTAGAATTGTTCTTAAACCCGGACACTTGGCCTCAAAGTAATATATAACAACAGAATATTCTATAGGCCGTAATGAAGCTAAGAACATCACCCAGGAATCACAAACTGTCAGACCTAGCTAAATCAGAATCCCAACCTAATTTTTTTAGCACTTTTGGTGATGGTTCCTGCGAATCCCAACGATTTTTCAATGGTGATGTCGGCCAGTGAGGTTGTCATAATTCAGTCAAACGAATATACAAATATCGCTACTATCACGAATAAAAGATTTCGCTATAGCACACATAATAATAATAGTAATAATAATTACATATAATTACAATATTATCACCTACAACCATGAATCACAAATTGTCTGGTGCTTGAGCCACCGCCACCTGAAACAAAATCCACAGTCAGGGATCATGATCCCATATGTGCGACGGTCAAAACTCAATTCATGTGGTGAGGTCATGGCATCGCTTCATAAGGCCCCCTATCGCTACACACAGTCCCAGCACCCTTTTCACCAACTAGGCAGAATTGCTGCTAGAAGAGAAGGATCCAGATGAGGAATCGGATTCTTATTCCCCTTGCGATGGTATCTCCAGGGAAATTCAAACTTTTACTTGATCACCAAGGCTGACGTCGACAGCTTCAGCTAGACACCAGCCGGACTCACTGCAGGTCATCTGACCTCGGAGGCTGCCCTTGGCTTGTTTTGGCTTGTCTTGGCTTGTCTTGCCTGTGCTGCCTTGTTTCCGGCGCCTTTTTTTCTTCACCCCGCCTCCTTTGCAACCTAATACCACGCCAAAATGAATCGGCAAAACCCTGACCAAATGAACCCTTTAAGAACTAACCCAGTAAGAACTTGAGGGTACCCTTGTTCATACTTCCCATATTTTTCCACCTATAGCACAGGTTGTATAGTTTCAAGTGACCATGTGGGGTACTCCCTAATTTCATGGATTTCAGGTATCGCTCTGGGTATCGAGGGGTATCGCTTCGGGCATCGCTACGGGGACCAGAAAATGTGTGATCTCAGGTGTATGTTTCAAGTGACACGAAATTCTGACAAGCTCCATGTTGCAATTCTACTCCTGGACAGTGGCTTTGGAGAAGCGTCCGTGACCGCACAAGGATGCTTGTTCAACATATCTCAGCACGGTCACTATCTGAATCAACATCATCACCATCACCATCATCATCAGCATCATCACCATCATCAAGCTCATGATGCGTTATGAATTAGTTTCTTGCATACCTTATAGATCAACATACCCCAATATATCAATATTGTTTAATGTAACTATCTCATATATACTTGACGACAGGCCATCTTGCAACTACCCAGGAAGACCAGCCCACTGCGACTGCTCCAGTGTCGCACTCTGACATCAAAAGATTGGAAAGTCATGCGCCCAACAGGAAGCTTCAATCATAAACAAAGTCTAAAAAGAGGTATCGCTACATAAGGCCCCCTATCGCTACACACAGTAAATCACATATTTTGAGTAGTGATGGCGGATCGTAATTGAAGCCTTTCATAGCGTCTTTTGACCCTTGCTCATATATTCTCCAAGCACGAAGAAAAAAGAGGTCATATAACGTAAGATACCCATCATCTTGGACTGTTACCTGCTTTCTTGGGTACTTGGAGGGTCTAAAATCACAAAAGAAAATGATTTTGAGGGACTTATTTTGTTGCTTTTATCATCTTTTATCATTCTATCCAGCTAGAATAAAATATCCAAATATCTAAAAGATCTAGATTAATCTAGATCACAATAACATAGAATAACACTGTTTAAGTATCATCAAGTACCAGTCATGAATGCATCATTTTTTACACCATTACACCCATCGATAAACCGTCCATCTTTTTTCCAATTCAGGTCCTGTCGAGCCGCAAAGAAATTCTGTTTGTTTTGGCTCCAGAGCGGCCAAGTGCAATTGAGGTATGCATACCTCAATTAGGCGCCAGGGAATCTGCAGGGAGAAATGATGGGTGTATGTTGTGAAAAAATGCTGCAGAGAAAGTCTTTGGTACTTGTTTTGCTGGTTAGTTGAGTTTCAACCGGGCACAATGTGCAGTAGATTGAACTAGCCAGAGAACATCATGCATACCTTCCCAATTAAGATGGTTGGGCTTCAAGCCTCCCTGCATAATAATCGAATCATCTCGAAAGGGAAAAACATCTAAGGTGGTAAAGAAACCTGCTTTAAACCTGGAACCACGAACTGTTCGCTGCCCAGTCTGTACATAAGAAATGAATAGAGAGTTTGTGTGGGTCCGGCTCAAAATTGGTTGGCTCACGCACCCAGCTGCTGCTTTCAACTTCCCTGAACATAATTGAGTGATTAGGGATCACCATCCGAAATATATAAGTATAGTTATAATTATATATATGTATGTATATATATATACATATGATTACATATGTATGTATATAATTATATACATTATATAATATTATATATATATGTTATATACAATATTCAATAATACGTATTAAACCACATTTTAAACCACCAACCGAACATAACCAAACATTGGTGGGCCTTTTTGGGGATGAAGCAATCCCATCTACACTTGCTGAGATGCTGACAATGGCTGTGAGGCTGTGACGATTCAGTTTCACCCTTGAGAATGCCAGGGGGGTAGGAGACTTTAAAAGACTTCACCAATGGGAACGAAAGATATAAATAATCTCAACAAGCCTCTGGCATCCTCTGGCAATCTAACATAGCTATGCAGCTATGGAAGCCATGGCCCATTTTCATGAGATTCCACTCCAAAATGATAGTTTGTCTATGAATTGGGGATACCCCAACATGATTCTAGTGGGAAATATTGGGAAATGATCATATCTTTACCAATGGGATTTGGGGGGTACCCCATTCTCCAACCACCCCCCGGAGGATCCGTCGAGGTACCGTGGATCGTTGCATTGGTCATGGCCTGGCCATACGGTGGTCTCAAGCATCGGTGGATCATGCAGCCTTGCTGCAAATGATCTACCGTTGGGTGTGATGTTTGACTCTCAAGATTGTCCACAACTCTGAAATTACCCTCTGGTAATTTAACGTAACTATGGAAAATGACCATTTATATTTTCCCATGAAAAATGGTGATTTTCCATAGCTATGTCAGTTTACCAGAGGATAGATTACCTGTCACACACTGTCAGAATGATATGGTGTGATATTGCTAGCCGAGTGCGCTGTGACATGTATAGCCTCCAATTATGATGAGATGCGTCGCACGAGACGAGTTGAAAGCTAATGCAGCGTGTCTATTCATTTGTTCTGGTCATAGTTTCATGTGAATATCCACCCATCAATCCAACTTCAAGTGGTGGTTTCAGATCTGTTCCTTGCTGCCAATCTTCGGTGCTGACATCTCTACTATGAGGCCACATGCTTCAAAACATGCTCGTTGTCTTTTTCGGCCCTTTTGTCAGGCTCATGAACGGAATTTCTTGCTGGAATTTCTGCGGTCCAAGTCGCCATCAAAGCTGTTGTAGGCGTGTGGTTGGGGAATTCCCAATTTTTGGGGATTGAACAGTTCGGCAAATCCTTAGCCGCATGGCCGTGCCGGGCACGTGATGTATCACAGTCATGTCGTTTTTCTTGGTGGACAACCACGATGTATATAATTTCTATATAATTGTATATATATATGTATATAATATAATATGTACAGTATATACAATTGCTTCTCTTTTGGTCAAATAAATATCAACAAAACAAAGCCGTTTGCTACTCAAAAGGACCAGCCACTGCATGTTGTGGGGGTCAAATTTTGAATTGGAATAGACTCCATCGGTTTGACACCCATTTCCAACATCCACGCTTTACATGTGTTCTTTTCTGTGCCAGTACCCACAAATTTGATCAATAAGTACCAGCATGTACCAACATGTACCAACATGTCGTTTTTTATTAGCTACTCATTTTCATGGTTTCCATTTTCTCCGATCTAGTTAAGTATCTTATGTCTATTTCTAGCTTCAAGATAAAACCTCAGCCCCTTTAAGCATCCTGAGATGCCAAGTCTCTGCAAGGTGAGATGACAGCATCAAAATGCATATAAAGGAGCCCCTGGAAGTCGGACGAAGGCTCCTGGAAGTACCAGCTGGAGATGGCTGTAGAATGTCAGAGGTTGGTCTCTTGTTCTATGGCAAAAAACGATAGAACAACAACGATTGAACATAGAAAAAACAACACCACATATAACAAAAGAACAAAAGCGGCAAAACCCAATCCAAACCTAAAATTAAAAAAAAAACGAAAAAAACGCAAAAAGAAAGCAAAATCAATCATGTTCTTTCTTTTTTTTCGGTATTGGTTCGCTTTTTTTCCGCTTTTGTTTCACTTTGTTTTTTTTGTTTTTGTTTGTTTTTTTTTTATGTTTTTTTTCACTTTTGTTTTCGTTTTTTTCCACGAGTTGTTTACATGTTCGAAGGTCTCGGTCATCAGGTCACCTGAGAAAGGAAAAGCACGACAAAACAAGCGGAAAAAAAAACGGAGAAAAAAAACAGCGAAAGAAGACCGACAAAAAAAAAAAACGAAAAGAAACCAACCGCATATAAATGTATATCCGGTTTGCCTTTGTTTGCTTTTTTTGCTTTTATCAAAATAGTCGTTTGTTTTTTTTCCCTTTGTTTTTGCTTTTCTCAAAAAGATTCAAAAAGTGGTTTGTTTTTTTTGCATTGGTTTTCGCTTTTTTGTTTTCAAATTCCTTAGAAGTAGGCTCCAGGCATTTCACAACAAGAGTGTTTCATGTTGTTACTGGAACAAGCATTGCTTCCCTGAGGCTTCAGACTTTATGGGTTTGTTGTACGAGTAACCGTTGTGTCGCTGATCTTAGAGGCACTGTGCGTATCATATAACCCAATGGGATGCGGATGGACACTTGGGCTTGACTGATTAAATGGGGTACCCAAATCTCATGTGTTTTCTTGTTTAAATAGGGTATCCAAATGGGCGTGTCTGATTAAATGGCATATGTTTTTTTTTGTCGAATGCCATTTTGGATCTGGACAAACTTTGACTCCATTGAAACCCGCATTGGTCCATTAGCTAGTTCTGGAACCCAGACACTGGACACTGCTGGAAGAACGTATCTGATACAGCCTACACTCATGTGGGGCAAACAGCCCACCTACACCATGGAAACACACAAATAGAATAAGAATAGATATAAATCATTCCCATTATGAAACAAATCTGCTTTCTGGAATGATCTCAGCATATCCTGATTTTCAAAATCCAATCATCCAGAGTCATCTGAAATCACCTGGTTGTTGGTATCAACCCATCAAAACAATGTGCACAAGAGAGATATCAATTAGAAACACAATCTCAAGTACTTAGTTGGGGACCGAAAAGACATTGAATAGCAACCCATGAATCAACCAATAGGAGATCTTGCCATCTGCCACTTGGGTCCAAAAACGGCAGAAAAGACATCTGGCCATACAGAGGGTGCCCTGGAATTCCGCCGCTTCTCGCCATTTCCCGACTAGCATTGCATCAAATTGCCAGTCAGAATTATACTAAGACTACCCCATTATCCATCATTATCCCATGTTCGAATTTCATCATACACAGATGTTTGAGACTCATTTCTCAACTTCTTCTGCCAAGATTCCGTGGCACTGATTTGACGAAGAAGATGTGAAATACCTGCAAACTTTAGCAGAATCATCACAATCCACTCAAAATGTAGTAGCTACGTAGTCTATATCAACAACAAAGCATGCACATATCAAAGTGTGATGTGTGACATACATTTGGTGTAAACTAAATACATAGTAGGAGAACAGTCAGCCATAGAGATATTTATAGTCATGTTTTACCTCACATGTATCATGAATAGAACACTTCATCTCTTCAGCGCTTGGAATCTACACGTCAGCTGACATCATCCTGTTTTGTTGTTATCATGGATGTATTCAAGGAAAGAGTGGCATTTACACCACTATTGACAAGGCTTCTCAGATTTTTCCATCAATTTATGGCCAATCTTAGAGCCTTGCAAAAAATAGTTGGTCGGTATACATAGAATATAACATAACATAACATAACAGGACATAATAACATAATCATAATGTAATGTATATATATATACATAACACATAACATAAACATAACATAATCATAATTGTAACATATTATATATATATATACTAGTATCATGTATTAGACAATATAACTTACATATACACCTTTATTGGTGGCACCATTGCAATAAGACGAGCAACTAGCTTCAACGACCTTTCACCAGTTTTCTCCAAGATACAAATGTGAGGATCACCAGGATCGCCCCGTTGAAGTCTCTTACAATAGAAATCCTTTGGACCCGGGGACTCTGCCACCATCCAGCGGACGTCCTTGAAGTACTCCCTGTATGCACTGAGCAGTGACCGGCGCTGATCACAAATCCTGAACGCGATGTTTGGTTTGAACAAGTCGAAAAGTGACAACGGCATTCTTCTGCGATTTATATAGCACGATTGTGTCCGTAAAAGCTGCCAAATATTGGTATATTTGTTTGGATAACCAAGATGGGTTGGACATGGTTGGACTCAAAAATGGAACCAGAGGACCTGCACTACAGGTTGTTTTCGGCATGAGGTATCCGTTTCGGTGAGAAAGAAGCTTTCGATCCATGTGCAAAGATTGCAAAAGGTTGATTGTGAGAGCAAGCAAATGCAAAGCAACCGGCAATCGGAAAAAACAGTGTCTGTGCAAATACCGAGGGTATCCCCAAAATTGGACAAAGTGTATAACCCATGCAGAAGTGGGGACATTCTATACATGCATATTGGTTATTGCCAATCCACTAATTCGGATGCACTGTCAGCGGTCTTCGGCTTATATTCTATGGTTGGATACCATATCTGAATAACACACGTGCTTTAAATTATCCGGGAACAAAACCCTCAGTGTATATAAGGAGAGAGAGAGAGAGTGAGAAAATATGCCATAATGCATATGTACACCTATACCATTAATATACATATGTATATATATATATATGCAGCTGTCTACAAACGTTCTCCCCCAGCACTGCCGTTGGCGTTTCACAGCAAGGGGCTCTTTGGTCTGACGACAGTGCAACAAGAGGATCACTTCTTTGAATGCGTCTGTGTCGCAGGATGCCATCGGTGGTCCCAGTCGTCCTCTCCGATGCGATTTCAAGACACATCATCCCATCTGTTGTAATGGGACTACGGTCAGACAAGTGCTTATCTGGCTTTTTAAAAAACAACATACAAGTAAGAATAGGATTTGGGCATGGTGTTTCTTCTGTTTCTTGTGGTTGTATATCTGCCTACTATTGAATTAAAGAGAGGATATTGCTTGGGTTGCTACCACTATACTGAACTTCACTATCCTACTCCTGAGGTTTGTGAGTGCATCCCAATTACTTAGGGGTCAAGAACCCTTCTTTTTCTGGAATGAATCCCAAATATAACATCATACCACTTGGTTATAGTTGTGGTATGGTTTACTGGTTACTGTCCACTTACCAACTGGGGTTCACATCCAAACATGTTACTCATCCACCCTATTTTTTTTTGCAACGCACAGGCCGGAGCTGAGTGCGGCTTCTATGGTAACTGTTTTGCAGCGATTATGGAAAATTAAACAATCGCTGGGCAAATTCACCCTATATAATGAAATTTAGGCAATTAGGTCATCTTAATTTTATGAATTACCCTCCAGTAAACCATCATTGATACGGAAATTCACTATGAATGTAGGTCGTTTCGGACCACAAAACCAATGGATTTCCATCGTTGTTGTATGTTTGCTGGAGGTACAATCACGTACAATCCCAATTTTCCATCTTGAATCAGTTGAACCCCCAATTTATGGGGCATATCCCCATACCCCATACCCAACCCACGAAGTTCTCCATGATCTCCTTCTTCGGAAATCGGCACCACCCTCCTCGTGGGGCGTTGCTGAAGTTGCGCCAGGCAGGAAGATGCTGCAGGCTGGACACCACCCAGTTCACAGGGATCAGCAGCCAAGCCTCGACTCGGAAGTGTTCAAGTATTTCAAATGTATACAATTATACTACCATTCATATCACTATGATATTGCAATTCGTGTTAGTATCACTATCATGATTATTACGATTGTCATTATCATCATTGTCCTTATCGCTATTATTATTCTTATCAGAGTCATCATTGTCATTATCGTTATTATTATCATTATTGTTGTCATCATTATGATTATGGCTGCTTTTAGTTATCATTATTATACACAAATCATCTATATACAACACAATATGTACATCTTATTTGATATCAACATGTAAGGATTTAAGTAATGATAACAATAACAATCATAGTGATTGATAGACATAATCAGTGATATGATATATCTATCATATATAGAAATTCGGATGGCAATGAAGTAGAATTCATGTCAGGATGAAACAAATTCAAGAGGTGTAACTCGATTTTTTGGATTTCTCATGATTTCTCCGTTGGCGTAACCCGAAATGAACCATGACAATTTAAAATTTTAAGTGATTTTTGGAGACTTCCCCTTGCCATGTTTTCCAGTGGGTATCTACACAAATTCACCAACGTCATTCTTTTTTTTGGGGGGGGCGGACACTTCCTCCTACAGTGCATGATGACCCTGCCTGAGTGACAGCCAATGAGCTCCTTACAATTTGCCGAGATCTGTGGATTTCTAGGGCCCTAATCCAATACTCTTGTGGGATCAAACATGGACAGCTGGGAAATGACTGCCAAAAAAAGGAAAATGATCAACTAATTTTTGACAATTGTTGGATGTTCCAATAAAACATACCATCAATGAGTCTCGACAGAAATACATCACCCCACTGAACAGTCACCTAGTCATTATTCTGCCGGTCAATATCCCGGCATCTATGATGTTGAAGATCCCCCCCTTCCCAGTGGGAAAAAATAATCACATCACATTTCGCCCCAGAAGCCATGGCCAGCAAGCAGCGCCCACCATGCTAGTTTCATACGGAGTTTGCGTCTGCGACGCAGGCAGAAAAAGGGTTAGGATAAAATTGAGCCATGACTTACCAGCAGATTTGGAGATCAAAAACGCGCCAGTGGCAGTGTGACCATGGTCACATTTCACGGACAAGAGAAAATTACGCCATTGTCAAATAGCTGTGTGTTCAGTGCTACAGGTCTTCCAGCAATGGTATATAACTGATGATGCATGGTGACCTACGCTGATGATCCACCAGCACCATCACTGCCACCATCAGCACCATGCTCACCACTAGCATCGCATCATCCTCATCAACCCATCACACATCAAGACCCAAGGCCCGAGGCCCGAAGGAATGCCCAGTGACTCAAATAGCCCACAGCTTCCTGTAGCTCCTGCCAGAGTCGCTTGGGATTCTGGTGCTCCACTATCAAACTGACTGGGACACTGGGTGCTGGGGCGATGGGGCATGATCTTTTCTGGGCAAAGCGTAATCATTCACCAACGGCACCGTTGAAACAGTGGGCAACTTCCAACAGGAAAGAATCGATTGGGGAACTCACCATTATTGTTTCTGTGATCGCTATACCCAGATGATACCCAGATGATTGTTGGGAATATTTGACAATATTGATCACATATATATATATATATGTATGTATGTATATATATATATGTATATATACACACGTATTATCCCCTTATATCCCCTTTCTCAAACACATAGTCTTCCTGCTTGTCTCATCCAATCTGGGCCGCTGCCCACTACTTTGATCATCCAAACTGCACAGCCAATCTTAGAGTCTTAGATATCTCAAAAAAAAACATAGATCTCCATGAAAAACAAAAGATCAAAGTACTACAGGAATCTACAGGATATAAAAAGGATCCATCTAAAATTGACGCAGTCATACCCAGTCTGCAAATGGGACATTCACCAGGCCTACACGCCTCTCATGGCCCATCGGCGTGAAATGTGTGGCCCATTGAGCCGTTGGAGAACAATCCTTAATATTCAAATAGAAACAATGACTGGTTGGTGGTTTCAACCTACCCCTCTGAAAATGATGGAGTGAAAGTCAGTTGGGATGATGAAATTCCATGAAATTCCATGAAATTCCCAATATGATGGGAAAAATAATCCAAATGTTCCAAACCACCAACCAGGATCAACCAGGCATTCTTGGATTTACATCAATTTCATTCAATTTACATAATTTGCCATAATTTGCCACATTAAATTACATAGTATACTAGGTACACCTCCAGTTATATGAAATTGTCGACTCATAGCCATCCACACAAAACTCGCCCAGTACCAGGCTCCATGGTGTAGTGGTTCAGAGCTGTCAACAGCTCATTATCTGCTCGATTTCTGGCCTGGCCACAGGGTGACCCCGGGTGGATTACCCAAAAAAGGGACGTCAATGTCATCCCTCTTCAGTCACTGACATGGGTGCTGAACAGACTTGGGACTTGGAAGTCCCAGATTTTCGGACGATGTCCAGTCTCTTTGAGACTTTGAGACACCTAGAGGTTTTTGGCAGTTCCTAAACTTTGGAGGCATTCTAAACTACAGTGAAACCACTGTCTAAGAACCCACTGCATTAAGAACTTCGGCTGTATTGCTGGATGCACCCCTATCTACTGGCTACTTGAAGAACCCAAGGCTACGCTGGATTTGTGGGACCACTGAGCTAACGGAGGCAGTATGGAACTGCACCCCTAAGTGAAAATTAAGAACTAAGCCCGTTAAGAACTTGAGGGTACCCTTAAGATTTAAGAACCCCAGGGTAGGCTGAACAATTCTTATTCGGTTCTTATCTAATGGTTCCGCTGTAGTTCATTGGCCAAATATTTTGAACACGTGGATTTTCCAACTGATGATCACATTCCTGCGATAGCTGTGAGAAGTCACAGGCTCCAAGGGTATTGTTGCTTATATAATACAGTGTCACATCATGATATATCTGGCTTGGCAAAATAATATTGGACCCTTGCCCCTTGCATTTCAGTCTTGATTGATTGTATCGCCAGTTTGGTTTTGAATCTACTTGTTTCCTACTTGTTTCCTACTTGTTTCCTACTTGTTTCCTTGACTATGTTCATTTTTGTTTATATTTCATATTGTTTATTGATTCTGCCCCCAGTTTTCTTACTGTTATGTCTTGGTCTTACATTCCCTGTTTCTGGACCCTATCGAAGCTTGCTGAATTCTAACGATAAACCAAGTGGCTAACCAAAGCTATGAACATGAGGACGGAAAATTTATGGACCCTCCGGCAATCAAACATAGCAACTGGAACCCCCCCAGAATATCCTATAAATGGAGGTTTGGATGGGAACATCAAGCATAAATCAATGGGATATTTTCCCGCAAGCCACGTTCACCGGAGGGTAAATTTGGATTACACATGCTTGGTATGGCGTCATTTTGGAATGATTCCCTCTGCTAAACGTCAAATCTGTCCCATGTGGTTTTTGCGAGGTCGATCACATGGAGCCATCTATATCTAGCCATTTTTTGGGGGGCCAGATATAATTATATATGTGGATATACCCATAGTTCTAGGGGCCCATATCCCACTTATCAAGGTGAACTCGAAAAATGTTTATCCCAAGTCCCAAGTCCAACATTCCTCTAGTTTTACCATGTTTTACCCATTTATATCTAGCATAAATCCTAGTAATGTCATAATGTGAAAAAAACATCACCCATTTGGGAATGGTTTATAGTTTATAGCCTACTTATGGTGAAATTGGGGATGGTTTATGGCATTGTTTTACCACCATTATTAATCCCAGCAGATTCGAAACACCTGGGAGGCGTCCGCCATGGCTGCTTTGATGGCGCGGAGCTCCGCCTCCAGCTGAGCCTGGTACATGATGGGTTTCCATCGTCATTTTTGGGTACCTCCAATAGCTGGATGGTTTATTTCATGGAAAATCAGAGTGTGTGTGTGTGTGTGTGTGTGTGTGTGTGTGTGTGTGTGTGTGTGTGTGTGTGTGTGTGTGTGTGTTTTCTGGTTGGTGGTTTCAACCCATCTTGAAAAATATGAAAGTCAATGGGAATAATTATCCCAATTATTATGGAAAAATAAAACATGTTCCAAACCACCAACCAGTTTTTGAATGGTTTATTAATGTATTATACAGTAATGTTTATTTTCTCTGGAAAATGACCGTGTTTCTATGACAAATGGATGATTTGGGCTTAATTTCCCCTATCTTAGGAAACCTCCAGAGTCGGCATTGAGAACTATCATCCCTGAAAATATCTTAAATCTTCCTAAATATGGGTTTTTCAGGAGAAATATCTTTGAAACCACCAGTGGTGAGTAGGATTTTTTGTCATTTTCTGTAAGTCATCCCATGTGGGGGTTCCCCACTCAATAGAGGAGGCTTCCTCCGATCGAAATGACCAGCGGCTTCCAGCTGAGGATTTTTATTGAAGTGTCAGCCTCGGGACACATCCAGGTTGTCCTTAAGCATCCTTAAGCTATAACGGCATGGGTCCTCCCAGCTGACGAGTCTGACGAGTTAGGAAAGAACAAGGTGGATGCTGTTTGGTGGACAAGGCTCAAGAAAATAAGTCATTGTGGCCCCACCACTGTCCACAAAGATCAGCTCTCTACTCATCTTTGCATGGCACGTGGGTCTCACTGTTGATGGGGTCATGCCTTAAAGGAATGGCTGACCTTCTCTAGACACCCTGCCAAAACTGTTCTTTAGTGGTTGCTACACCCTGCTAAGACTGTTCTTTAGTATTCTTTAGTGCTTATCCTGGTTGCTAAAATGTTTATAATGTTGCGCCATCAAAATACTCCCCAAAAGACGCTAAAAACAGCCAGCCCTATCCAGACCTGAAATCGTCTCTTCTCCTCATCTTGCTGCACCACCTGCCGGTGCCGGGCTAAAACACCGCTCCGAAGGACGGTGTCGATTCGTCCCTGTTCGAAGCACATGACACGAACTGATCAGGTTTCAGAAAACGACGACGACGACGACGACGACAACAGCAACAGCAACAGCAACAGCAACAGCAAACAACGACAACCAACAACCAACAACAGCCAACAGCCAACAACAACCACAACAACAACAACGACGACGACGACGACGACAACGACAACAACAACAACAACGACGACGACGACGACAACGACAACAACAACAACAAGAACAAGAACAAGGATCATAATAATATACTGTAATTATAAGAACAACAACAAAAATAACAAGAACAAGAACAACCACAACAACAACAACAAGAACAAGAAGGATAACAAGAACAAGAGCAACAACAATAACAGCAACGCCGGTCTTGGTCAACATGAAACATCGTGGATATCATTGCACCCAGGCGAATGTCTCGCTGTGACGACACGTAAATCTTCTCGAAAAGGGATTCAAGGTCTACAAGTCAGGGACAAGATGACATGGTGTTTGATGGTCAACAACCAAACCCAGTAACTAGGAGTCAATTATGACCCAAGGTGCGGTGTACCGAACCCAGACAAACATGAAAGGCTCAAAAATTGGGTACCTTCCACATAAACCCACCGGTCTTTATAAGACCACACGATGGACCAAGAGGTCGATAAGTAATCACCAGTTCGAGCATGAAAAAATATTCTGTCATCTCCCTGTACTGGTTGGTCCTGGTTGGTTATGAAAATATTAAAAGAGGCTTTCCAATGTTTCCGTCAATCCTCAGTCAACCGGTAGAACAGGGTACTCCATTTCTCAGCTGAGCCCACGGATGAAAACTGCCAGGTTCCTCAATGAAAACTGGTGGTTCACCCCACTTCGTAAATGCTAGTTCATAACAGGTCATGACAGGTCATAACGTTGGTAAAAAAAATACGGGGTAAGTAGGGTTAGTCAGTCCACTTCAAACTCGGTTATAAAAGCGGCTACGATGTAAGATGGACCAATTTTAGGGCCACACTGTGAAGGACACCCCGCACGCCATGTCATCAGCACCACGCTTCAGCTGATCCTGGGCCCGATTCATGAACTGCCTTAAATATAACTGGATTTGGCCCAGGTATAAGTAAATGGATCAGGATATCCTACGATATAACTTATAACTTATAAGTAAACTGGAGATATCTGGAGATATCTGGAACTTTATCTTGAGGATTTCTGGCAAGTTCATTGAAGTTCTGTCAAAAGAAAGAAATTGTGCACGGTCGCCCCAATCTGCCCAGAGACATATGGCGACTTGGGCCCAGTCGCTGACTCGTCATATCTGATTCCGTCTAGTGGAGATCCAGAGTGAAACGGGGTGCCCCCATTTTAGGAACCCCCAGCTGGAATTATATATGGCTCATACTCCCAGATGTTTTTGGGTGTATACCCCTTTTGTGTATTGGCACCCCCATGATTGGTGCTCAAACAGCCATAGATTCATAGTTGGGTCATATCTATTATCTAGCTGGGATCGCTTAAAAAATGGCTGATCTTAGCTGCGTCAATGACTCATCAAATCCAATGGCAATGGGGCGGATTTTTGTCCACCAAGGGGCGAATTTCCGCTGGGAGAGACGTTCGTCCCGAGCCTTGGAGGCGGATCATTTGGGAGTTTCTGAAGTCATGGAGGATCCCCAGTCGTCACCTGCAGGTTGTTTCGTCACTAAATCAGGTCATCCATGACCCCTGGATGGGGGTACCCCCATGACGACTAGGAAACCTCCACTTGGGATCATGGTTTCGACCCTCGCTTTTTTTTCAGACTTCAGAATGCCGATTTCGGAAACATGATCAGCTGTTTTTTCTCAGTCAGAAAATCACAGGATCGGTTTGGGGAAACCGGAAACCATGATATATCACTAGTGACATGGCGGTTTCCTGTATTTTGTCCCATCAAAAAATTCCGGGAGTCCGAGGTCCGATGGAGCTAGGAGTATACCGTCGTGATAGAATTGTACCCTTTTTAGGGGTGACCTGTTTTATCCTCTGGAAAATTCCTCTTTTTATTGTTGTAGAATGTGGAAACCCAACAGTAAATTCCCTGTTGACTATCGCCTAAACCCTTGATGGTTGGTGGCTTGGAGCTTCTCACCTCACGCACTCCAAAGTGTGTGCAACTCAACTTCCCGAGACTATGAATTGAATAGAATTGATTTACAGCAACTTTGTTTAATTAATATATATATATTATATACTGTTACATATTTGTAGTCCGTATCTAAACTCCTACCTTTGAGTCTTCCCCAATTCATCATTTTCCCAATTCGTTTCCCATTGGAAATGACCATGCCAATGGGGCGGGCCGAACGGCGCCGGGCGCCCGGGAGGCCCCACCAATTTCTCCACGCTTTGCATCTTCAAGGCTTCCAAACGATGAAAGAAGTCGCTCAGGCATTCCTACTGTGGGCCGTTGCGAAATCCAGAACCGGATGCTTGAAAATAGTTGAAAGCCTATGAATAATGGGATTTCATTCCATCTATCAACTGGTGCAGGATTTCTTCCATCCACAGGAACGCTGAAGGGTGACCTTGAAGGCTGCCCCAAAAAATATGAAAGCACCGGCCGGTTGTTTAAGACTTTCTTCATACCTTTGCCATGAAAATATCGCCATATTTGCATCATTTTGGGGTATGCCCCTGCGAATCTATATACAATTCATTCATGAATGGACTAAGGAGATATGTGGTACAGCCACATCAGCTGAATTTACGCATGAGGGCATGATGTCTATGATTTGCGTACCGTTCAAAGAAACTAATTACCAATGACCATTGGATTGGCAGGGAGTTCAGAATGTTCTTGTGATCATGTCATTTCTGAATGTAACCTCCATCATTTATCCCCTAGGGCTTTGATTCATCCCGTTTTTTATGATTCACCCAGAATTAATCCGGTCACGGTCACTGGTGGCCCAAGATTTTTTGGACCAATCCCCCAGTGGTCGTTGGGTCCACCATTCATCCCATTGAAATAGCATTTTTTCATGGCGAGTCTTGGACACTCGCTGCAAGAAGTTACTATTTTATGTCTCTCTCTATATATATATGTATGAATATGTATATGTACATAACATCATTACATAATTATACGTATACATATATATATATTATAAAATATCACTATATATATATATGTGTATACAATATTACTGGCTGTACTGAAGATTCCCTAAAATCCAAACGGCAACAGCATCACCAAATTCACCCAGTCGACCAAAGGTTCTGGGCTACGAGTAGCTATTGATGTCTGTTCATAAACCTGACATAAACCATCATAAACCTATGGATTACATTATAATATATATATATATGTAGATAGATACAGTCTAAATATGGCAAAAAAGTGGCATGGTTCATCATGATTCTATGATCCTCAGGTGACCCTTCGCCGTTTCGCCGTTTTGCCTGGCGGTCAGTGACATCCTTTTCAAAGTGCTGACGGAAGACTCCGATCTCATTCTCCTTGGCGCGATGTCATGGCAATGAGCTGCTGATAAGTTGAACCTCTGGAAATGATGGGGCAAATTGGGGAACATCTCCTCGTTCCCTATCATCCTGGAAATACAGCTTTTTATCCAGGAAACTACAGCTTTTCACCCCAAAAAAAACCAGGATTCTTGTAGAGATTGTCTTTTCAACCAATCCCTGGATTCAGAATGCAAAAATGGCCAATAAAATCATATGGCCACTATGGAACAGTGATATGTGGTTTTTTCGATCCATAAAAGGGGTACTTCCCATGATGGGATGATCGTCTGTTGATGGTATCCATATAGCAGGCAGCTAGACTCCTCTAAGAGGCGCAGTTTTAAGGTGCAGAAAAGGTGCAGGGGCATGAAATGGACTTACAAAAAATGAAAAGAGCCGGGGCTAACTCTTGTAAAACTCTATGAAATATGAATCCCTTCTGGATTGTGACGAGCGTCGCGTCCTCGTATCGGGTAGCAATGGACAAACAAAAGGGAACAAGTTCCTTGTCAGTACTGAACCATGGTAACGGGGGGAAATCAATAGGAATCATTTTTTCACGAGCCTAATGCCGAAACATCATAGACAGCGAAGGCTGCCATTTGGCTTCAATATTGGGGCTTGGCCATGACGTTTGGCCGTGGCAATTACAGCACTGGATGGGGCAGTAGTCATAGTAATCAAGTAATCCCATCCTAAATTTGGGGCCCCCTAGATAGCTAAGTTACGGTTTATAACTCCAATAATTGAATGATGCTTATAACATCTTATAACCATATTAACCATAGTTAATGGGGTTTATAAACCAACAAACATTACTTGGGGGGCCCGCATTGGTCCTTAGTGTTGGATCTCTTCATTTTGAGGGCCAGTCCTGGGTGGAAACCTATCCCAACCTATCCCAAACACCGCCTGAGATACCGACGACGGCCGAAGCTTCCTTCTCCATGTGTCCCACATAGTACGACCTCGACTCCTTGAAGGCCTCGCTGAGAGAACCGAGCGACTGCACTTTGGCACCATCACGGCCGTTCGGTTGAGGGCGAGGTAGGATGCAATATTATAAACTGCAAAAAGAAAACAACCTGATGAACGAGAATTTCGGTCACGGCTCACTGCAGTATCACTTTACACTTTACACTTCAGATCTTGAACTTCTACGTAGTCATGTTTTGGTAGTTCACGCAAGGATTAGGATGCGTGTATCGTTCAGTTTTTAGTTGGTCTTGAACCATCCCATTCTTGGGTACCCATGTGCGACCCATACTCGCTCCCATGTTTGCTATTTTTTCTCCGTGTATCTCCATGGTTTGTTAGCGAAAGGATGTTCAACTAATATCATGGATAAATTGCCTATTCTATGTGTTTCTGGTTCAACCCAATCATTCTTCGAACATACCTCCAGTTTTCATGATTGAACCATAGTGAGTCCATATGAATCCATAGTTTTTTAGCTGTTAATCACGCATCTCATCAGCAATGACCTTTTCAATAAGTGTGGGAGTGGATTTTCCATTGTCATGTGGGTGCGTCTTAAAATTACGTACACCTTAATTCAATAGGACATCATCATGTTTTGGTAGACATGGATTTGTCTAAGAATAGGGTACCTCCAAAAAAACACTTCAAGGCATACTGCATTTTTGGATAGACCCTTGTCCATTATGCATTGGTTTTATCTATCCCTATTGTTGATGATTTCCCTCCAGTAATCAAACATGGCAATTGAACATCGCCGAACTAAATGAAGGTTTTTAGCGGGGAAAATCCTGGGAAATCGACTATTTATATATATATATATATATATATGTATATGTATATGTATATGTATGTATGATATATATATATACACACATATACATATACATATACATATACATAAACATATACATATACATATACATATATGTATACATTAATATATACATCTACATTTAAACATATACATAAATATATACATCTACATCTACATATACATATATATATACATATACATATACAGATACATATACATAAATATATAAAATTGGAGTGTCCATGATTTTCCAGCCATCTTAGACTTTTTTGTATTGTTGATTGATGGTCGGGATGATCTTTTCCCAATGGACGGACCCGTGAGCTATTTCGCCCCATCGCCTTCTCGACCGTTTGCAGTCGATCGCTGAGGGCCTAGGGAGATGGGGGTTTCCACGGGTTTCCTACTGGGTTTCCTCAATTGGGGGTACCAAAAAAGCTCGCTGGATGGTTTTACTCAAGTTCAGGGAAAATCTGGAAATATCTGTGAATATCTGTGAATGGATGAGAACTGGCATAGCCCGTCATGACTCAGGAAACCTCCAAATGTTTTCACCCCAAAAGAAGCCAAAAGAATGGTGGTTTCTCGGGATGTCCTGCAAGATGATGTCCGGAGGGATGATCGAAAAATGAAAACCGGCGTAAGAAAAACGAACTGGGAAGCAGTTGGCCCAGGAAACGGGGATAGATGGGGATTATCACTCCAACTTCAATTTTGAATCGTGATTATTTAAAATCTGGGTTTTACTGTGGACTATTTCAGGATTTGGGAAGCATTCCTGGTTGCAGGTTGCCTCCACATTTCCATACTTGTGGGGAACAAGAAAAATCTTCCTTCAGCTCATGCCTCAAGGGGGGTTGTCCAGCACTGGAGGATTCTTGGACAGTTCCAAGTCGGAGCTGCCTGGTGTCTTACTTGGCATTCACAGGTCGATCTTCCCTTCCCAAAACATCAAGAAGTTGCTTCATACCCGAGCTGTTTTGGCACAAGCGGAGGTCAATTGAGGCTACGGGCATCAACTTGGCTGTACACTCGTTCAAATTGGTTCAAGAACGAGGCCTGGCTCAACTGCTTTGCGAAAGAGGACGCCAAGCAGCACTGTCATCACTGTTTAGCAGCGCTCAAGGCATGGTGTTCCATTGTTTTCCATGGTTTGCCGACTAAATTTATCATAAACAGTCCCCACTTCAACCAAACATGGTTTTGTTTGGGACCAGGATAGCTCAAAGACTCCCTGGTAACTCTCAGTTGAGTCCCTAATATTCACAGCCGGTCAGCTGCGTTGCCTCCAACTTACTTTGAGCTTTCGCCAGCATCGGGTGCAGGAAATCCTGCAGTTCCACATCTTCAGTTTCCGACGTTTTCCTTCAGCCATAGATAAGTACATATAAGTACTCTATGCGACGCCCCAAGCGCCTCAACACGTTCCGAAAAAACACACCCCATCCCCACACAACCAAAATATCAAAATGTTGCTACCATTCTGAATGTGTTCCTCAGATTCAGTTCAAAGTTCAAAGGTTTCTGTATGGTGGTTTATGACATTGGCCGTTGTGCAGCCCCCCAAACAAGAAACACACAAATAGTTTCGCCGCAAAGCCATTGCGACATCGAAGCGTCGACCTTCAAATCTCAACAGAAACCAATTTTGGAATAGGTTGCTATGATTTCCAATAGAAACAAACCATCTCAACCATCTCAAATGGGATATCTTCAGCACCAGCCATTCAGGGCCTTTTTCAAGAGCTCCAGTTGAAGAAGTCGCCGCTCCGTCTCCTCCCAGTGATGGCTTACCACTGAGCCGCAAAATCTGTGTTATGTTGTGTTAAAATGAGTCAAACCACCCAGTTCTCGGGGAAAAATGCCCACATATGTGTAGATTGATATGTAGATCATATGTAGATCTTAGATAATTTTTTAGGAATGTGGGGTCGGAAATCGGGCACAAAGCAGTTTGCTAGCTCATAGATCCACAGAGAAATTAATCAATCATCTGAAAAGTACTAAAGATAAAGCAAACATGCTCAATTTGAAACAAGCCCAATTTGGAGGTCTCTTAAAATGGGGGTACCCCTAGATCATCCATTGTAACTGGGATTCTGCATTCTAAACCATCCACCTATTGGGCACACCGTGGAAACCACCATTTCCAATCGGAAAATCATCTTCCAGGGATGTCGACACTCCCACTTTCCTGGTGCCGAATGTCCAAGAGATTGCAACATGCAAAACAGGTCCTGCTTCAAGCAATCCTCCAGCCTTTGCGCCTGAAATGGTCAATTTTTTGATCTAAATATCTATAATGTGGTGTGGGTAACACAATGCCATAAACCACCCATGACTGGGAATGGTTGAACTTACCACCTGTAAAAATTGTAATTTGGGGGATGGTTTAAATTGTTTACCTACATTAGTATATTATTTGCATGGAGGTACCAGGACTCGGACTGATAGAGATGCTATCCGCAACACTCCCAACCGCCAGACCATCTCAGACTACAGTCAATCACGCTTTCAATCTTTCAGGAGAATTCAGGTCACCCATTTGTTTTCATCGCTCACACGCTCCTTTGCATCCACTGCCCACTTCAGGCAAAAATCCGCTATATAAAATCCAAAAATTGGATCCGAGCCTTTTTGGGGTACACGCAGACAGGGATCAACCCGAACGGGTTTCTATCGGGGCACCCCCGTACCGGAGTCCTGTCAGACCAGCACCAACTTCACATCAACATGTCCATTGCATTCCATGGCATTCCATGGCTGCTACATCTCGTGTTTCTCCAGCAACATTCCACGCACTAGCCCAGCATGGAACATGTTTCGACCCAGCAATGAGCCGACGTAGCTCAGCCTGCACATCGGCAAGGAGGCAACAAACTGTTTTCGATGCCATCTCCGATGAACCTGTGGAAAAACTCACCTTACTTTGTACTTGGGATGAAGCTGCATGGAACGGATCGGTGCCATGTCCAGCTGCCGATCATCACCTCTGCGACCGTTTTTCGATGTTTCATGATGGATGCAAATAGATGTTTCTAAAGGAGGGACCAAAAATCATGCTATTTTTGTTGAGAGAGAAACCATGAGAAACCAATGATTTTGGGGTACCGCAATTTTCAGAAAAACCCTGGACCTTTATCAGGGAGTGGTTGACTAACATTGCATATCATGACCAAATATAGTTTCAGAAAAAATGTCTTAATTGCAAACATTGGTTTCACTGACCTTTACATCTTTTACATTTTTTACAATAAATCACCGAATACAATATGTTGCAAACGATGGTCATGTGGGGTCTCCTGTGAAAAGGGAAATAAATCCAGAAAAACCATTGGGAATTCGACCCAACACCTGGGGGTTCACAACTGGTATACATCAGGTGATGGTGAACATCCCTCTGTACTCCAAAGCTCGTTCCAAGTGGCAGATTGCTCACCCCTCAAGTGTCACGGCCGCTGGCATTGGAGATATAGCCCAGTCGTTCCAATTTTCTGCAGGATCTGCGGCATGGGGTGGCCACCTTCTGCTCACTCCACCAGCTGTGCCCAACCGTTCTCAAGGCCCACTGCTGCGAAACAGATCCGCGAGAAAAAACACCAGCTGGAAACTGTTCCCAGTGGCCTCGGTATTTCAGAAATTGCTCTGGAAAACTGAGCAATGACCCCCACTGAGGCAAGAAAAAGCACGCAGTTGTGAAACGCAACTCCTGGAATTATGTTGATTTTTCAATACATTTGTTTCCCGCCAAAACGTTCTTCCCAAAAAAATCGAAAGTATACTATATATATATATAGTTCACCACCAAACGCCCACAAATCAGCGATGATGCAATCGTGTCCCCCATCATCAAATCATTCCTTGAAGATCCACCTGTCGTGCAATTTTTTTGCAATGGACTTGCATGGATACACCGCCAGGACAAAAGTTGAATTCCTCTTGGGGGGTTTCCAACACCCTTTCCCCAGTCAGACTCTACCAAAGAAGTTTCTACTTAAGAAGTTCCTACCTGGGTCGTGGACCACGGATCACACTTGTAACCTTTAAAAAATATTTTAATTTATATAAAACGACTAGAAAACTCGATCCACCAAGCAGGCCACGCGAAATGGCCCTCAGAATCCTAACCTTGATTTGCAAAGAGATATGCATTGCTTTGTTCTGAAACAGCGGCAGGGCAAAACTTTCGTCCCAGTGTTAGTGAACTATGTTGGTTTCCATGAATGGTGGTACCCCAAACCCAAAATGGATGGTTTATGATAGGAAACCCATGAACATCCGAAAATAAACTGGATGATTTTGGGGCCCCCCCCCATGACTTCGGAAACCTCTGTTGGTTTGGCATGATGCTTCCAAGCCAAGTGTCGGGGTCGTCTCCTCCATCTTCCGCTTTCGGACCACCTCGGCCTCGGCCTCGGGCAAATCCGCCACCTTGATGGGGCGTCCCAAGCCCTGCAAGCGCTGGAGCTGTTGCGCCCAGGGCGCAAAGTGGAGATCCGAGGTGTACGTATCATGGCTTTTGCACCAGAAGACCTGAGATCTTTTCCAGAAAGTTGATTTGGACATAGAATCTTCAAAGTCTAGGAGATAGTAAGAAATGGACACGTAACTAGGTTCACGGCTAATATTTCGCCGTGGGCCAACATGACATTCTGATGATGTATATGCCGCAGTCAAATCACAGCAATTGCATGGGTTTCGAGTCTTCGTCTGTTGTCGATGTCTGCAAAAATGTTTTTGTTCTTCTATGCAAAAGCGAGTAATTAAACTAGTTGCGTCTTCACTCACTAAATTTTTGCCAAGTGGCGCAAGAAAGCAACAGCACTTAAGTGTCCCAAGTCTTTTCCCAAAAAGTGATAACAACACATATTTTACCACGGCGAATTATGAGCCGTTGTCAAACTACAATGTTACGACAAAACTGGGTCTAAACAATGTGTGTTAACCCACAAACATGGGTGTTTCACCAGAAGATACGGGAAGATGTTGCTATATGTTGCTATAATTTTGGAGATATTGATCCGGGAGCACAATTCTTCTTTGGGACGTGAAATCAGTAGTTCAGGATGGCTACTTCAACTTCTATTTGAGGGTTACAAACACCATCCCCAGAATGACGACCATTTTTTGGGGTTGGATTCAAACCATCCCCAAATGGCACGCTTATGGCATGTTCACATTCATTATATGGCCGGCTATGGCTTAAAAAAATGGCTCCTATGAGCCCAGTCATAAGTGGTGGACAGTAATGCATCCCAACAATGATAGTTGTAGACTGGGATTCCATCAGATTCAATCCTTGCAAGGGTGGAACATATCCAAAAGATTGAATGATGTTTCATCCACCAACTCTGAAAAAAAAGAACATGAGGATGACATGAAACAAGCTCTGAAACATCTGAGACGCTCTTGACGATCCTTGAAGTGCTTTCCGCGGCAACGTCCTCAGGGTCTGGATCATTCTCGGGAAGCTGCAGGGAATCGAGAGGAGTACTTGGAGGGGAAAAAAAAACTGCACCATTGGATGTCTTTGGGGATCATTATTCCATAGAATATCATATAATATCATATAACATCATATAATACCGTTTGAACATGCTGAAAAGACAACTTGTACTAAATACCATTGTAAAATGTATATAGTCCAGCTTGTCAGGCTTGCACAAGTTGGTTTTAACCATCATCCCAAATATGGTTGAAAACCAACTTTTAGTCATTGGGGGTCAGAATCCAAAACATTAAAATATAAAATACAGCACAAAATATGCCAAACCACAATCCAGGGGAGAATGGGAAGGAACAAGAAAAACGAATCAGCGAACCAACTGGCCAATCTAGGATTTTTGCCCTCGGAGGTTCTATGTTCAATGCAAAATCTACCAGATCAGCCGGAGAATCATATTCTCCACAATTTGGGACATGGCTGTGCCCCTTACAGCTGGTGCCAACCACTAAAAAACCTGCAAATTTGTGAATATGACGAGGATGATGAGGATGATGAGGATGAGGATGAGGATGAGGATGATGAGGATGATGAGGATGATGAGGATGATGATGATGATGATGATGATTCTTACACATTACTACTTATATATATATTACCATTACATACTATTATATACTATTATGTTATATATATATATACACATATTGACATTCTTATCACTAGCATTATTAAGATGATGATTATGATTATTGTTCTGGAAGGATTTAATCTGAACCCCCAAAACCCCCAAGACGTACATGGACTGGCTGAGCATCCACTCTGCCTTTCACAAAGCCGAAGGTCCAGGTTTCCAACCCCAAAAACCTGATGTCTCTACCAGTTCCCCACTGTTTCCCGGGTGACCCTCTGAAAAATATGAAAGTCAGTTGGGATGATGAAATTCCCAATATTCATTGATGGCCCAAGGGGGATTTCCTACAGGGGTGGTTCTAGTTAAAAGCAGGCCCTGGCAGAAACCAACAAAAACCTGCAGAATACTTCAAGTTTGTTGCAGTAAGCTGACAGCAGCCTCCCTTTTTTTAATCCTTTTTCTGGCTGTCAGACCAAGACTGCAGCCATCTGCTGCACATGCAACGAGCTTCAGCTGAAGTGAGGGCCTTCTTAGTCCCTGCACTCACCATGACCCTGTAGTAGAGCATAACATCTAAGTCCATCTCATTAAGTGATGTGATTGTGGAAGGCTCCAAGGCTTCATTCAATGTATTGGGATCAAATTGGCAGTACAGGGTGTTTTGTTCCTTCATCCTTGAGTGTGCCACAGGATGCTTGACTTTGGGTGGCAGTTTTGCTTGCCATGCCATGACACCATTGACTTTCTGCATCCCAATGCTGCACTGTGCTGGTGGCTTCCAAGTCTCTGCTTCCACAGTGACATCTACATTGGGCCCTCTGTGACCATCTCTGAGCCCCATTGAAGAAGCTGATGGTGCTTCAGCTGGGGAAGGCAAAGTGACAGCAGCATCTTCCATGGGAGCATCTTCTCCTGTCTGCTGAGGTTGCTTAGGTTGCTGCTCAAGATCCTGCTCAGGTTCCTGCTCAGGTCCAGGTTGCTGCGTTCCCAAAGAAGCTGCCAAAGCTGCCCTGCATCTCTCAGCAAAACTCAAGCCTTTCTGTTTGGCCTTGGCCTTGGCCTTGGCCTTTCTTTTTGCTTTGGGCTTGGGAATGGCTTTGCTAGAGAACTGTTTGGCCTTTGACAAAGCTCTGTGTCTTTTTGCTTTTTCTTTTCTCACTTTCTCAATATCTTTCAAATCACTTGTGTTGTAAGCCTCCTCCTTGTGGATGTCTAAAATTTCCTCAAAGTCACTGTCCAGGTCCTCTTCAATCTTTTGGTCCAAACTTTTTTGTTGTTCCTCAAATGCTTCCTGTGCTTGTTTTGTTTTGGCATCATCCCCTCCAAAGCACAACCCAAACAGCTGGCTGGACAGAGCTAACAAAGAGCTCCCTTTCACTGAGCCACCCAAGTGCTTGATCAACTTCCTGATGTGTGGGCTGGTGAGATACATGCCATTCAAACACAATGCCTCTGGCAAAGTGCATGGGTCATCAGACTGGAAAAAAGCTAAAGGGCCTTGCTCAGTCACCATGGACAACTCACAAGGGATGTGGAGCCAGTCATCCAAGCTCCAAATTGTTTGCCAATGCAAAGCTGCAGGTCTCAGGTCAAAAACAAAGTACCTTCAGGTGAGCAAGGCTTGTAGCTCTGGCAGTGTGAAAACTGTTTTGGGACAAAATGCCGAACTGTTTTGAAACTGATGTTGTTGAACACATGACATGGTGAAAACTGTGTTTGACCCAGGCACCTGGAGCCATTGTTTGCCACCTCCACTTTCAGTCTCCATGCCAAAAAGCACTGCTCAGCAGCAGCCACAACCCAGACTAGCTCACCAAAATGGCGATTGGCAATGATGGATCCAGGTGCCCCACAAATGATGGACAGCCAACTGTCAGGCAAATGTTTGCCTTCTTGCTCTGCAAGCCTCAGGTGGTTGAGCACAAACTCTGTGGATGCAATGCCCTGAAACATGGAAGCTGGTGTAGGGGAAGGCCATGCACCTCTCCCTCTGTTGGGAAGCATCATTCTTTGAAAAGCTTTGTCCAATTTGTGTTTTTCAGGTCTGGCTCTGTGCACAAAGCCACCCTTGGTGTCATTGGATGACCACTGTCCAGATTGAACCTTGTCCACCACAGGCAGCTGCACAGCATTGAGCTTTCTTTGCTTCAATGCTGGTGAGTGGAGCACAGCTGCCATTCTGCTTGTCACAGCTCTTTGAAAATGCTTGGTGTCTCGCAGGCTGTCTTTGGCAGTTTGGTGAGTGCATTCAACAACTCTGCTGTCTCCTAAATGCAAGCAGTGGAGGAGAAGCAGCTTTCTCCCTTCATCATAGCCCTCAGCAAGCCCACCATCTTGCTCCAGTGCCATAAAAACCTTAGTGAAGCTGTGAGAATCACAGCAGCATAGTATGGGCTGCCCAAGCTCAACTGCCCCAATCAACAAAAAATAGACATGTTTTTTTGTGGTGGCAGGCCTCATGGATCACACACCCTGGTCCCATCCAAGGAGCTGATCTTGTCAAAGCATTCAACCTCCAATGAGCTTTCTCCAAACCAGGCTGAGGGGTTCCTCTGACAAGCTTAGATTCTGCATCCAACAGAGTGGCCCAGTCTGCCATGCATTTGTCATAGGATCTTTGAGCTTCAGCTGGGTCATAGCCTGCAATAGCTGCATACTTCACAGGGGGTGTCAAGTACTGAGTTGTCAAACTCTGGCCTCTGTTGGAGGTCAAGTGTGTGAAGTATTTCAGCAGCCATTCCTTGACATTGAGGCTCTCCACCAGGTCACTGCTTCTGAACAGGAATTGCAAGCTGCTGGCATCAAAGAAGGTGTCCCTGGCACAATCTACCTGGGTTCACTTGAGGAAGTGCTTGCTAAAAAAGTGTGACCCACAGCTTCACAACCACCCTTCAACAAAAGCACACCTTACAGAAACCAAAAATTGCAAATAGAAAAATGGATGGAAAAACAGCCCAGTGACTAATTCCTGGGCCCAACCTTGGTTGGTGACAGACTTCAAGGTGTGCTGGAAAACCTGTTCAGCTGTGAGTAACTCTCTGGCTTCCTCACTGTGGTGAGTGCAAGCTGCCCTGCTGACCACACATAAAATGTCTTTCTGCATGATGTGCCTGGCATGCAGCACTTTGCCTGCAACCTTCCAGGTGCCTTTGGATTTTTTCAATTCTTGCAGCTCTGCCCTGGCAGTTTTGTCATCTTGTGTCTGTCTTGTGGGCAATGCAGTGTCTTCTTCATCTTCATCATGGGTCATGCCATGCAGGCCCCCATGTGTCAAAACCATTTTCAAAGCCATGTGGTCTCCTTTGTAGAAATTGCTTGGCTGGAAGAAACTCAGCCATCTCATGAGCTTCACAAGTGGGCCCTTCTTCCTCCAGTGCTCTGAATCCTGCACCTTGTGCCACAATTCCTCCACATCTTCAGGGAAAGTTGGCTCAGGGATATTCAGTTCCCAGCATATGTAGGGAATGTAGCTGGCAAAAGTGGAACTGTGGGGCCCATTGCTTTCAAAAAATTCCTTGGCTGCCTGTGCCTTTCTGTGGAACCATTGGCCTGAGTTGAATGGGCCATATGGCAAGTTGTAGCTGATGGACAAAGAGAGAACCATCTTCCACAAGCTGGCTTTCCTCATTGCAGCTTTCAGATCATTCCAGCAACGATGAAATGGGTCCCATTGCAAACCCAGCATCAACCTGGTCTCCTGGGGCCCATAAGCCAAGAAATGAAGAGCAGCTCTGTTGGTCGCACCTTGATCTGAGACTGAGATAATGGCTTTCATTTTGCTCCACTGAAAACCCACAGGTGTCTCTGGAATCAAGGTTCTGGACACCTCATTGTAGATGAAGGAAATGCCATTATGAGTGTGTCGAACTTCTTCAGCAGTCAAAGGTCTGGCTATCACATGGTCAGGCACTTTCAAATCATTAAATGCCAAGCCCAAGCCACTCAAAGCATGGCTAAGTGCCCTGGCTTCTGCCCATCCTTCTACCCTGGTCAATTTGCCCTCCAAGCCCAAAGCCTGCAGCTCTGGATCCAATTGGCCAACAGTGGGTCGCTTGAGGTCTTGGACAGGGACATAAGCTGCCATGCCATTTTGGTGACTGAAGATGCAACCAACAAAAGTGTTGGCACCCCCATAGTCCTGAGGCAGTTCCAAGGACCTCTGTGTTCCAGAGGCCCAACACTGACATGGCCACTGGAACAAGACTTTAAAAAGGCATATGCAATGTAGTGAAGCAAAATCTTAGGTGAAGCTCAGCCTAGGCACTGCTGGGTCCCAACCTCAAACAATAACAGTCACAAAATGGCAACAGCCTCTGACAACAAACAAAGCTGGAACAAAAGGAAAACAAGCAGGGCAACATGCACAAAAGCATTTGAAACTTTAGACATCCAAGTGGGCAAGAAACTGATTTGCAACTGTGAAATGCCACTGAATGCAGATTCCACCACCTTGGTGTACAGCATGCTGTCATAGAAGGGTTCATGGTGGATCATCTTCAGGCCAGCTGGGGCAATGTCTGCGTGTGTAGAAGCAATGTCCTGCCTGTGCCTCCTCTTGTGCCTCATTCTGAAGAGCAACAGCAACCTGTTCACTGCATCCATGTTTTTCTGCTTCACACCCTTGTGAAGCACCACAGGAATAGGGCCCAAGCCTTCCTGGGAGAGGTCTTGTGCCATGGTGTCCATAGCAAAGCCCAAAAAGACAAGCAGTTCTGGAAGCCACTGTTGGCCAACATGAAGCCAGCATTGATGGGACTGATTAGCCCACATCCAAGCCACCAAGACCAGAATGTCTGCAAATGAAGCTCTATCTAAGGAAGATGTGATCCTGTAGCCATGCCAAGGGTTTGAAGCCATGGTGTTCCACACACCTCTAAAGGAGGGAAGCTCAACAGCAACCTGCAAAATGTTTTGGGTGAAGCCTTCCCTGCCCCAAGTCAATGCCACACTCTGAAGCTTGCCCTTGAACCAGTAGGATAAGCTTGTGGACCCCTGGCTAGCTAAAAAGCCACCATGCTTCTCCCAGCACATGGACACTAGCTCTTGATCATTTGTAGAGCTTTGCCCTTGCAAGTGCTCTGCATTTTTCTCCTTCTGGTGAAACTCAAAAGCAACATGATGAGGCCTCTGCTGGAAACAGTGGTGCCCCACTTGTGCTCTGGATGTTCACTGCCCATATGCAACTCACCTGCAGGAATGGAAGCTTCCAAGAAATCTCTTTGTATAGCTGCCTTGTTGTCTTTGATCCACTGGTAGGGCTGCTGATTCAGCTCACAGTGTGCATGTGCCCCATGCCAGACCCACTGCCACTCTTTGCCATCTTTGTTGAAAATTCTCAGGCACCAGTCAGGGCCTTTGCACCTGGCCACTGGGTAGTCAAAGTGAAACAAAGTGTCCTCTTTCTCCTCTTGTAAGGGGACCACTGCTGTTTGGATGCCATCATCCATGGGCTATATAGGTGGTGCTGTTGGTTAACTGTTAACAGTGGTGCTGTTAGTCAACTGTTAACAGTACATCTTCTCATGCCAAGCATTACATTGTTAAGATCTTTTGTTCCATCAGGTTGAAGAAGATCCAAGCCGAGCTGCCTTTCATGTGTCATTCCTGTGTCACCATGTTGTCTTGAGCCCTTTCTGAAAACCATACAAAACCAACTCTGTGTGATATTCAGGATGACACTCAGGATGGCCAAAATGGCCTCCAGATGAGACCATGTGCATGGTGGTTTGCAGGAATGCTGCTAGTCTGTCAAAACAATCTCCCAAACAGGAAAGGAATAATCAAAACAACAGTGCAAAGTCTGCAAAACCTAAACCCATCCCTTCAGCTGACACACTTGAATCATGACTCTCCTGCAATGTTCTTTTTTTGTGCTCCATGGCTGGGGTGCTGCAATTGGCAACCCTGCTGAGCTGTTGCAACCCTGCACTTGGATTGCTGGAGAAAAAAACAAATTGCTCTGCAACCTTGCACAGGCTGCCTGTGCTGAATGAAGTGCAGCCTTGACACTGGCTGCTGGGAGAAATGCTTTAAAAGAGTAGCATAAGCCTGTCTTGCCTATGCTGTGTCAGACTCAGAAGTAGCCATTGCCAGCCCTGGCACCTTGCCTGGCCTTTGCTTTGGCATGCTGCTTGCAACTGACTCTGGTGGTGCCCACCCTGGAGGCAGCCTTGGCCTTAGCTCTAGTGCCACCCTTAGCCTTTGGACTTGCTGGTGTTGACTTTGCCTTTGCCTTAGGCTTTGCCTTAGGCAAGGCAGCATTTGCAACTACTTCTAAAGCATCCCTGGCAGCAACTGCAGATTGATGCAGGGCAAGCCAGTCTGGCTCATTACCCTTGCCCAATCCCTTGGCTCTTAGCTCCTCTCTGCCAACTCATCCAAACATAAATGAAATAAACATCATGAAAGTTCTTATCCCACAGAGGTGTATAAAGGTCATACATTATAATATAATGGCTGCACTGCACTCACTGAATCTGAAAAAATGCTGGGCCAGTGGGCCCTAAAGAGCTTCCAAGAATGCAAAATGATGTGACTGATTCAAAGTTGCTGTTTGCTGCTTGCATTGCTGTCTGACAGCAGTCCTCCAGTGTTGGCTGATTACCCCAAGTCCAGTGCTCTCGCACCAAAGGGCCCAGGCTATCCATGTTCCTGCCCAAGCTCAGGAACAAGCTCGGGAACACATTGGCACCAAACCTGTTCCTGTGCCACCCCAAACCTTCAAAACACTGTTGATAATCTGATACCAAGCACCAACATTTTCACCCTCCCCCCCCAGGGCCCCAGCCTCACCATGTTGTCAGTCCACCCTGACTGATAGTGGTAGGAAATGGTGCACAAATTTGACCCAGGCTGGTAGTCATAGGTGGTTGCATAGACTCTGTCATTCACTGGCACCCAATCTCCCCATCCACTCTCCTCAGCACAGTGTGGCAAACACTTCAAATCACTAATTTAATAGCTTGGCAGGTACCATCTACACTGCCATGCTATGTAGTGGTACCAGGTTACCAGCATCTAGACTGCCATATCAAATTGCCATACTTTACTGGACATCAATTGAAAACCAATCTTCACACAATACTTCTCTTTGTACCAGGTTACCAGCATCTACACTGTTACACTGCCATATCAGATTACCATAGTTACTTTACTGGACATCAATTAAAAACCCAACTTCAACAATGCTATTCTTGGTAGCCAGCTATTCCCCTGGACCATAATGATGAATCTACCCAACCATAAACCATAATTCCACCCTTCCAACATAATTCCATGAATGCATCATTGAATCATACCATGGTTCAATGCCAGTGTTAGGCTACTCTAATTCTAAGACATGCATCACTAACACCCCACAATTGTGGTGGTAACAGGCATAATTATACACCAGCCACCAAAGTTACTGAACCAGAAGCTCAATGGGAATTTCAGGATCCTAAAATGGAGGTACCTACCATATATATGGCCTATATAATAAGGCCTATGTAAGTGAATATCACCACAAAATATGGCCTTATATTATATGGTACAGTACCTCCATTTTAGGAGCCTGGAATTCCCATTGAGAAGCTTTACTAAGCTATGGCAGGCTATAGTGCCTCTTACCCAGTCAGTCAGATCTGACCTGGCCCCCATCCATCCTTGACACCACTTCAATTTAAAATAAGATGTTGTTTTCCATTGACTTGTGGGGGTACTTAGTAACTGTAACTGTGGTGTAATAAGTTCCAAATCAAATCCATTCAAGATAGCAGGGCAGCAGGGCAGCCCAACCACCATGATCCATGCTATTTGACTGAGGGGCATAGTAAAGAATATCCCACCCATCAGGTCTGCCAGTGTCCATAGCCACCACATTGGGAGCATGAAGAAATCCTGGGCATGATTCATGGACAGGTCAGGCCTAGTAAGGTAAGACTGGTGAATGCTCACAAAAACCAGTTAACTCAGTTGCTATTGGAACTATTCAGCAACCCTTACTTACTGACAAATCAAACTAAAAACTTAACTTGCTCAGCAATGAAGAAGGCTCTGGGGAAGTCAGAGACATCAGTGGTGTAGACCATGATTTGGAGTCGAGTAATCTTACAGTAAGGCCAGGATGTGCAAAAACACAGCCAAAACACAGGCAAAACACAGGGGTTTTCAAACATTTTTTTTTAAACAAAAAATCACCATCAAATTATTTCTTGCCCATCCTGTCAGTATTTGTCAGTATTCTGTTGGTATTTGTCAGTATTCTGTGGGTACTTGGTAGTAGTTGTCAGAACTCTGTGAGTATATACATCTTGGTGATCAGTTCTTTGCTTATACAACTGTCAGTTTCAGCTCAGTATACTGATAGTTTTCTTGGGATTCCCTTGGCATCTGGTATCATCATCGACAATACAAATAGACCTTCTTAAGTTATCAAGGTTCCCCTGAGGTTTGCTGCCAGATCCCTTGAGAGTCAGCAGGGCACCAGCAAGATTTCAGGGCCAACTGAAATGGCTACCAAATTTCAAATAATATCCCTGAAACATATTATTATTAAATAATAATAATAATGATGATCCCCTGAATTGAAACATATTATTAAATTATATTATTGGCATGATGTCCAGAATCTTCCCTTGAAATGCCATATGATTATGAAATACAATATCAGCAAGATTTCAGGGCCAACTGAAATGGTGCCCAAATTTCAAATGATGTGCACCTGAACACCATTCAAATTATGAATGAATGATCCCCTGAATTGAAACCATATTAAATTATATTATTGGCATGGTGTCCAGAAACTTCATTGAAATGCCATATGAAATACAATATGAAATGCATGCAAACCATAGATACTACATACCATATGAAATGCATGCAAAGTGAAAATGTATGTGTACTCTTCATTGTACTGTGGTCCATTCAATAATATATAATACAATATAGATGCACACATCTATTGATATAAACAAGGCCATAAACAACCACATGCACAGAAACTACCTATGATACATGCATGTATAAAAGCATGCATAGGTGCATGTACCATAACAGTTGTTTGTAACTTGTATATGTGCTTGGATGGATGGATGGATGTATTTCTATAGATGCATGCATATGAGCCTGCCCACATGTGCATATATATACACATAAATGTACATATGTATCATATGTATATGTATTTATATATGCTTATGTTCCAATCATATACATATTGTATGCATACATATGTGTAATTTTAGATATATAAATATAATATAATATAATATAATATAATATAATATAATAATATATATAATATAATATAATATATAATATAATATATATATATCCACATGCATGTGTGTGTGTGCATGACATGCATATATTATACACATGTATGCACACATGCATGCATCTATAGAAATTGATCCCTAATTCAATGAATGTGAATTGAAAAGTGGCAAGGTAAGATATGCTGCATGGTTAGATATGTATGCATTTGCAATCTACCTGTGTACATGTACACATGGTATTTATTGTGCTACCACCACCAGCCTCCAGTCCCCTTCCCAGCTGACAGTCACCCAAGCTGTCTTTGTCACAATCCTGGTGCAGTCCTTCAGGATGATGTGTGCTGCCACAGGGCAGCTACTGAGCTGTGACTCTGACATGTCTGGATCCCCCAGGCCCTTTGCTGGTTATGATTATGATGGTGTTCCCAACCACTGTAGTTACACAGCAACTGTGCATGAGCAAGTGTACCTAAGTTTAAACTGGCATGGCATGTGGTTTCAAATTCTGTTCTCAGACATTGGCCCCAGCACAACATGTGGCAAACAATGCCACCTCAAAAACTGATGCTACCCTACCAGGTTACCAGTGTCACATGCTGTGGTCCAGGTGTTGGCCACCCAATCAGGCCACCCAATCAGGCCACCACCCCAAGGCACTGGTTCAGCCAGGTCGAGGTTTCTCACCTTGGGGGCCATAAGGCCACAGGCACCCAACAATACTAGTTACTCTCCAGTAACTTAACATAGACCCTGGCAGATAGGGGTTGGAAGATAAATTTCAACTAAACAATGACTATTTTCAGGGTCTATGTTACTTTACCAGAGGGTACCTTCAAGAGGAACCTTTAATTTAAAACCAGGAATATCAGATGGCAACTTGGAAACACAGGCCCAGCCCATTAGATTAGCAGAATCATTTTCAGAATTTGCTTCAAATAAATACCTAAACTGAATTGGTTGGAAACAGCTAAATGCAAAGCAGGTGACACAAAGTAAAAGAGGGCAGTGAAGAAGACACCATTGCCACCTCCTGCAGTGACATGTGGTGACATGACATGCATGGATACTGAGGTACCATAACCAGTGATACTGAGGTACCATAACCAGTGATACTGAGGTACAATAACCAGTGCTTTGAAAGAAATCCTGCTACCCACTTCACTAACTTAATTAGTGAACTAATTAATTACAGCTAATGCAAACCAGCACCTTTCCCATCAATCACTCCTCCACCTTTTAGAAAGGCATTGCCCAAAAGGCAGGTGCCATAGTGAAGACAGTGCAATGGTCATTCATGGTGATGGCCAAACCTGGGGTCAGGACCAGGGTGGCACCACTGACCATCATCTTTGAATGACCAAACAGTACAAAGCTAAAAAAACAAAAGTGTGAAATATGATGATGGATCCCCTGGATGACACCCAACAATTCCACATGACCATAACAAACAAGGAACAACCTACTTCTTTGCAACTTTAGCTTTAGAAGCAGCACCTTTGCCCTGACTACGACCTGGCTCCTTCCCACCAATGTTTGCAGATCCAGGCTGTTCCTCAGCAGATTCTGTAGCCATCCTCTTGGTGCCTTTGGCTTGGTGGCCTGGGCTCACATGCCCACCACCAAACACCACAAACACAACCAAACCCAAACCAAAGTGCTGAACAGCACTTCAATGAGTGAAAACAAAGGGGTGGTGACCAAGCTGCATGGTCTACCATGTTGCTGCCAAGCTGCTTGCAAATAGTTCTGCAACATGGGCTCCAGCAATGTCCTTCTGCAGTGCTTCCTGCTGCCATGTATGCACCCATGTGACAAGGTGGAAAGAATTGAGGAAAACCACTAACACAAAACAAAAATCATGCATTGCCACAACCAGTTAACTTCTGACTCTGACAGGGTACACCAAAACAAAACAGCACCCACCAAAACCCATCTCCTCTTCCAAAGCAATTTTCTTCAGTTCCCTCTCAGATGCCTTCTGTTCAGCTTCCTGCTGAAGCTTCTGCCTCTCCTCTTCCTCACTCTTGGCTCTCATCTTCTCTTCTTCCTCTCTTGCCTGCTTTTCTGCCTCCTGCTGAAGCTTCTGCCTCTCCTCTTCCTCAATCTTGGCTCTCATCTTCTCTTCTTCCTCTCTTGCCTGCTTTTCTGCCTCCTTCTGAAGCTTCTGCCTCTCCTCTTCCTCAATCTTGGCCCTCATCTTCTCCTCAGCTTCTTCTCTTGCTTGCTTCTCTGCCTCCTGCTGAAGCTTCTGCCTCTCCTCTTCCTCAATCTTTGCTCTCATCTTCTCCTCAGCTTCTTCTCTTGCCTGCTTCTCTGCCTCCTGCTGAAGCTTCTGCCTCTCCTCTTCCTCAATCTTGGCTCTCATCTTCTCCTCAGCTTCTTCTCTTGCCTGCTTCTCTGCCTCCTGCTGAAGCTTCTGCCTCTCCTCTTCCTCAATCTTGGCTCTCATCTTCTCAGCTTCTTCTCTTGCCTGCTTCTCTGCCTCCTGCTGAAGCTTCTGCCTCTCCTCTTCCTCAATCCTTGCTTTCATCTTCTCAAGTTTTTCTCTTGCCTGCTGCTTCTCTGCCTCCTGCTGAAGCCTCTGCCTCTGCTCTTCCTCAATCTTTCCTCTCATCTTCTCCTCAGTTTCTTCTCTTGCCATCTTCTCTGCCTCCTGCTGAAGCTTCTGCCTCTCCTCTTCCTCAATCTTGGCTCCCATCTTCTCCTCAGTTTCTTCTCTTGCCTGCTTCTCTGCCTCCTGCTGAAGCTTCTGCCTCTCCTCTTCCTCAATCTTGGCTCTCATCTTCTCCTCAGCTTCTTCTCTTGCCTGCTTCTCTGCCTCCTGCTGAAGCTTCTGCCTCTCCTCTTCCTGAATCTTGGCTCTCATCTTCTCTTCTTCCTCTCTTGCCTGCTTTTCTGCCTCCTGTCTCTGCTCTTCCTCACTCTTGGCTCTCATCTTCTCAGCTTCTCTTGCCTGCTCCTTCTTTTGCTTGGCTTCTTCTGCAAGCTTTGCCCTGATCATATCTCTTATCTCCTCCTCATCCCACATTCTGTTCTGTTCTTCCAAGTGTTGGTCTCTTGCCAGCTCTTCAGCTGCTGCTGCTTTCTGTTCTTCCAAGGCAGCTTCTTCTTCTGCAAGAATTGCAGCTTCTATTCTCTTTCTCTCCTCAGCTTCAATTCTGGCCTTTTCTGCCTCCATCCTTTCCTTGAACTCTTGCTGCAGCCTTTTCTTCCACTCCTCAGTTTTCTTCTTCTCTTCTTCAGCAAGCTTTGCCCTGTACAAGTCCAGCTGCTGTTTCTGCTCCTGCTGTTTCTTTGCCTCTTCACTCATTTTTTGCTCTGCTGCCTGTCTCTTGGCCTCTTGAGCAGACCAATGTGCCATCTTCTGGGCATAAGTTGCTGTGTCATTCACTTTCTGCTTTTCCTGTTGGATAATGGCTTCCATCACCTTGTCTCTTGCCTTTTGCACTTGTTCTTCCTGCAGTGTTCTCTTCTGCAATTCTTGCTGGCTGATGCTGCCACCCAAGTTCTGGAGTTGGTGTTTGAGGTCTTGGTATTCAATCTCTGTTAGCCCTGGTTGGTTGCACTTCTCCTCTTGGACTCTGGCTTTGATTCTGTTTCTGAGTGTGGCAATTTTTTCTGCCCTTCTGCTGTCATAGACAAGGCGCTCATCTTCCTCCAAAAGTTTTGCCAGTTCACTGATGTCTGCCTTGCCTTGCTCTTGCCTCTGCCTCCTGTCTTCTTCCCTGGTTGCAAGTAGCCACAACTCATGGTTCTGCAGCTCTTCCCCATTGATCTGTTTTGCTTCCAACTCAGCTATCTCTATTTGTTCCTTCTCACTTTCTGTCATGGTTCTGGTGCCTGTGCCCAGGCCTAGGGCCTGCATCCTTGCATCAACCCTCTTCTGCAACTCCATTGCCTGTGAATGTGCCACACTTCCTTCACCAAAACTTGGCCTCATGGTTGGAAACCATGAGAAAAACATGATCCACCCACCCCCAAAACAAACCAAATCAAATCCAAGGTAACAAAGTATATGACAAACACTCCTTCAAAAGGAGTATCTATGCCTCTTAGGTGGGTTCCATGGCAGGCCAATGTTGCAGACAAGATACCCATCTGACAAGGCTGAAGATCTTGGTGATGGTGATGGAGACCTTTTGGGCTGCTGGCTCCTCTTATATGCCAACAATCCTGGGGAGTCTGTCAATGACAAGGGTGGGTGTGTGGGAATGCCCATGGTCCATGACATAAACATAACATAAAACATTAACATCAAACATACTGTCCTGGGATGGCTCCATCATGCTTCCCATTGGGCATAGTCAGCGCCCCCATGCAAGAGGAAGTGGTGGTGACAACTGGCAATGAAGTTGGAGCTGTCTGCCCCACTGCAGTTGTGGCAACTGCAGGTTGCTCAGCAGGGCCTGCCCATTGGACAACTGGCCACACCAATCATTCAGCCAATCTTCATAAACATGCTAACTTGTCTGGCTGTTAGGATTAGATTGAAGACTGCCAGCCTGAACATAAACCATGGAACTGAATCTACTAAAGTATGTTAAATTCTCACTTAGACTCAACTATATATAATTATGTTCTCTGCATGTCCCTGCTCATATCAGGATATTAATATGCCATGGCCCTGCCTCTATTTGCACCTTCCCCAAGTTCAGCCTCTAACTTGCACAACTGCTCATGCTGCCAATGATCTTTTGGCAGGCCTGCCATGGTGCTTGCTTGCAGCCACCATGTTGGGATGCAAATAAAACAAATTTTGGTAGTTGCCAATCCATCATCATACCACCTAGCCCCTGCAAATGATGATGACCCAGCCTTTCAGCACAATCAAAAACTGTGCAGCCCAACTTTCAAACCTATTGTTCAATGCAGTCTTGGTGAGCAGGGCCCACCATTGCACAAGCCCAGGCCCAGTTCTGACAACCACCTCACACTCCATTTGAATGTCCTTATTCAGTCAAATGGCTCCAAAAATGAACCAACCTGCTTATCCCAATGGATGATGCTAGCACAATTTGCATTCTTCCCCAGACCCAGCCAAGCAGCAGGTGGCAAAGACAACCACTGCTTCCCCTGGTTGTAGCTCAGGCTGACTGGGCAATTGGGGGGTGCCACCAAAACTGCGTTTCCATCCACATGGTCCAGTGTTTTCCCATTGGACCTTACTCAACCAGGTGATGAGGTTGGCTTGCAACTTCATGTTCATGCAGCAATTGAAGCAACATGCATTGGCTTTAGTATAGAAACAGAATGCCAATGGTCACCAGGCAAACCAAGATGCATGTTGACAAGTTTGAATGGTAGGTTCTTCCCAGGCTTCTCTGGTCCCCTCAGCCTTAGGGGTGGCTGTGAAAAGGTAAAGGGCCCAAGCCCATGCCCCACAGAAAAACAGTAACTTGCCAAATAGACCAAACTGGATGCAAGGCTCTTGGCAATCTTCTCAAAATGTTCCTTCCACCCAAACTTCAGAGCAAGTTCCTCCACATTGCTGTAGTCTGGTTTCACTGCCTCCAACCTCAGCTTCACCCAACTACATGGGCCACCTACCCTCCACCCCCAGCCAGAAACAAAACAAACATTGCCAGCCAAACTCCAAACTATCTACTTCCAGAAACCTTGCAGCACCATGTATTTCTTGGACTCTGGTCACTGCTTCCTTGAGCCTGGCCTTCCTTAGCTTGTTGCTGTTGAAAAGACAAATGAAATTGACAACCCTTGGCCCCATGACACCTACCTAGTCTGCATGCTGCACATTGCACTGAAACTGGTCTCAAGTAACAGCCAAATCTCAACTGACCCTTGCTATGGACCCTGAGCTCTGAGATTGAAGTCAATGGCCCCAGGTCAGTGCATATGAATAGCATCATGTCCAGCTGGAGGTTGCTCATGTTTGCACTCTGGCCTGCATGTGCCAAGTTCAAGGGGGTGGGACAAAACTACTTTAATAATACTTTGATGCATAAACAAACTGGCAGACCACACACCCCCAACTATACACACCTGGTGGGCAAAGGTTGGGTGCCAGGTGCTTCAAGTATCTCACTTTCTCCTTCCTCCCAACTGAGTTCTTGAAGATGTGGCCACTTGATGAGTTGCTGTAACTCATCCAATCACCACCCAAGGTGATCCACCCAAGCCTAAGTAGTTCAAAACATTGAATTGCTCTAGTATTATAAAACTAAGTCACCAATGGCTAAACCATAACTCCACCTTATTATTTGCAATGAAAGCAGCCGTCTGTCAATCTTCTCTCTGTCCAAGTCTTCAGAAGCAGCATCACTCCCCAAGTCATCAGAAGATGCCTCAAGTCAGGCTAGCAGCTTCTACAATATACATACATCATGTGCATTTCAGTCATGCACACACATACAGTCAAAAACACTTACCAGCCTACTTACCTACATACATGCATACATGCATATATTCAAACATTGGCATACTGCACACACATACAAGGGGATAAAAAATATAAAACCAAACCAATGAAGCATGAATGGTGGCCCCAAAATATAAAACAATAAGGTGGCCCCAGGATATGAAACAAATGGCACTAGTGACTAGTGGTTGATTGAATAAAGGGCTAGATGGCCTTTTTTTTCTTTTTTTTGGCCTTTTTCTCTTTATCCTTCTTCTTACTCTTTTTGCTTTTCTTCACCTCTTCTTCAGAATCTGAGTCCTCATCCTCATCATCATCATCGTCTTCCTGAGTTGGCTGTCCTTAGGCTAATTAGGGCTTGGCTTGCACAATGGCATTGGTGTGTTTTTCTCTAAATGGCAAACTGAATGACTCTAGACATCATGGTTCTCTGAATCAAGACCAGTTTCCAGGAGGGGCTTGCCCCCACCATGGTTGCCACCCAGGAGGTGGCATTCCCCAAGGCAGCATTTGCTGCCCAGCTAACATGGAAGGTTTCTTCTTCCCCATGGCACCAATCAGGCAGAACTGGGCTTAAATGAAAGCCTCCAAGCAAGTTTGTTGCCCTAGTTACACCACTGGGAATTGTGAATTTATGACATCATCATTGATCATTGATTTCCCTGGATGGCTGTGATGCCAATGTCGACCATGTTTAGTACACTGTGAAGTACATTCAGCTGTGGTGGTAGAGCAGCTAAAAGCAGTGGAGAAAAAGGCCACAACTGCAGTAAACTAACTGGAACTGAAACATTCTAGAAGACCCCTTACAAGACTCATCTCCTGGGCCCCTGAAGAATCTGAGACGCTCTTGACGATCCTTGAAGTGCTTTCCGCGGCAACGTCCTCAGGGTCTGGATCATTCTCGGGAAGCTGCAGGGAATCGAGGGGAGTACTTGGAGGGGAAAAAAAAACTGCACCATTGGATGTCTTTGGGGATCATTATTCCATAGAATATCATATAATATCATATAACATCATATAATACCGTTTGAACATGCTGAAAAGACAACTTGTACTAAATACCATTGTAAAATGTATATAGTCCAGCTTGTCAGGCTTGCACAAGTTGGTTTTAACCTTCATCATCCCAAATATGGTTGAAAACCAACTTTTAGTCATTGGGGGTCAGAATCCAAAACATTAAAATATAAAATACAGCACAAAATATGCCAAATCACAATCCAGGGGAGAATGGGAAGGAACAAGAAAAACGAATCAGCGAACCAACTGGCCAATCTAGGATTTTTGCCCTCGGAGGTTCTATGTTCAATGCAAAATCTACCAGATCAGCCGGAGAATCATATTCTCCACAATTTGGGACATGGCTGTGCCCCTTACAGCTGGTGCCAACCACTAAAAAACCTGCAAATTTGTGAATATGACGAGGATGATGAGGATTAAGAGGATGATGAGGATGATGAGGATGAGGATGAGGATGAGGATGATGAGGATGATGATGATGATGATTCTTACACATTACTACTTATATATATATTACCATTACATACTATTATATACTATTATGTTATATATATACACATATTGACATTCTTATCACTAGCATTATTAAGATGATGATTATGATTATTGTTCTGGAAGGATTTAATCTGAACCCCCAAAACCCCCAAGACGTACATGGACTGGCTGAGCATCCACTCTGCCTTTCACAAAGCCGAAGGTCCAGGTTTCCAACCCCAAAAACCTGATGTCTCTACCAGTTCCCCACTGTTTCCCGGGTGACCCTCTGAAAAATATGAAAGTCAGTTGGGATGATGAAATTCCCAATATGATGGGAAAAATGAAAAATGTTTCAAACCACCAACCAGCCTCCCGATATCATTTCATGGCTTATCACCATAGATTTTCATGGGCATCACTGTCGCTTCATGAAAAGTAGCCGGGATGCAACGACTCTGCGCGTCGCAGGGCGGCCCCTTGCTGCTCGTTGTGCATGGCGTTTTTGGCTGCGAAGATCTTCTTGGCCTGCCAGGGACCAACCTCCCATGGATCCATGGCAGGAAATGGTCAGATTTTGAAGGGTAAAATGGTAAAGTCATGTTTTTTGTCATCTTTGGGGAACGCCGTTTCACCCATGGGAAACCCAGTTCAATGGTAGAAAAAAAGGTCAACTTCCGAGGGGGCAATCATCCAGATGGGATACTTGAAAAAATGGCCCTGCCATGAATTCTCTCACATCTTGTCTTCGGAGCCGGTTCCTGTTGTTTCGGACTTAGGGATCTCAACACTTGCGCTATCCCCCAAAAAAGGCCAAACAGGACCCTCACCGTTGTTTTTGGCATGCGGCTGATACGCCGCCCTTGGAAGGGTTGTTGTTTTGGATGTTTTTGGCATGTGGCTGATCTGCCGTTGTTGACATGTTGCACATGCTCGCTTATGCTCAACAGGTGGGGGGGCTGATAACGCTCTTGACGACTGTAAGACAGGGTCCACGGAACTTGTTGCCGAAAGCACTTTGGCGTTGATGCTTCGAGAGGTGAGAAAAAAGGAATGGATGAGCCAGTTAGAGATTGCACTTGAAAAATGAAAATCATGAATTACCAGTAATTACTAATATTTGTTTAAGCAGTCGAATATCAAAATTGACTCGCCGCGCAGGCGAAACACAAATTGTTGATCTTGAGTCACACGCCTGCCAATCGAAATGGATGTCCATATTGCAAACATGTTTGAACAAGTCCCACAAATACCAGCTTTGTGTTTCTTAGCCTCGAAAATCTCAATTTCAAATTTGTCACCCTTACAAGGGCGGCGAGTCAAGCGGTTGCCTTGTTTTTCAGCCAATCATCAGCATGTAAAGTGTTCCAATGGGATCTATTTGGCGGTTCTTGATTAAACACTTCAACCCAGGGACCATTTTTCAATCGCTTCCTACCGGCGTGTTATCCCTTGGGCCTTTCTGAGATCCAGAAGCTTGGCGGCTTCATTGAGGGCCGCCTTCAGATCTTGCTCCTGAAGCACTGGTTGGCCGGTTTGGGCCTTGGGTTTTATCCCAACTTATTCGGGGGTATTTCACCAGAGTTACCCTCTGGTAAACTAACATAACTATGGAAAATCACCATTTTCAATAGCTATGCTAGTTTACCAGATGGTATAACCAGAGTTCTACCAACCTCAACTGCACCCCGACCATGTGGACCGTGTTTTTGGCCTCCTCCCAGGCGCGAAAAAATGGCACGCTGCAGCGCCATGGGTTTTGCTTCTCCTCAAGGACGGGCATGGAAAACGAAGTCCAGGGGTTGGACGGGCATGGTTTAAATGATTGATATTCACCTCCATGTTTGATGATTAATATCGCCATTGTTTGATAGTGTTCCATGGCTTGGTGGTTAAATCACCAGTGTTTGATGGTTAATATTATCCTATCATTCACGTATCATTGTTTGATGATTAATTACATCAAAAAAAACAACATATGTTTGATGGTGAATATCATAGTAAGATTCGCTCTTTTTTCTTTCGCACAAGTTAGATAAATCATATAAATCGCCATTGTTTGATGGTTAGTATATGGTTAATATTTATATACACACCCTATATTAACCATGATTTATGAACCATGATATATGGCCGGCTAAATATCTTATCGCCTATAGAATCTTTGGCAAATAACCAGATATATGATTAACCACGATTTATTAACCATGATTTATTAACCATGATTATTAACCATGATATACCCTATATCGCCATAGTATATAGGATATATGGTTAATATTTATACATACATACCCCCCAAAAAATAACCATGATTTATTAACCATGATATATTAGCTAAATATATAGGATATATGGCTTAAATATCCCATATATGTAGTCCATATCCTATATATATCCAAAAAACATGGACTATATATCCTATAAAATATACCATATTGATGGACTATATATGGATATATATATATATGGGTAAATTATAATATTTCACTAATCTGAGAAGTTCGGCCATTTGGGGATGATTTCCCTTATTAAATTAACTATGATTCCCAGGGCTCGGTCGCAGTGAGGTCGTTATAATTTACCCAGATACATCTTACAAATCCTATCCCCATGATATCCCCATCTCCTCTGCCAGTCCATCCATCTGATGCTGCAAGGCCTCCGTCAAGACGCGAGAGACGCTCCAGTCCTGCAGCGGCAACTGGGAAAATCCTTGAGAAATGGAGGTTTATTGCTAGGAAAACCATCTATAAGATTCTATAACTAGGAAATGTATGGAAATGTATTATATATATTATGTATATTATGTATATTATGTTTATTATTATACGATTCTATAAGTAGGAAATGTATGGAAATGTCCCATTGCCATGTTTGATTACCGAACATTGCTGAGAAAAAATCAAGGGACAACAACTTTTCCCGACCTTGCATGTCCAGGACATATCTTTTTCAGTCCAACCCGGTGATCCACTAGGTTTCGGCCAAATTTCTGGATGTGGAAACTATATATACATATACTATAATATATATATATACATATGATATATATATAATGTATAATATAATATAATATAATATATATATACATATGATATATATAATGTATAATATAATATAAAGTGCAGACGTGTGGCTTCAAATTGCCAACACTTTGGATCCAGTAAGTTGATAGCGATTCCCTCCCCTTTAGGGTGAGATTCCCCATTTTTCTCTGGGCAATTTAGTTCGTGGATTTTCCCATTAAAAATGGTGATTTTCCATAGTTATGTTAGTTTACTAGAGTATAAATCCCCCAACTCATCAACCAGGCTCCAGCCATGACACGAAGGTAGGGATTGCCAGCGTCACGTGGAGGGACGCGTGGTTTTCGGTGCTGGCTTCATGGACGAAGCCGCGAGGAATGTACAGAACATCTCCTCCCGAAGGGAAAATCGCCGGGGAAATCCGGGTTTTTGACCCAGGAAACGTCACTTTCCTGTAAATGTTCCCTTGAAAACCAATGCCATGACAAGGATGATAAGATGAGTGAATGTGTATATCATCTGATACATAGGCATACATTGATCCATTTATCAATCGAACGGCCACTGGTGTATATTGTCTGGAAACCAACCACCTAACATCCCACAAATCGTGAGCAGAGACTGAATGCTATGACTCTCTTTGCCTCACATCAGCTGACATACATCTAACAAAGCAACCTGCTTTGTGGTCAAACATTAACCACGAACAACAAGTTGACCACAAATCTCTATCCTTCCCGCAGAGTCTGGCTCAATGTCATGGTTTGTAGCGCTTTTGCGGGAACCTTCAGACCATTCTTTCCAACTCGCTCATCTGGATAGGGCAAATAGACCTGAAATGGCCGTTAAACACGCGTTGATTTTGGATCTTTGGTATCTACTTTATCTCAAAACTGAAATGATGTGATTAGTGGTTTCAACCAGTTCCCCAAAAAATCCAGGTATAATTTTCTCAGGTGGGGCTATGTCAAGTCTTCGAGGCCACAAGCAGTAGGTGTCACAATGCGGGGTCCACAAAGCCAATGTAATTCATCGTCAAGGCTGGGCAACCAGCGGTCTGGATATGGTGCCAATTCATCTCTGTGGTTCAACAGAAATTGCAACGGAAGAAGGTCCAGGATGAATCAAGCATCAAAAAAACCCTAGAATTATGGCACGAAATACCAGTTATAAGTCAGTTCTAATCCTATTTTTTGAATGATACCCTTTAAAATCAATTATCACTGGTACAGGGCCAGAACTGTATGTTGTTCTAAGTTGCATTCAACCCTCAAGTTTAGGGATGTACTTGCACCCGGTACCCATCTTGGACTTGTCATCCTTCATTCCCCTGGACCAGTGGACATTCTGGTCATCCCCACCATTTTGTCGGGGATTCCCACCAGATCAGATATCATATATATATATATATACACGGTAACTACATCTTAACTACATCTAAATATACCAACTTACTGTATGGGGATATTACCAATCATAGTTATCCATAGTTATGATTATATCCATTAAAGTTAAAGTCACCCCAACTGCAACCCCCCCAAGCTCAGTTCTACATCCGCTCTGCAGATCTCATCCCGAGTCTAGGCAGGGCACCGGGGCGCTGTAAATGCGCCAGTCCTTCTCTCCCTCCAACTGAAGCACAAAGACATCCTGAGAACTGAGCAACTTGTGTGAGTCCCAAAGCCTGAAGGGTCCCAAGGTGGTCAAATAAGCTTCTTATACCCTGGCTATACATGGAATATCCCCAGTTATGGCTTATAAACCCATGAAGGCAAAATCACTTATTTTGCACACCATCGAATTGTGATAATCCACAATTAATCAGAGGTGAAATGAGTCATCATAGATATTAGTCGCCAACAAACTCGGTTTGAACACTGCAACACGGAACCAGCTGGTATGGACAAAAACATTGTAAAATCATATCCCTCAATTTTGTATGGTTCAATTGCAGTCCCTTTCCCATACACTTTGAATTGAAATAAAGCTTGACTGGTCCTTACTGATATTCACAAAATGATCTGGGCAATTGTAGTACTTCGTAAACTGGCAATCACCCATTCTGGGGTGACTTCCCTTCTGACCGAAACCATCATTTATGGTGAGGTGGCAAAGCGGGTCGCTACAATCTGACCTTAAATGAGATGTTCCAGCACCCAGCTATCAACTCTCGTTGACATCAAAAACTCTTCCACCTTTTTGGGGACCCCATTGGGGATCCCCCAGTGATGACACGACTGGGCTCCCCATGGCTCCCTCCGGCGAAGCGTCTCGATCATCCGCATGCGCCGGCGCCGTCTGGGACTTCCTGGGCGTGACGTAGCAGTTGGCGTAGGCCGAGGGGAAGCCCAGGGCTCGACAGAACGCCTGCACCTTGGAGCGGATCCTTTGGGGGCGATGACGCGATGACGGATCCTGGTGCTAAACGTTTTTGGAATGGTAGAAAGATCCATAACTATTAAGCATCATCCCAGCAACCCCCAGCAACCCTACGTTTAGCACCAGTAAGATGATTGAGAAGTACAGGTCAAGAATTGTAACATATTGTAACTGGATATGCCTATGTCTGGGTCATGTGCGGGTTGATGGATCGATCATGGGTTAGATTTTTTTGTTTTCAACAGGGAAGCTGTTACATATTGCTAGGAAGTGGCTTGAGATGCCGAGAATGCTCAGAGGTGAACGATTAATAATTAATATGTAAACTCCTCTGAGGGGGGCACCGAACCCCCGGGCCCCAAACCTAGGAGTGTAGTACAATCCCAAAGACTACCAAACAATGCTGGGTGGTTGAAACATGTTAAAACTGCTCATCTGGGTGAGGAAACGGATTGGTACCAAGTTGGGCAGTGTATAAAATCGAAACCTGACTCATTTCCAGTTGAAACGAGTAGCAACGACATGTTGAAGTGTCTTAAGAGCGACCCTCCTACTCATGAATTGATGTGTTTGTTTGAAACCTTATGGGGGAAAAAACAAAACCCCTGGTGAAAACCCTCATATTTCCTGTTGAAAGGGCGATTTTTTTGGGGGTAGCCGAGCTTCTGGTCGCCATATACGGTCAATGTAGTTGATGATCAAGGAGGCTCCATCCAAATACGCTGCAAAGGGCGATTCCTTGGGAAGTCATCTTAGTCATCTGGGGATGGGTCAAAACCAATAGTACCTCTAGTGAACCCCAAAATAGCTGAGATTTATGGATGTTCATCCCACTAAAAATGGTATCTATAGGTATTGACCCATACTCATCTTGCAACTTCCGATTTGGTACTCAACGGGCTGTTCCCACCTCCTCCGTTCCCATACCGTCTGTGATTGACCTGGTTTTCCCCGCACTTGTTGATAACAACTACAGCTAGATGATGCTAAATGCTGCGCGTGAAATGTCTACCTCCTTCTCGGGGTGCTCCTATCTCGCTTTGCAACTGCAACCAAAATGTCCCGACTGGAAAAAAAAAAACTTTTGACTACTGGAAAAAAAATAAGGTTCACCCCTACTCTCCACACTGGAAAAAAAACTTAAGACACTGGAAAAAAATTAAGAATCTGTACTTTGAACATTTTGTGCAGCTGAAATTTCCTATTTGTACATATTTGCAGGGTTTGGGAACTTAAACATGCAATTTGCATGCGTTTTGGCCTTGAATCCCTTGTTTGCACCGTGCTCGCAGCATCTTGGAGCCAGCATCTGTCTGTACTACGCAGGGGATTATCTGCAGTATTTCGCGGTATTTGCAACATATTGTCTAGAGTTAGTTTTAGGATCTATTTCAGATTGGTTTAGGGTGTATTTGGTGATTATTTCTGGTTGATTTTAGGGTTTCTGTACGGTTAGTTTGGGCGTGTGTCTTTTTTATTGGTTGCTTTAGGTTGTCTTCAAGGTTTCTTTTAAGGTTTACTTCGGCTTGTGTTATATAGATTGATATAGTCATATAGTGTTGATTTGGAGTTGGCTCGGTGTTTGTTTGGTGTCGAATCAAAGTTGTTGTAGCGTGATTTTAGTGCGGGTTTGGTGCTTCTTTCGGGTTGTTATAGGGTCTATTGGTTTATTTACTTACTTTTGGTTTAGGTTTTTAGGTGTCATGCTAAGATATGCTAAGGCTTACTTGGATTTGTTTGGATTTTTGTTGGTGCTTCTTTCAGTTTGTTTCAGGGATGTTTATGTAGGACGGTTGGTTTAGGTTTCATTGAGGAGTATTGAGGGTTAGTTTAGGACCAGAAAACCAGGGGACCAAGGGACCAGGGGAATCTTATATATTTTTTTCCAGGGTCCTATTTTTTCCAGGAAACTTATATATATATATATTTGTTTTTTCCAGTATCATCCCCGTTTTTAACAAACTAGGGTATGCCTCACGACTATTCTTCACTTCAGCAAGTACAAAACATCCGTATAGGTTCACAAGTCATGGGAATGTCAACGCACCCACAATTTCCGTGACGTTTGGTTTCAAAATTTCAAACCACCAAGTCGCGTAGTCCTCACATGCTGCACAGTTCTGATAGAACACGAGTTCCTCGTCATGGCTGGGACTTATGGATGTTCATTTCCCAAAAAATTGATAGGTTTAAATCCATCCCTATACCGAATATATTGTATCAATATCTTCAAATATTGTATAGACAAATGTGTATGTATATACAAATATATATATATACAGTCTGTATATATATATATATATAACATATGTATATATATAGGGATATGGATGTTTTAAAAACATGTTTATACATAGGGATATAGGATTTATGTATGTATATATATACATATATATATATATACAGTATATATACAGTATATATATAGTATATGTACAGTATATATACAGTATATATACAGTATATATATACTGTATATATACAGTATATATACAGTATATATATACAGTATATATATACAGTATATATACAGTGTATATATATACAGTATATATACAGTGTATACATATATATACAGTATATATACAGTATATATACTATATACAGTATATATACTATATACAGTATATATACTATATACAGTATATATATACAGTGTATATATATACAGTATATATACAGTATATATACAGTATATATACTATATACAGTATATATACTATATACAGTGTATATATATATATATATACAGTATATATATATATACATACAGTATATATACAGTATATATACAGTATATAGACAGTATATAAACAGTATATATACTATATACAGTATATATACTATATACAGTATATATATACCGTATATATATTTACATACAGTATATATACAGTATATATACAGTATATATACAGTATATATACAGTATATATACTATATACAGTATATATACTATATACAGTATATATATATATATATACAGTATATATATATACATACAGTATATATACAGTATATATACAGTATATATACAGTATATATACAGTATATATACAGCATATATACAGTATATATACAGTATATATGGTCCCGTCCTCCGTCTCTCCACCCCCCCCCCCCATGGGTTGGGTCCCCAGGTAGTAGCCCCAATTCCCTTCTATTTGCAAGCTATTGGCAGCATTTCTGAGGTCCAGCGTCGTATTTGCTAGGTCTTTGCAGCATTTCTGACTACCAGCCTCGCATTTACTAGGTACATGCTACCTTTTAGGCGACCTACCATGCACACATACTCCTTCAAAGTACCTACGTGCTACCTATAGTCATACATACATGTGCTATGTATCTACTGTATCTACTTCCTGTTTACTACCTGTGTACTCTGACAACACTACCTCTGTTGAACATATACCGTACCTACCATACATGTCAATGATGCCATGCATACCATACCTATCATATCTATCATACATACCATACATACCATACATATGAAATGTAATTACCACACCTACCATACATACAATAGCATACATACAATAGCAAGCATACATGCCATACATACCATACCTACCTTAGATAGGACATATTCCATACCCATCATAGTAACCATACATACCATACAGACCATACATACTGTCATATCAAACATACCATATCCAACAGACTTACATACCATACCTACCATCCATACAATACCAACCACTCATGCCATACATACCATACCTACCATACATACCAAACATACCATACTTTCCAAACATGCCATACCAGACCGACCATACACACCATACATACCCACCATACCATACCACACCCCCACCACACCACAGGGGGGGGAGGGGGACAGTGCCACACCCCCACCACACCACAGGGGGGGGAGGGGGAAGATCTCATATGGGACCAGTATATGGGACCCATCCACCACACCACAGGGGGGGGAGGGGGACAGTGCCACACCCCCACCACACCACAGGGGGGGGAGGGGGAAGATCTCATATGGGACCAGTATATGGGACCCATCCACCACACCACAGGGGGGGGAGGGGGACAGTGCCACACCCCCACCACACCACAGGGGGGGAAGGGGAAGATCTCATATGGGACCAGTATATGGGACCCATCCCATATGGGGGGGGGAGGGGGGGGGTGGCAGGGCCTGGTGCATATATACAGTATATATACAGTATATATACAGTATATATACTATATACTAGTATATATACTATATACAGTATATATATATATACAGTATATATATACATATATATATACATATATATACAGTATATATACAGTATATATACAGTATATATACAGTATATATACAGTATATATACAGTATATATACAGTATATATACAGTATATATACAGTATATATACAGTATATATACAGTATATATGCAGTATATATACAGTATATATACTATATACAGTATATATACTACATACAGTATATATATACAGTATATATATACATACAGTATATATACAGTATATATACAGTATATATACTATATACAGTATATATACTATATACAGTATATATATACAGTATATATATATATACATACAGTATATATACAGTATATATACAGTATAAATACAGTATATATACAGTATATATACTATATACAGTATATATACAGTATATATACAGTATATGGGCGAGTATGGGCGGATCTAATAATGGGCAATGTTGATAGGAAACATTGGGCAATAAACCATTGGAATCCATTGGATTTGCAAACCGCAGGTAACTTCTCGGAATGAAGGATCCAGGTACCATGGAACACATACTTTGGCCTCAAAATAGGGATGGTTCCCGCTCAAATGATGGACAAACAAATGCGAAAACATGTTTCTTAATCGATGTTCATCAAGCAGAAGGATTTGTTGGTACTCAATTCAAAGACATACAAAAGTATATGTGCCATGGTCAAAATTTATCGTTTGCGGGTCATGGCATCCCACCATCATTACATACATCCTTACAATGGGTTTTACAAATGGATATAACAAATCCCTACATATAAATATATATATAAATATGTCAATATCCCTATAAACCGATTGATGACCATCCCCCAATATATGAGCGTATAGTCCATCTTTTAACTATGCCAGATCTGAAAAATACCTTCGAAAAGCACCAGGTTCTGACTCTGGAGGACATCCTACAGAAAGACATCGCAAGAGGACAACATCCAGAAAATCCTCAGCGGCTCACGCGACTTGCAGAAATGTGCACGGGGGCTAAAAGATGCTTTGGTTCAAGCGTGAGCTTGGGTTTGTAAGCCAACATGTTCAAATGTAGGATATTCATCTCTGTGGGAGTGAATCCAGCAGAGTTAGCTGTGTCACTTTCAAGTCCAATCTCTTCCACATGTATGATTGGGGTTCTGGGATGTGACATGTTGTGTATATATATATTTATATCATATATTTATTTGTTATATATAATTGATTATACTTATATGAATAGTAATTAAATTATTTAATATATTATAGAATAATAATAATAATAATAATATATTATATAATAATAATAATATATTATGTAATAATAATATATTATGTAATAATAATAATAATATATATATACATATAAAAATGTATGTATATAATATAATATATATATATATGATATATTACAATAAAATAATCATAATAATTTATATAACTAGAACAATTACTATTCATATATATATAGTATAATTATGTATAATTCATTGTGGTATGTATACAGATCTGTGGACGCTCACAAAAAGCAATCAGAAAAAGCCGTTTACATCATGTTATCATCTTATCTATTTGAGTCTTTGCTGTACCTCAGGAAACTCATCCGAAGCCCAGACTCCCAGCACAAGATCTCCCGTCGCAGTGGCAGTGCAGCTGGGAAGTGCTGAGGACGTTTCTCCCAAAGCTCAGAGAAGAACTGCCTGCAGCTCTCGCAGGGCCAACCATACAGTTTTTACCCTGCAAAGATTGGGGCCTGTAGAATTTCCCTTCAACATCCTTCAACATCCTTCAACCAATTCTGGGCACCTCAAAATGAACTGCGGAGTTGTTTTTTATTGCATTGCATTGAACTAACCAAAAAAAAATCCTGATGTTCGTCCCCAAAATGTCTGTCTGTCCCAATTTTTGGCCAGGGCTCTCTACAGACAGTGGAGCAATCAAGCTCCGAAAGAGCTCCGACTGCGCGGGGACATCCACCATGCCAGGCTGTGGTGCTGGAATGATGTTTGCTCAATGATGACCTCCAACTAAGCACTGCATAGGAGATTATACAGATAAAATGCTTGGCAATACTTCTAGGAGGTAACTTTTACTGTGCCCATGAAGATGTTTATACTGTGGCAGTTATAGGGTGGAAGCCGGGTTCATGTGTCTCGTGGAAAGGGGTCAAAAACCCATGGCTGCTGATATGTTGAGCCAACCATAACCATAACCTCTCGTAATCAGAGATCAGATGGCACCTGAGAATCCATGGCTTGTGCTGGCTAATACCTCTAGCAGTGATTTTCACGCTGCGGCCAGCCAGGTTATCTTGTGAGTCACCAAAGGGTCAATCAGAGGTCCATTATGATTGCGACATTGCGACACTCCTAGACTTTAACCCAAAGTTGACAGGTCTGAAACCAAATGTGGTCCCAAATCGACTCCACATTCAGTAAATTTACTTTCCAATTTCTCATGTCCCGTTTACAAACATGTTTTGAAGCAGCCTCAACTTTTCCCTGTCAACCAGGATTTGAAAACTCCCCCTGTGCTTGGGTTGGCACATCTAGTAGGAGATTTTCCACCTGCGGAACCGGCCCTCAGGGCTGGGAAAATCGGAAACCCGTGGGCTTTTACCGGATGTGGGCATTTTGAGGTACTTGGGATGAGTTTCAAAAGTATTCTTGCTATATTTGGCATCAACAAAAACACTCCTCCAATGTGAGGGTCCATGATTCATGTTTTCTGCGGGGGTTGGTCTCTGTGAATTTGCTAGCTAATTCATGCTAATTCACTGTTGAGACTCCGTCCCAGTGGGCAGAGCTTAAGTGAAATTATACCTGTATACTGCATCACTTGGCAATAAATAAGCGGCCAATAAGCCATTGATTTGCCACTATTTAGCACACCATTACATACCCAAATTTGGCCTTTTAAGAGCAAAAACTGAGACTAGAGGGTCACAAAGGCCTTCTTGAACACACGTGTATTCTATTTTCTTGTTGTGCACTACATCACTTTCCATGGTCCGGGACACTTGGTTAGATCAAAAGCCGCTCACGCAAACGGTTCTTGGATTTTTTTCTTATATCTCATTGTTCCCTGGCTTGTACCACTTGTCATCTACCCGTACCGCTGTAAAAGAATGGCAACCTTCATAGTAAGTCTGACTTGTTCACCATCAAGTGGCAAGCCAAGTGAACCCCGAGACGCTGCCCCCAGTAATTGCCTATACCAGGTATAGATCCGCAGCACTCCACTAATTTTACTAAGCAACTTGAAACCCTCAAGAAGTCGGCTTTAGGCGATGTTTCTCCATTAGAACTGATTGGAATCCCATGAAATGTTCATCATGAAATAAGTATGTTGGACGATAAACGCATATAAAAACAAACCCTATCACAGGTTTCATTCAGGTCTTAATTGGTGACAAATTCCCACATAGTCCATGTACTGTGGTGTATCTACCTTTCTAGATTTAACCTAGAAACATCAACCCTTGCATGCAGGTAAATTAGTAGAAAGCATAGGGGCATGAAATGTTCGACGTGACCCTAACTAGGCCCTCACCCAGAAATAATGTTACAAGTGCCAATATCTTGGGGCAAAACACATTCGTTTAACTGACAAAACACCTATCTTTATCCGTAAATAAGTCATGTTTATGATCAAAATACCAGATTCAAAGGGTGGCATACCCCGGAAGAGGTTAACACCCACTTCAATGTATTTCCATTCTTCCAAATATTAAAAAATGGGTGTTATCAACACCACATGTTAAATGTATTGTATTATATTGAGACTTTGTCATCATCATCGTCATCGTCATCGTCATCGTCATCGTCATCATCATCATCATCATCATTATCATTATCATGATCATCATCATCATCATCATCCTCATCGTCATCGTCATCATCATAATAATCGTCATCATCATCAGTATCATCATATTAGTATTCTTCTTATTATTATTCTTCTTCTTCATCATCATCATCCATAAGAAATATATACCAAGTTTTGATGGTCAACACCCATTTCATCATCTATAAGAATCTGTATCACTATAATAATCTAAAGCAACTTATCATAACAGTAGCAATAATAATTCATCATTGATAATGATTGATGTCATCATCATCTTTGATATTCATCATTGATTATTATTGATAATCCTTGGTAATCAATGTATTTCAATATATATTCTATAATGATAATCATATATTTTCCACAGTGATTTAAATCAATATACACCCATCTATAATGATAAAATGGATTTGTTGATGGTCAATAATCATCTATAATAATCTAGAATCATGAATCATCCATAATTCATAATCATCTATACTTACAGTAATCATTAGTAATAATCTATAATTATCTACAATTTATGAGGATCTATAATTACAGTAATCATTGCTCATCATTACTAATCATCTATAATCATCTATAATCATCTATAATCATCTATAATCATCTATAATCATCTATAATCATCTATAATCATCTATAGTTACAATTACTCATCATTAGCAATCAATTTTCTACCGCCCCAACCGCTTCGTCACCGTGGAGTCTTCTGTCTGCCGCCGTACGCGAGAGTCCACCTCCACCTGGAGTTCGACCAGAAAAACACGGGAACCCGGGATCTGAAAAAGTGATTTCTAGTGATTTTAATGGGATCTCATAGTGATTTCATGGGATCTATATATATATATATGGTGATTTATCATAGTGATTTCATGGGATTGTATTGTGATATTTAATGGGATCTGATTTGGATAAATGGAGGATTTCGCCTCTGGAAATCGATGAGTTTCCCGTGTTTCAACCACCTCTACAGGATGGTCAATTGCCATGTTTGATTACGGGGAGGGTAAGTTGGATTATAACTGTTATAACTCCAATGACTTTGGTTTTGGTAGATATATCTGGGTAAATTTCATCACGACCTCACTGCGACCGAGCCCTGGGAATCATAGTTAATAAGGGGAATCATCCCCAAATGGCCTTAATTCAGGATAGTGAAATATTATAATTTACCCAGATATATCTCCATATCTATATATATATACATATATAACTTGAATGAACTATCTAAGTGGGTGAACCAGCTAATGGTGGAGCCCCTGTATGTTAAGAAGATACTGTCTACATAATATTGTCATCATATACAGTCACAATCCTTGGTTCACCCAGTTGCCTGGTGAACCCCAGATAGTCTCCACTATGCAAATGGGTAAACTATCCAATGGTGAGACCCCATGCTGTAAGGGCTACAAGCCCACTTCATATCACTTAATATTTAACTATGGGGGGAATACGTTAGAAACATGCTTGGATGTGCAACCCAGTTACTAAGTGAGTAATTGGCAGCTTACCAACTTGCCATGACTAATAGTGTTCACCCAGATCAATGGGATAGGTCATGTTATCTGAGTTGTGATCACCGCTGAAAAACGATTTCTGGGCTATGAAAAGCCTATGGCTTCCCATGAGAATCATAAATGGTGGATCTTCATATCTTCCATATCCATCCATATCCATGCGAAAATTTGATGGAAGATAGTATATAAAAGCAAAATTCACAAAAAAACCTGTTGACCATGTTGACCCATGTTTTTCCCTCGTAGCAATTTGGGTGATGGTTTAACCTCGACGTTTATCTTTCTATATCATGTTTTTGAAGAGACATTAACTTTTTTGGGGTCAAGTACTATTCAGGCACCCAACATAAACATTGGTAGAGTCTAACCCCTTCGTGGGTATGTCTGGAAAATGGTACCCCAATATGAAGATCGCTATTAAGAGGGGTATCCCCATCCAAGTTATACAAAGTATATCCCCCAAAGTGATAATAAATCTAACAAAAAAGGGACCCTATACTGGTTTGACTCTTAAAATTGACAGATATATAATTTTTGTTTTGCTGGTCAGAAACCATATTGAGCGACTCCTCGTTTGAATCTGAATGACAGTGCCTTTGATCAGTTTTGTCATTCAAGTATTATCCATATTGGTAGCGAACTCTTGCTTCATGGCCCTTTGAAATATCCAGCTGGCAGTTGGGGCCCTCACCAACTGGTATCTCAAAGCACAGTTTCCAAACAATGTCGAGCTCACCAAACTGTTTTGCACCTAATTTCTATATGACATAGCTAACTTAGACATTTGATACTCTGCAAACAAGCCACCAAACTTCGATCTTCTGATCCGGTAAATGACAGTGCTATTCCTTAACTATGCGTATCTAATTTCGACTACATCCGGACAAGATTTTCCTTGAACAACGACGCAAAAAATCCTGGAAGAACTTACAGCATCTTATAACTTATCACTTATATAGTATATTATAGATTATATAATCATGATTACATACAGTAACTTACCCTATCGTCTACAAGAACCCAAGTTGGTTGTCCCACATCACACCATTGCATCCGGTCGCACGCCTGTCGTTCCACGGATTGGAAGCACTGGGTCAGTTCATCTCTGCGTGGTCCAGTCTGTGCAGGTGTGGTTCCACAGCGGATACAAAAAGACAATGAAGTGAGAACAGAATGGGGGAAATGTGTGTATTTAATCTTGTCATATCTTGTTCATTTAGACTGTATGTTAATTCAATTCTGATTCTATGTCCTATCAAACTACCTGGATCTCAGTAGCAGTCAGTCTAGATCTATCAAATCAGGGACCATCAGCCACTGATTACCAGCGGCTCCGAACTCAGAAAAGGGCTCAGTGTGGGTTCCCGCTGGGTCGGCCTGTGGGGTGCATTGCCTGTGGCCAGGATTGGACGTGAAACAGGGTGTCATAGCAGGTACTGCTTGAAAACTGTAGTATGGAACATCCAAATCATGGATTGGCTGTGAATACCAAAACAAAGAAGCACGCTTTCCTGACATGTTTCCAGTACAAACATGGGCAAACTAAATTATTGTTTCTACCACACCTGCAAGATTAAAACCATTTGTGCGACATATTTCCCATGGAGATAGACCATTGAAATCATCTGAACCATCTTAAACCCAGAAAAATGTGCTAGTTCACTACTTCACCATTCAGTCTGGCTGAATTATATAATACAAATTAATTATAAGAATTCATCAACATGATAAGGTCACTTTGTGAGTCACTGCACGGAATCGATCCGGCCTCGCAGCGGAATGGATTTCGAGTTGCCCTGGCCACTGGATTCACCCCATTAGACCATTGGTTTGTACTGAAACCCATAGTGGTTTGGAGATCCAGAACTTTTTAAGAAAAATTCCGCCACTTTTTAAGAAACTCCAGCATTTTACGAGGGCCTCAAATATGATTTTTGGACATCTTGAGAGTTTCAGAAACTGTTTGGCTTTCGACATATCCGACAGTTCCACCAGTCACTTGGGTTTTTTTGGTGCTATCCTTGAAGGATCATCTCACAGGATGGTAAGTGGTAACAAAAAACAGGTCCCCCTTTATCGCTGGATGGCTGGTTTCAGAGAAAATCCCAACAAAAAACGGATGATGACTGGGGGTACCCCCACTGAAGTGGAAACTTAAAGAAACCTGAACACATCAATAGCCCTAGGCTCTCCCCACCTGCTCGCGCCGAAGGCGGTGTGCGCTCCAACCTCTGACAGGGCCGGTTGTGTTGGGATAGTGGTTTACCACGGTTTACCCCAAATTTAGAGGATGAATATGGGTGAGCATAGATGACTATGGATGATCATGGATGATTTGTTTTGCCCTAGTGCTATGGTGATTTGCTAACTCTCATGACGTCGAAACCGCGGAACTGCTCGTGCCCGGTGCCGTCACTTTCCCAATGCAGTTACATCTGGCATGCCGTGGTCCCAAGGCACCAAAAGCCTCCATTTGCAGGAAATGTTGCATCTGGTGGATGGTAGCAAACACTGTTTGCACACATATTAAACCAGTCAGTTGTCGTCATGATCTTTGTCTTTGTCTTTGTCTTGGTTGTCATCGTCCTCGTCATCTTCGTCATCATCATCGTCATCATCTTCGTCATCATTTTCATCATTTTCTTCGTCATATTCTTCGTCATCATCGTCGTCATCATCATCGTCATCATCATCATCATCACCACAATCATCATCATCGTCGTCGTCGTCGTCGTCGTCGTCATCATCATCACCGCCCTTGTCACTATCATATAACTATGTACCTAGAACATGTGTTTTCCCATGGTTCAACAATCCACTTTAACAAAATATGAAACTTGTATACATATATAATATATATATATACACACATATGTATATATATATATATACATATGTTGCAAGCATCGGACCCGCCCATTTTTGGCGCAAGTGATCCCTCCTCTTAATCCTCAGTATCTAGTTCGTCTGACTATGGGGGGCTTTACCCATGGCGCTCTGCCATGAGGCCATCTACTTCGACATGGCCTAGTTGCAATGCCAGTTTCACAGCAGCATCACTATCGGCACCTAACTCAACCAGCAGGCGAACAATGTCAAGATGGCCATCTCGAGCTGCAACATGCTGCAACCATCAAGGGGGTCACACCACTGTTTGCTGCTTAATCTTTGGCTGCATTAGCTTCGACTAGCAGGCCATTTTGAGCTGCCATGAACATAGCTCTGACACCAGTGTTGTCCGCTTGATCTTTTGCTGCATCAGCTTCCACTAGAGAGCGGACTATGTCCATGCCCTCTTTAGCCGCGAGAATCAAGGCTGTCGCACCAGTGTTGTCCGCTTGATCTTTTGCTGCATCAGCTTCCACTAGAAAGCGGACTATGTCGAGATGGCCCTCTTTAGCTGCGACAATGAAGGCTGTCGCACCAGGAGGGAAGACACATTTTGTCTTGTAAAACGAGGGGATTCTGTGCTTCAGTGGTTCCGAGAATCTGCTCAACGTCCACTTGTGGTCTTAGATCCATCCGAGATGTTGATGGATTGATTTGCGACATTCCCCATATTTCCCCATCATTAATGGTAATGGATCAAAACCCAGGTAGCCTGGTGAACATCAAAATGAATGGCAAATGGATATTGTTCTATTTGCAAAAGATTTGTATAAAAATAGGATTTTAGAGGTGGTATTGATCCAGCAATTTGATGTCAGTCGCCAAACTAAACCCAGGATACCTGTACTTACCCAAGCGTCCATCTTTGAAACCAAGCAGCGGAAGCTGCAACTTTGGCGGCGTTCCGTAGCGCATGCCGGTCTTGCTACTTTTGCACTGAGCTTTATAAAAAATAAAGGTCTGTTCCACCTTCAAAACCTGGTCCTCTCTAAAATCCAGTAGTTGAAAATTGAAAATGCCGCTCGCATATTTTCACCCATATCCATATCACTTTGAAGCCGTGAAGTTTTGTGTTGAACTTGGATATTCCTACACATGCGACGCTTTGCATGCATTGATATTTCAGCTGTCCAAACATGTCAACATGTCCAAAATTGTCCAAAGGTTTCATCCACAAGCCATCCTGGAACCGCAGAATCCATTTGCGGAACTTGATTCAGAGCCAAATTCTGTGGCAGCCGCTGCTATCCCCTAGGTCACAATCTTTGGAGCCGTCCAATTGGTTGGTGTACCTGACTTGATCTATACCCACCATGCAAGGAACCAATGGTGGAAAGTTTCATAAAATATTTTAGAGATATGTGTTAGTTGAAAAAAATGGGGGGCATATGCAGATGTATGGCCATTTTTAACAAGAAGCTGTTCTAAGCCTCCTCTTTTGGGAGGGGTTCTACTTACGTCACTAGCAATGCAGCAAACCGTAGTAAACCGAAAACCGAAACAATAATATTGAATCATGACGATTAGCCGCTATGTTTGATGAAAGACATGCAAACTTAGATCTGGTTGAAGAGTTTCCACATGACACCGGCTAAATCATCCCATATCTGGCACATGGGTTTCAAATCTTCGAGCCATTGAATGATATTTTATGTTACCTCATTTTCTTGGCATTTTATGTGACCTCATTTTCTTGGAGTTACATAAGTCAACCATTTAACATACTTAGTTTACCTATTGTATAGATATAGATATATGTATATATGTTGGCAGTCTTCGATTCGAAATTCGAAACTTCACTGGGATATATATATATATGTATATATGTATATATGTATATATGTATATATATATTGCATATATATATATATGGAACAAATGTTTTTCCTATATAGTTCGAGTCGGAAACTCCATGGCTGGTCCATTGGGATCATCCTGGTGTTTGTCAATCCCACTGGCTGATGCAGAATGGTGATAACAAGTGATGGGCTCCTCATCTCTGTATTTGTATATCTATAAATATATCTATAGATAGATATATATATAAATAATAATATATATATATATAATAATAATATTATATATATATATATTCCAGGTTTCCAGCTTTTCTCTGTGGCACCATCAACAGACTGTCAGTCCAACTCACCCTTTTCCCTGGCTCATTCCGCAAGGACTTCATCAGTCCTGGATTCGCTGGGACATTTGTGACCTCCGTTCACCCTGGTTTCAATTGGTGTGTAACCCGTGAACCCACTTGGATTGTCTACAATGCAGACCCAGATAAATCTGGGAAAAAAAAGAAGCATGTATTATAGATGCTGGTCCCAAACCAGCATGCATAATTTCGAGCAGAGTCAAGTCTCATCCCGAAGACAAGTTGGGGTTTGGTTTCTCCGCGCAGCGAAGTTACAAAGGGGTGATCTTTGACTGAAGACTGGTTACCATATGGTAGTCATTCAAAATTGAAGCACCGCAAAGACCACACAAAAGATAACTGTTGTTCTGAAACATATCTAAAACCTGATGTTTTGGGCATTATACATATCTACATATCTATATGTATATACATATATATATATATACATATATATATATACATATATATATATATACACATAATTATGTGTAGTATATATAATTATATAATATATATATATACATCCGAAGTTTTTGATCATGTGTGTTGGTCACATGATGTCCTCACCGTTGCTTCATTTTTTGGTCATCTGTGCCAAATCGTGGCCTCACAATCGCAGGTCATCTCGGCATCGCCGGCCTGTAGCAGGTCAGCGCCAAGGCCGGGTCATTGAAAAACATACCCTCTGGTAAACGTTAACAAAAAACTATAGAAAATCACCATGTTCAATGGGAAAATCCACTATAAATTACTATAAATGGTCATGTTCAATAGCTATGTAACAAATTACCAGAGGGTATCCCAAACTTGGTAGCATCCCTTCAACTAATATTTGGGGACTAACTAACATAGATAATTTGGGGATTAACTAACATAGATAATTTGGGGACTAATTAACACAGATCCTGCCAATAATTATCCAAATAGGGTTTTGGACACTGAAAGAGAACTAATGGTCAGTGTGTCTGTAGTTAAAGCAGCGAACAGAACTGCTATGGGTGAACTAATCCAACGTGGTTTTTAAAAATGTGTTCATTTAGTAATTAAATGACAGTTGGTTGTAAATCATTAATTAATGACAGTTAGTCAATCAAAACACATATTGATCACACATTTAAATGACAATTTAATTGGTTTTGATTTATATGTGTGATTATCTGCGATCCCCACTTTTGCGGTTCCACATTATTTTTTGGGGGATGTTTACTTTTGTTGAACACTTTTCCAAATCGTCAAGAATTCGCAAGCGAGAATCCATTTCAATCATTTCAATCAAATCTTGATGAAACTTGCCAGCCCAGCATGAGCCAATTGTTCTTGGTCTACTAGTAGCAGTTTGCCTGTTCCATGCTGTTCCCCTCGTTTCCTGACACCGGGGGAAACCCCCCGTTGAAACTCAACCGGGCCTCCCTGATGGCTTGATTTCCTGCACGCAAGCTCCTGTCAGTGTCGCTGACGACCAGGATTTCCGATCCATCCCCAGAATCCCACAGCCGCTGCCACAGCCCTGCCGTCCTCTTCTCAACCTGCCATGTCCATCACCAAAACACGGAGTCCAACATGTCTATGATATTGATATATATATATATATGCTATATGAAATTACCGGAGGGTATATCAAGTACTCCAACATGTCTATGAAGCTACAAATGTAAGAGCTGGCAGGGACCATAAGGGACCCATGGTGAGGCATTCACCTTCGTATACATGGCTCTACTTGGGTACTTGGTAGATGTTTTGGACCATTGTGAATAGAGCGGGTTGGAAAGCAGGGGCTCAATTACAAAACCATCAACAACATATTGCATATTACATAATTTGGTTGGTGATGTTGGCGGTTTCAACCCCCAACATCACGATCATTAGTCACTAGCCGATGTCGTCAACTTGAAAACAATGCTTTTGCAAACGTTTGAGAGAAAGGAAAAAGCTGTTTGAAACCATCCACCAGTCATGTATTGAAGTCCATGATTGAATATCATGAATATCATGAAGGATCATCCATGAAGATCCAAAACGAGAAAAACTTCATGAAAAACTTCCACAAGTGGCTTTGTCTGAAGATTTTTTATGGCAAAACCACAACTGAACCCGAAATTTCATGGTTCATCACCACTTCTTCATTATTTTCCCTCGATTTCCCCTATGTTTTCCCCACTCAAATAGCCATCTGGGGGCTTCCCATGTAGACCCTACGCTGCCGCCGCCTTGGCGCTCTTCTCTAAGAAGGCCTTGGGCAGGGCTTTCCAAGATGCTTTCCAAGATCTTCCACATTAAACATCATATGAACATGATATATGTTTGATTAGAGGATGAATATCGACAGTGCTAAGGTGATTTTGCAGTGCTAAAATGCAAATAGACTTGGCTATTTTGCAGATTCGGAAAGCATTGTAATGGGTTTGCCAAGGTTGCTCCCCTGTTCATTGGCGGCCCCCTGCTATTGCATCATGCAGTGCAGAAGTGCCAAAAGCGTGCTAGTGGCTGCTCTAATGGCTGAATGAGGTAGCCAGGTAGCGGACAAGGGGCAGGGAGAGGGAGAGAGATAGAGATATATATATATACATAGTATATATACACATGATTATATGTATATATATATATATTAATATGATATATATTAATATTATATATTTGTGTGTATATATATATATTATATGGACAGGGAGAGAGTGAGGGAGGGAGGGAGAGAGAGAGAGAGAGGGAAAAAATAAATAAAACACGCGCGATAGCTCCGAGATTAGGAACAGAACTGGTTCAGAAGAAGTAGTTCATAGAAGGGGTAGTTGAGAGAAGGTCGGAGAAGAGGAAGCTCAAGCAAGACGCAAACTGCGAAGAAAGACCGCGCAAAGAAGGGGTAGCTGAAGGACGAGCTAGCTCAAAGAAGCAATGGGAGCTAAGGAATCATTGCCCATTCATTCATTCATTCATTCATGCATGCATGCATGCATGCATGCATGCATGCATTCATTTCGTTTACTCATCTAATTTAATTCGCGCATTTACATAGCTTCGTTCATGTTGTTTTGTTCATTCAACCATTCTGTGCCCGCCAAATTATGCCAAATTTGGATAAATTTGATTAGGTATAATTACTCCATCATGCCAATTAGGTCTAATTACTCCATCATACCCCAAGCTGAGAAACCCCACGCCAGGCATTGCAGGCATGCTGGGTGCTGTTGGCATCGTAGGCACACCCGGCATGGTTGGAACCCGCGGCATCGATGGCACGGTGGGGGCAGTGGGAAGACCTTCCGCCACCAGCACGAATTTGGTGGTATCAAAGATTGGTTTCTTTAGCACCGCATGGGGTTTAACTTGAACAGAAAAGGGTATACCCCCAGACCGAATGGTTTTGAAAATCATGTGTCCCATTTAATTTGCTGTAAAACAATTATAAATCCACATTGTTTTGGCAATACAAGATGTTGGGAAATGGCAAATCATGGCAAATGTATAAATATTCTAAAACATGGGTTGGCACACAATGGGGTATACCCCCAGGATTCCCATATTGATCATCAATAAATATATACATATATATATAATTATATATATATATTTGTATATATAATTGTATATATATATATATATTTGTATATCTATATATATTATATATTATAATGTAAGAATATATGGTAAAATGATGGAAAATGACGATAAGCCATAGCATTTGGGGTACCCTGTGTTCAGAGTGACAACCACCTATCTCTTCTGAAGCCACCCCCCGCTCATCTGGTCAAAACTCAACAACCTTCGAATTTGAAACACCCAAATTCATCCAAAATCAAGCAAAAACAATGTTTAACGCACTTGGAAACTTCACTGCAGTAGATGGACACATTATTCAAACCCCGCATCCATGAGTTGTAGGCTACCCCCTGTCCCCCCAAATTTCAACGTTATGGTTTCGTATCTTTGTTCCTGATCCTAGGGTTTGATTCTGTTTGATTTATTTCGTCCATTCGAAGGAGAGAACCAAACCAAAAAAACAACATTGTAATTGGGGGCGCGGGGGGTTATTGGATTACAAGGGTTTGAATAATTCGTCCATCTACGGTATGTCCCCTTGCATGTCTCAGTTTGTTGAAGGGAAGCATAACATGCATAACCTAACACTGGTGTGGTCAAGACGGACCCGGCCTGCGTTCATCATGTTGGCACCGGGCAAGTTGTTCCCCAGCTTGGCCAAGTTCCCTGAATCAGGCGGTGCCAACGTCTCCCGTGCTACACCATCATTTCCCCCCATCAGAATTGCAAATGTATCCCCCATTCTAAGACACACCCCATTGAATCTTCGAATTGGCCTTGCGATTGAGGGAATTGACCACACAGAACTGACCATACCATAGCGTCAAACTGAGGGTTCGAGATCTTTGCAACACCTGCCTTTGGGTCTAGAGTGGCTAAAAATGGCTAAAGTAATTCTGAAGTGGCTGCCGTGGGTCACAAGTCTACATAGCAGAGGTTGGAAAATTGAGCAAATTGACTCCAAAAGCGACAATCGCAAATCTGTGAGTTTGAAGGTCCACACAATTTCGTCTGGTTATACCCTCTCACAATCAAACTCGACTCGACAAAGGAAACTCCCAATCTAAATGGTACTGTAAATCATCCAGAAAGGAAAGATGTTCCATTGCCAGAAGTGATTGCCAGAACGCATACTCTCGCTTTGTTCCGTAGATAGATAGAATAGATTAGATTACATCAGATTCGATTCGATTCCATTAGATAGATAGATGGATAGATAGATAAGATAAGATAAGATAAGATAAGATAAGATTAGATTAGATTAAATTAGATAGATAGATAGATAGATCGACCCCAAGACAAGAAGATACGCACACATTTTTTTTTTGCCAACCATTTTGCCAACCATTTACAGGATTCCAACCTCAGCTCCTTATCTCCATGTCTTGCCTGCCCCAGGCATACTGGGCATCTGTGGCTGCATGGGGAATGGAAAGGACCGATCCTCAGGAATCTTCTCGGGAGAGACCTGAGGGCTGCCAGCAATGAGAACGGGGGATCCAACAATGGGTTTTTGCAACAATCCCTTCCCCCTCATATAAAAACTATATTCAAATATAGCCTTTCCAAAGCCCGGTTAATTGAATCTCATCATTTTTGGGGATGGGAAACTTTGAGATTAGGGGGCAGGGCTCATGGATCGTCTCACCAAACTCCCCGATCAACCAGGTCGTATCACCCCCCTATGATTCAACCATACATACCCTCTGGTAAACATACAAAAAGCTATTGAAAATGGCCATTTATAGTGGATTTACCCATTAAAAATAGTGATTTTCCATAATGTTAGTTTACCAGAGGGTAATGAACAGAGGTTTTGGTCACTGCTATGGCCATCAAATCCTCACCCGGGTACCGCTGGACTCCACCACACGCCATCTTGGCCGCCCTTGCCACTGCGGGAGGGGTCATCAAAGACTCCGGGGCAGCTGTCAGGTTACCTGGGCGCACAGGGCTGCTGGCCATTTTAACATGTTACCTATAGTTCAAACATGTTCAAATCTAGGAATGAAGGGGACAGACACCAATTTTGGGGGGATGTTGAGATTTTGAACCCACAGCAAAATCCGTTTGAGATGTGGACTACTTGTGACGTACTTGACTGGCAAACACTGGACTTGGAGCAATCATGTCTCAACTACTGCAGCCTCAATGCTGGGAAAACAAAGAGGTTTTTGTCACATTTCTACAAAAACTGGGTATTCCTATGTATTCCTAGGGTTTTCCGGGAAATCTGCTGTTGAAATCTGCTGTTTCACAGCAGCCACAAAACAACCAGCCACCCACTGCATCCTCCCGTGCTGCACCAGCGATACGCCAAGGTGCAGGGAAGGCGCAGGAGCCATGGCGCAATCTTGGCCTGCGCCGAGTGGGCCATGGATGGCCATGGGGCCATGGGACCGACCGCTGACCGGTTGTTGAGTCACCAAGTTCAGCTGAGCGTGCAAAGCCCTAAACCGAATGAGCTATATGATCTGGGGATGGGTCAAAACCCTGGTACCTAGTGAACCCCAAAATAGCTGGTAAATGGATGTTCTTCCCATTAAAAATGGTATTAATAGGTATTGATCCATACCCATCTATCCAAATGGTAAATAGTGTAATGGGTAACACTCTGTTTACCTCTACCACCAACCTAAAAGCTTAGCCCCTTAAAAATGGGATTCTTATTTGTCCTAGAAAAATCATCAAGCCGATCAATAATCTCTAGATGATTGACCTTAAATGAACTTCATCTATCCAACTCAAATCATCCATATTGGATACCCTCTGGTAATTTAACGTAGCTATGGAAAATCACCATTTTGAATGGGAAAATCCACTATAAATGGCCATTTTCAATAGCTATGTTAGTTTACCAGAGGGTAATCCCAAATAAATCTAGCCTCTAGGAATTCAAACATGGCTGGCAAATCATCCAACGATTTCTGGTGCCCAAAATCCACAACTCTCCAGCACCATCCCTCCTGCTCCAGGTTACAGGGATACAAGGGCGGCGCCCGTGTGGGTGCAGGGCCTTGAAGAGGAACCCATTGGATGCAAAAAACCCTGCAAACAACATGTGTTTCGCTGGTTTCTATGTCTATAATATATATATATACACATCCACACTAACAGCAGCAGATTAAATATGATTAAATAATCAAACTACTTGGAACTACCTACCCATCCAAGGTTTCCGCAAATACGATTGGAACATAAAGCCATTGACCTGCTCCTTGAAATGCCTGATCCTTTGCCAATGTCAATCCGTTCACTTCACTGGTGGCTTCCCGGGGATTTGGTGGAAGCGCCCCCCCCCAAAAAAAAAACGACCATAGAGTCTGCATTGGGAATCCCCGTTCTTTGTCGATCAAAATCCCCCTTTGTGGATCCCAATGTTTGGAACCAACTGAACTCCAAGTTTGTTGCTAACATCAAAAAAAAACCGTTGCTTCCCACATAAATCCCCAAAAGATCCCAAAAATACAGATTTATGTATTTTTTCCCCAAGATAAATCAGATAAATCCCCAGATTTCTTGATAAGTTCCCTCAAGCTTAGGCCATGGAAAAATCCATCCCCAACAGGGGGGAAGTCGCAGAGAATCCAAGGCGATGACCCAAGGTGGGAAGGTCCTCTAAAAGGTGAGGATCACTTCAGTGATGCGCTTTTTGGTTTTTGGGGCTACACAAATAATTTGGTGAATGTTTAACGGTTTGTAGAGGATATGACTATAGTTAGAGTTAACTTAATGGTTAACATAAATCAACTTTTTAACTGGGGGGTCTCACCTTGACATTTCGGGCATATCATATGTTTGATGGAAGGTGTAATTTGGGATCATTCACGATCGGATGGATCTGGGATAATTCATCCTTGGATCAATATTCATCGAACTACAAGCAATATTCTGAGTGATCAAATCACCATTTTGGATAGATGGCAACATTTGTTCAAAAACAGGATTGGGAAGATTTTCCAAAATGAAATGAGACGAATAGTCTAGTCAATGCTGATCATAAACCATAATTTGTCAATATGAAATATGATACATCCCCAGCAAATTTGTCCACCACTCTTGATAGTTTCCCCAAGATAGGTGGTTTTCTTGCGAAGAGCTTCCTAACTCTGAAGGCAGCGGGGTTAGGTTTTGGCAATTTTTCTTGTGTTGGTCGTGAAAACCACCAAGGTCGATATTTCGCGATTCAGCTTGGGGGCAGCTACCTAAAGACAAGCCTACCATGGTTTCAGTAAAAATGGAATCCCCATTCGTAATTCACCCTGCAGGCGACTCATGATCATCTGAGTGTGGGTCTAGATATCATAGGGCAACTTGTTCTTAAACCACAGGCAACTTGTCCAGCCAGAGTCCTCTGGGGTCACATCCGGCCTTAGAAGAGGTGAGTTGATAGCTGTGAGTTGTCTGTGGACAAAAATTCAGGCACCCCAAAATCCACAAAAGTGAATCATCGATCTATTTACAGTAATATTTTTTAATCACCACAACCCAACTTTCAGAGAAATCCAGATGTATACCAACAAAATCAGAATTCTTCCAAGTTGATCCTCAAACTTACACTGCATTGTTAGTGGACATGTTTGAACAACAAACCATTATAAAATGTTGGTTTTCAATGGTTTTCAACACTACTCAATTCGCTATGGGTCGAAATTTGATACCCCAAAAATTGCATGGCTGAGACGAAAACTGGTCCCACTCCGCAGTCCTTTGACCATTAAATGTCTGGGATTTGCTTCAGATGCTCCAAAAAACAAACGGATTTCCATTATATTCCATATATATATATATTCGTTGAGTTGCCTGAAATGCTACATTTACAAACGGAAAATTCAAAAAATCACCAACTGACCAAAATCCAAGATTCTGCACTTCTCCCTGCCTTGTATCGGGGCCCTTTTAGGACTAGCTTCGCTGGCGATTCTCCGTCCCTTGGTCCCCCCACATCAACGGCAGGTCAGGCAAATCTGCCGGCGGCGGCGGCGGCGGCAGCGGCGGTGCCCGCGGCGCTGCTGGGGGCGGGGGTGGGAGCCTTGGAGCCGGAGGGTTTTCGACAACTCGGTGCCTGGAGGATTCATGGTGATTACCCTCTGGTTATGTCAACATAGCTATTGAAAATGGCCATAGAAATAGTGAATTTTCACACTAAAAAATTGTGATTTTCCATAGTTATGTTAGTTTACCAGAGGGTATAACTCTAGAGAGATGGGTAATAAACTCACCTTGTATATTTTTTCTGGGTAATAAACTATATAGGACAATACCACAGTAAAATCAAAGGAATATTCATGGGGTCACAGTCAAATGATTTTACTACTGGATATGGCCCAATTGTTGCATTCGCCAAATATTCGTTGCACCAAAAGAAGTAGCTTGCAGATGTCCCATTGTCATGTCGAGTTCTGACTTTCGGAAGGTTACTCTGCTCCATTCAACTCGCAGCTCTTTCTATTCAAACAGATCCACTGGTCGCTGCTGTCTTCAGCAGTCGATATAGAACGCTATGGTCGCCTCTGAGCAAATGTGAGATGCGCAGACATGGTCAAGTTTTCAGTGGGATATCCAACTGTCATTGAGATATCAAGCAGCTCAAGCATATCAAGCACTAAGAATGGGCAATACATCCTGTATATATATATACAAATATTTGTATATTATATATATATATCATACATAAAATTCAAAAGAAATTGTGGATTTAAGCAAGAATGTCTGGATCAGATTTGTGGTTTACCATCCGACGAAAAGATGGGTTTGCTCTGCCTAAATGGATCCAAAATTGACATTCCTTCTGAAAGTAACATGGTGCTTAAACCAAAGTTTGGGTGATTTGTAATTATATATGTAGGATTGCTGTTATTTTTTGTTGTCTATACTTATATACAGTAATCATATATGATCATCATATGTACATATGAAATCATACACATATTTTGTTTCGTCCTCAAATCAAGCCCATTGATTTCACGGTGTCTTTCTGAACGACCATGTCTGCATTCACCTTCTCTCATAGCCGACCAGCGGGCCTATTTCCCAATTTTATGCATGTTGAGTTGACTCCATGGAAAATCAGCGCGGTGTCGCAGGATGTCTTTGATCCCAGGCATCAACTAAAGCCACATGGCTGGGGACTTTTTCGTAAGTGGATGATACGAGCTCTTCTGAGGTTTTGGATATGGACTAAGGTATCTACCATCAGGTCAAACGTATTTCTAGGGGAGTTCAATGAAGCTGATAGCTTGGGACAGAACCAGGTAACTTGAGATCAGATGGGGCTCATAAATTTTTGGACGATTTATATTCTGATCTTCACAACTGAAGCTCTTGGTAGCTCTCTTGTTCCACGCGCTCCAGACAGCAGTTCCTGTAGTTTCTGATGACACTTGATCTTTAAGGTTCACATCATTGCATTGGAGCTACTTAGTACCAGTTGTGCGATGTTTAGTTACATTTTTTGCTCCAGATACAGAAATGTTGGAACAGCCCAAGTAGCCCTTGAATATCCATCACCCCCCGTGAAACCACCAACACCACGGTCAGACCCGGAGTGAATCAGATCCAGCAGTCACTGGCAGTGGTCGAAAAAAAAACAGGGCCAGGGCAGTGCAAAGTCCCAGGTGCAGCGCTCTTGGTTTCTGGTTGACTGACGGTTTCCTATGAACCTTCGCTGTAGTGCGTACGAGTATGAGCCACCAGCTGGGGGAGAAATTGGAATTGCATGCAAATATTATCAAAACAAAAATGGTGCTATGAACCAATATTCATCATCTTAATTGGGAAAATCTCCAATGCTTAGTGATTCAACCGGCGCCCCCAATTTTGGATCATCATTCCATTGTTTAGGGATGGAAATGGCTGGGGCCAGGGAAAGCAACTGAGATTTGACGATGATATGGGTCGCGATTTTGAGACTGACACAGGTCCTGATACATATAATCCACTTTTGCGGTCCCTCATTCCATCTTGCCAACTTCGACTTATTATTTTCCTGGTAAATTATAGGACCGAAGATGGATGGTCAAGATAGTCTATATGCTCTATGGACCAATTTGTGCAAAATATTTCATCTTGGCTGGTCCCTCAACCCGGGACCAAAGATCCAGTGATCAATGATGATTTGTATTGCTTTCTGCGAGCTGCTGACCGTGGGTTTGCATGAGCCACTTGAACGACGCTAGCATGGCGTGAGATATGGTCTGCTCAGAGATCTGAGAGGAGAGGATTGGGAGGATGCATGATCCTTAGGTGTCTATGGTAATTAATTTAGTAATTAACCCCAGAACGATAGAAAACAGAACTGAAAACGAGCAGACCCAGCTGCCCAACTCCCTTTGACACCAAGCCCCCCTCAGGGCTGGTCAATTGAGAGGCCGAGTCGATCTTTGCCGGGCAATTGAATTACATGAGATCTGAGTCAATTTGGGGACCCCAACATCTTAGGCCTGGTGAATTTCTGCCTATCCTAAAACAAATCTGAAGCTATCAAAAAACTATAGCAATCCTTACCATTAATCGAAGGAAGTTTAGAAGTCAAACTTCCGACAATATGGACAGATGAAAAGCAGAGCAGGGCAGAGGCAGAGAGAAGAGGAAGATTAGAAGAGAGAAGATCAGAAGAGAAAGAGTCAGGAAGAAAGAAGATGCAGATGCGCGAAAAGGTAGGAAAGTCGCGAAACAGGCTCCGGAAACGAAAAGTTTTTCCAATGATTTGTGGCTCCGGAGGGTCGAAAAGTAGGCTCGCTAAAGCGGCGGGTGCGGAGCCAGCTGGCCAGATGAGCGATGAAAAATTGCACGCCGTTGTGGCGCGAAGCACATTTTGAAGTCAAAATGTGCAAAACACACCAGGTCCGGACCACTTTTGGAAGTTGAGATGTCGAAAAAGTGCACGCCGTTGTGGCGCGAAGCACATTTCCAAGTCAAAAGTGTTAAAAACTGACGGTCTCGGACCACTTTTGGAGGTTCAGATGTCGAAAAAGTGTCAAAAAAGTGCACGCCGTTGTGGCGCGAAGCACATTTCGAAGTCAAAAGTGTAAAAAACTGAGGGTTTTGAGCCTTTTTTGACGTGAAGATGTCGAAAAAGTAGACACTGATTAACTTAACTAACTTGACTAACTTAACTAACTTCACTAACTTAACTACCCTAACTTCGACGACAACAGCAACAGCAACAACAACAACAACACCAACCACAACAACTACAACTACAACTAGATCGATAGATGGAGAGATAGATAGATAGATAGATAGATAGATAGATAGATAGATAGATAGATAGATAGATAGATAGATAGATAGATAGATAGATAGATAGATAGATAGATAGATAGATAGATAGATAGATAGATAGATAGATAGATAGATACAGATAGATAGATACATAGAAAATAGATGGGTAGGTAGGTAGATAGCCAGAGAAAGAGAGAGAAAGAGTGAGAGAGATCAAGCACCTTTCAGTCCATCAGTGGCTTCGCTCTGCCATCCCTGATTCACAACAACCAATTTCTCCTATAGGTTTCCTATTTTTGAAACTTCCGCCACCGCCTTGTGCGGTACTACTGGTAATGAATTAAGACATCCTAAAACTATCTAAGACTATAGCCACCCCCCCCCAAAAAGAAAAAAAAGCCGAAAAGTCTTAAAACAGGATTGTAGTTCGATGATGTGTCCTCCATGATTTTCCAGGTTTTCACCCATGCCGCATTGTCTTCTTGGATTTATTTACCACCAGTTCTCCAAGAAATGAAGCACGTGTAGGTAAATAAAAAGCATACATGGAGCATATGGGATATAAGATATGATATTATATGTATTGTTATATGTATATATAATATATAATATATACAGTATATATTGTATTACATTATGTTATTATACTACATTATATTACATTACATTGCATTGCATTGCATGCTGCATGATATGATATATTGATATGATATTATAGTTTTCTTTTGCATTAAATTATTCTATATTCCATTACATAATTATATCATAGTATATAAATATATCATATTATATTGGATTGGCATTGTCATCACAAATACCAGCTGCTGCTGGTGTGCAATCAAAATCAAGTAAAGATAGTAAAGCCATGTACAGGTCGACCCAGTTGAGGGATTTGCTCACCCTGGTTACAACCCATCTACAGTACGTACTATGGCTCATCCAATCTCATCCAAGCAGGAAATTTAGGGTTCCCCAATGGTCCCTTCTGAGAGCCGCAACTGGGACACACACACACACAATAAACACGCAATATAAAACAATACAGTATCAACCAATATTAACTCTATAGCATCTTATCCGGCGTTAGTATCTTTCAATGGGCTACTACTGGTACGTACAGCAAGGGTCCATCATAGCTTCAAGATTGACGACAGATCCCCACGTGGATGAAGGCCTTCTGCCTTGATCGCGTGTTTCAGTCGGTGCGTCATTCGGAGCAGGGCCGCGCCAAACACCATTTAATGTCCATGGTTGGCTGATGCAATGATTTTTGGTATTGATTTCAGGGGAAATCCGCAAGATGTACTAATATAGTTCTGAGGGATTTCCTCTAGGTTTTCCCATCAGCCGATTGTGATGGTGTTCAGATCCTATCGAGGACACCTGCTCCATTCGACGCCCGTTCGACTAACGCCGGCCGCAGGTCGTTACCGGCGAATTCACAGAACTTCGAACCCCAGCAAAAAGAACGAACAGATGCTATGGAAAGGTCCAACAGTAATCTTACCTTTGTGGACTTTAGTTTATGTCCTCTATTTTTTGCTGAAGGGATGAATTACTTGAAACAACTTCAGGCAGAGAACATCTGAGAACTGAGGTTGAAGTTCCCCAAAGACTTCGGAAGATTGAAGGCCACAGTCTTTACATTCAATCACCATTTCCCGCGCTGCGAAGGTGAATTGCAACTGGCCATTTTTCACCGACATCGATGCATTTCAACACGTGTCGACCATGAAAAGCTGTGTCAGGAACATTCCAAGCATAGCCACCTGAAAAGGGTTTTTTGAGGTCGGGCATCACATGGATGTGTCTGAAATGGGAGCATGGTATACCCCAAACAATCCCAAACATGGCCATTTCAATCGGGAAAATTATATACGACTTGAAAAGTGGATTTAGGGGTATCTACCTTATTTTGGACAAATTCACATCTTTCAATGGCAGTGGCCGTGTCAAAAGTTGTGTTTGCTACAATTGGAGCAATTGCTTGGAATGCATTGTTTTCGGAGGCCTCTAAATGACCGCCCAAGACCAACAGACAAACTTCTCTCCTCCCGAGAGCTGACTATTGCCAAATGGTGTGGTCCCCTTGTGGCAAGTCCCATTCTGTGCATTCGCTGCTAGCCAGAAGAAATGGACAAAATAGTGATATACCGAGCTAAGAAAGGGCTTATTATATCCCCATGTATTTTCCTCAAAGATTAAGTCTTGAAATTCAGCGTATGTTAATTTAGTTACATAGTAACCCAAAAAAAGATAGAAAAGTTATTTCCCACTAAGCTATGTGATATAAATTATATGTTGTTATCGTTATCTTTTTGGGTGGTTTTTAAATGTTAATGGGGGGTTTTAAAAAAATAATATGTGATATAAATTATATGTTGTTAATGGGGGTTTAAAAAAAAAAAAAAAACATCATAATTGGGGTTCAATTCCAAGGACCCATATGGACCCATCAAGGCACCATCGCCGGAGCGAGAGCAGCGATCGCATCCGGCTGGGAGGCGGGATCCTAGGGCGTCTACCCCACCAATCTCAGGTGGTATACCATATATCTGGGTAATTATAATATTTCACTGACCTGAATTAAGGCCATTTGGGGATAATTTCCCTTATTAACCATGATTTCCAGTGAGGTCGCAGTGAGGTCGTTATAATTTACCCAGATACATGATTCAATGGAGATAACCTAGATAACCACCAAAAAATGTAATTACATGTTCATTGCACTCTGCTCGTGTCCGCAAATCAGACGCCTATTTGCAAGACACGTCTCAAAAGCTATTGTAGCGAGCCATAATGTACAGGTGATATATCCTTAATGATATTACCACAATGTTGATGGAGAACGAATGTCAGGTGATATCCATCAAAACCAATACATGATTCAATGCATTTAACCATCAACAATTGCGAAAAATGCTAATTTAACCACAAAACTTGTATAAATAGGGATATAACTTATAACCATCAACAAATGGCGAAACATGGAAATTTATCAAACAAAATGGTATAAAATAGGGCTCTAACCAGCAAACGTAGTGGATTTGATCATCAAAACCCTTTGTGGCTATCATTTAGCGTAGCTTGGAGCAACCCTGATATATGCTAATAGTAATGAATGTTGATCTAGTCATAATATAGAATGTCAACTCAAGCATGTTGCTGATAGTGAAAATATTGTAGATAAAACTAATGTAATGGTGAATGAGTATAAATTATCAATAGTCATTGTGACTCATAAGCTCCACGAATAAGAGTGTTCAGCTCAAAATAATTTGTATGGTTTATTATATAGATTAGCGGAGCAACATACATATATTGGTGATTACCCAAAATATATCAAAATATTTCAACACAAAAACAAAAAATGATAACTAAATATAGAATACTTATAGTATAATGGAAAGAAACAGACAATGATAATTCTGCCCAACAACTGTATATAGAATCTTTAACCTCAGATCTGGATCTTTGGCCTTGACGTATTCTCAACACAACATGCATGCAACAAATTTGAAAAAATGTCTTTGCGTACTGCAACAACAAAAATGGGTGATTGTGAACAAATACCCAAACTGAACAGAACAGGTGGCACATTGGGACGTGAACAGCTACATATCCATTTTGGGCGAGATTTCACTTGTGGCCATAGCCCTTCTACCAGCAGCGAATGGCTCGGTAGTGGTTAAAATATGTTAAATCTTTGAAGGCTTACCCTCTGGTAATTTAACATAGCTATGGAAAATCACCATTTTGAATGGGAAAATCCACTATAAATGGCCATTTTCAATAGCTATGTTAGTTTACCAGAGGCTTAAAAAAAACAGACATCAACACCAGCCACAGTAAACAAAGGTCCAGGGTGACTCTCCCCACCAAATCTCCCAAGTTTCTCCAACTCTGCAACATCCTGAAAGGCGGCGGTGACTTTCCCATGGTTCAACCGTGAGTTGCCTGTGAAATCAAAGAAATGATGATACGGGTATGGGTCAATACCTATAGATACATTTTTAGTGGGATAAACATCCATAAATCCCAGCTATTTTGATGTGAACTACAGGGGGATAGGGTTTTGACCCCTCCCCATACGGTTGCGTGGCTCAAACATGCGGGAAAATTGGTCTTGCAGTACTGAGGGAATGATCAACTGATCAACCACTTTCTGATTGTCAAAGATAGTTCCCCGAATCATCTGGCACCTAATTCTAAAACGATGACACGCACAAAACTCGTTGTGAATGCCTCTTTCCAACTACGTTCGATACGAAAGTTATCAAAAGTTATACTTCTTGCAAGTGATCTCCACCAACTGACATTTTATCTCACAGATATTTTGACATTCTGCCTGACATTTTATCTGGCATTCTGACATATATTGTGGGTCGCTTCCGACAAGGCCGGAAGCTGGAGAGGACATGGTGCGGAAACTGGTGACGTTGGAAGGAGCGAGCAAAGCTGACATAAAATCTGAAAACCCTCACCTAGCAGGGAGGGAAAAGCATCTTCCAGACCGGTTTGTTTCTTCATTGCTTCTATGTTGTTTGTTTTCCTATTTTTCCTGATGTTTTTTCCAAGTTTTCGCAATGTTTGTGTATGTCTTCCCAATTTTCACCAGTCGCCTTATGTTTTCCGAGTGGTGTTCCCATGATTCCAATAGAGCGCTGTTCAAAACCCCTGTTGATTGATGATTATAGAGGGTTCTACTGCCCAATGCATTGGGGATATCATAATCCATTATATATATTTATATATGGGAATCCCTATTCACAAACCAGTATAGTATTGCATGGAATAAATGTTCGAGTCTTGAGCACTCATGTGGGGATGGGTGAACACCTATCATTTCCCACAAATTGGGGTGATGAACATTCATAAATCCAAGCCTATTTTTGTACTTCAAACACTGGTCAATTCTTGGTGCTTTATAGGGATTTCTAGGGATTCCCAGTTCATGGACTACGAGACTCTCCAATATTTTGGGGACTATAACCCCATGTAGTCAACCATCATCAGCTTTCGAGGTCCCATTGAAAATCCCATCAGAAACCCAAAAAAAAATAATAACATCCCCCTATTCACATATGGGTTTGTCTGAAAATCGTGTACCCCTAAACCCAATGGTTTTGCTGATCATTATCCCTATTAAATGGCTATAATTGGGAATATACCCTATTTTCAGACAAACCCATATGATGGTTGTTGATGGTTTCATAACCCCATGACTAATAATGTGGTTAAAACAATGCCATAAACTACCCATTTGGGAATGGTTGGAATCCCACCTATAAAAATGGTGACGACTGGGGGATGGTTTATGAAATTGTTTTAACCACATTATTACCACTCAGAGTGGGGGAATAATTACCATTAATCATCCATTTACCAGCTTAATCATCCATGTTTCAGCTATTATTCGTTTAATCACATTAACAAATAACACCCAATAATATATCACCATTAACCATTAACCATGATAATAATTAGCCATTCATTGAACCAATAATAATAGTCCATTATTGGTTTAATATGGGTTAATCATAAAAAAAAACATTTCATGGTTTCCTATCCCATTTTCACCTCCTCAACAGCCCAGCAACTTGGATCGTCTCCCGCTCCGTGGGCACCCAGAGGTCCACATGGAAGCCGTCCTCGCGAGGCAACGGTCTGATCGGGAAAGGCACTGGGAAAAAACCATGGGTGTACCATGGGGAAAATTTCACCGGGATTTGTGTCATGAAAATCAAGCTTTGTGGTTTGCCAATCGTTTTTTTTCTGGTGATTTGTGTTGGCGCTGTATCCCGAGAGTCCAAAGATGTCCAAAGCACCAACTCAAAGAACCAGGTAATGATTGGTTGATAACGGGAGGACTTATGAAAATATATGAGGATATAAGAATGTAGTGGGATGAAACCAATCATATGATGCGAGGATATGTTTTGAAGGGGAATAAACATAGGATGCCATCAAAAACAGGAAATTGACCAGCAAAATTTGAACTTGAACAAGAATAGGGATTTTAATTTTAACAAGCAAACACGGGGATTTAAAAAAGCCTCTGTTTTACTCGAAGAAGAACATGCAAAATTGCACTTTAAGGTACTCAAGCCATATCGGCAAAATTGCTATGTCAAGATATTGTGACCGTACTAAAAGACCGATCTGCAAAATGGTAAATCGAGCGCCTAAGTCCAGAGGCTTCAACGGGATTCCTTGGTTCGACTCTCATTTGCGGGTCTTGGCAAGGTCACATCGATACCTGGAAACCTGGCATCTGCGGTATCTACCCAGGAAACGAGAGTAAGTGCTACTCAATTGGTGTTGGTTGTGTACAATCAAGATGAACACAAAACTCAAAGCAATACCTGAAACTCTGAAACTTCCATATAAAATTATACATACTTATTCCACTATATCAATATCTTAAGTTATATATCTTATCTTTTGCAGCCTCAAACACTACCACTTGGCCGGACCTTAGGACCTTGGATCGGTGATCCCACTGATCCCACGCTCCCAGCTTTTGTCCTCCTGGGTCTTGGATCTGCCCCGTCGAGCCTGAAGCGCTTTCTGCGTTTTCTGGGCAGTTGGAAAGCCACAGATATGATTTTGACCATCCTCCCAGTGACGTGACTGATGTTTTATCAACCCAATGAATACTATGCTTATTATAAGATCTTATAAGTATCATGAACCATAGCTGGTTGGTGGTTGACTAACCATCTTGAAAAATATGAGTCAATGGGAAGGATGACATCCCATATATGAAATGGAAAATAAAAAATGTTCCAAACCAACAACCAGTTATTGTGTTGAGAAGTTGAGAATGTAGGGAAGACAAGATTGTCTGGCTTCAACTCAAAGTCTGACAGAATACAAATCTCTGCTTGTCTGGGCCATGAATGAGCCAGAATTGCTGGAGCCCAATCCTACTCTATGGCCATCCCATGATTGCTGGCTATTCTTTCCTCATGTCACATGCCACAATGCGTTGTTGCCACCCGTGCCTTTGCTGCCTCCGCGAGAACTGGCTCTGGCTTAGCAACCTGGTTACTGAGTGATGAAGGCACATCTACTGCAAAAAGATGTGCTTTTTATCTGGGGTTCTCTTCTTTGCTAAGTTTGTTTGGAGTTTGAACGTTTGAACCTTCATTTTTATCCGTGCTACTTGCAGCATGTTGGAAGTATGTGTTCCTTTCTTCCTTGCAGAAAGCTTGAGCATGTGCGGAGTGGTAGTGATGCTTCATGACAGTGGAACGACTGTGATTCATTGTTGTTTGCTTTTGTTCTTCTCCTAGTTACTTCTGTATTATATGCAGTGGATTAAACCATTTATATACAATTTATAATCGTGGCAGGGGTAATAATCTGTTGTATGTAATCACTGCATATCAATTTTCTTCTGCTTCCCTTCCTCTTCACCTCCTCTTCTTGTACTGTGGTGGTGGTGACTGTTGTCCCCTCCCAATTCACCAGGTGACATTGCTGGGCGTCTCGAGGACAAGCTCGGCAGAGTTGCTAATGTCCTGGGCGAAGACATCTGTTGATAAATATAACCCATATTAAACCATAAATATCAAATATCTTAAATAGTTTTTGTTAAATAGTTATCGATGTTAATTATGTTAATTTAAGTGAATTGTGAATATCTACAGACAGTAGATATTATTTGTTATATTATCCTTATATATAATAAATTTGTGTCAGGAACATCGGTGATATATTTGTCAGATCTTTCGATCGGTTTACTTCCCATGATCCTGATTCATCCTGATATATAATCATCACCGTATCAATCGCAACAACAACAGCAATTTAGGACCGGAGAGATATATACATGTCTGTAAGATTATATGCAGTTTTTTCTAGAATTATATACACATGATACCCGTCATCCTTGGTCCTTAAAAAAAAAAACAACAACAACAACAACTTGATGTTGTGATCCTAAGAGATGGGTTTTGACACATCCCCCCAATAGGTAATGTGTAGTAGCAAAAAAGGGATGGAAAGGAGCTGTACTAACAGTGGATTGAACGGCCCGGTCCTTTATGGACACCATCAACCTTCGTATTAAAGGTATAGAGCTGATTAATCATATGGACCGGTTATCATAACTACCTGTATGGTTATCTTTATGTGGCTATGGATCAATACCTATGAAAATACAATTTTTAATGGGTTATTCACATCCATTTTAACCCAGCTATTTTGATGTGAACTACAGGGGTACTATTGGTTTTGACACACTGCCATGTGTATTAATCATGAATCTTTAGCTTTCAGCATGGACCGGGATTGCATCGACGAGGCGCTCTGGCGCTGTGTGACAGACGGCTCCGCTGCTGTGCGAGGAGGAAGTCGTCCTTGGCTGTGACAATCGTTGGCGAGAAAGAAAGGCAATGCCAAGTACACTTTGTATATATATAATATATATATATATGCATAAAACGTGTATACATATATATATATATATATGATATTATATATTATATGATATGTATATAATGATTGATTAGATATGATTGTATGTGCACATTAGACATATCTATACATTATATCGCCAAGACCACCCTTTCATGTATAGGTAAACGACTTTAAACAACCCGTAGATGGTTCATCTTCGAAACACAATTCCGTAGATATTGGATGATATGGAGTCACATCAACTATGGGTTCTAAAATGAGGCAAGCATAAAATGAAGTGAGCAAATTTGGTTGCTCTTTCAAGAATCTAAGTTTCATTAAGTTCTAGAAACACATTTTCTAACTCTATACAGAGATTCTGAAATTCCAAAGATCCCCCTTGAGCCGTACTCCTGAAATTAGAGGGAAAGGAGAAATCATGGGTCTGATTCTGTCTGATATGCCTCATCCCAGGAGGTGGACATTGGACACTGAAAGGATGTCAAGGCATGACATTGGGGATAGCCAATCGCCACTATAAAATCAGTAAATGAATACATAACCAATGGAATTTGTGGAGAAATGTAGGGAACCAGAAGTTGTTGTTTGCCAACTTGAGTATATAAAGCTAACCAACCTTGGGGTACCTGCTGTTGTCCCTCCCCACGACAATTTTGCATACCCTTCAAAAGGCGAAAAAAAACTGATACTTCCCACATAGTTTCACTTACAATATACCCCATATAATTATACATGTATATGTATCGATTTATATACATACAATTCATATAATATTGTATTGTTTTTATGTTCCTTAATCTAGTCAAAACAAATAAACATTAACCCATCGAGGCGAGTTTGCTCCAAGTCTCTGCTTCCGCCATGGATCGAACGATCGTCTCCTGCATCCAGCAGGGAATGTCTTCCGGAACCACTACAGTTAAAAGACAGACACCTTTTGCATGGATGAAAAAAATGTGGAACATATTATATAAGATATTCTATGTTTATTCTGCTCAAAATGTTCAGATCTTCAACTTTTCATAAGTTTTGCGTTTGCCAAAAGATACAAATTAGAAGGAACGGGTACTTGATCTACAGAAAAGGTGGTTACAAAACCGGTTGGGGAGGGTATGGATCAAACGTATAAACTTGAACCCCCTGGCCCTGGCTGGCTCTAAAGTAAACCATCCCAGTTTGGGTCCAATTTAAGTATATTGGATTTCCTGGAGATATTGTGCTTTTAGTTGCCTCAACTACCTAAGACTACTGCCGTGATTCGTGATCTCGTGTTCTTTCACCAATGATTTCCCAGATTTTGATTCTCCACTTCTTGTGACATCCTATATAATGTTGGTTTGTACCCCGAAATCCGATAGGTTCCATTCAAGTCATCAAAGAAATTGCATCAATTCGTATCCAATGTTTACAGATTTTGACTAGTTACATCCCAACTTTACAGTTATGGCCCTTTACCAGTTATAAGTACTGACAACCCCATTTATAGAATGTATAATCCCATTTATAACCAGTTATAACTAATAAATGACCATAACTGTAGAGGACTTCAACCTACCAACGGCTGAGCCCCTGCTGCCCTCAGAGCGCACCGGCCACAGTGCGGCCGCATGGCTCTGCACGAAGCGCACGATGGCCACCATGGCGGCGCCCAGAAAGCCATGGGGTCGCAGGATGATGGCCTCAAGGTGGGAAAAGGAATGGAAAAGTGAGGACTGAAAAATCTCCAAACTAAATGGAGGTTTATAACATTCTATAGCTGGAAAAAAATATTTTGAAATGGTGGATGTTCTATGATGTTCTATGTTTGATTACCGGAGGGTAATGGGAAGGATCAATCACATACCAACTGGGATGCAAATCCAAGTGGTGAAGGTAAATGCGTTTTTGATCCGGAGTTTATACCCCATTGTAAAAGATCGATCACATATCATTGTTGACGCAATTTCTGTAGATTTTGGATGCTTAGGGCAGCCACCCATTCCCTTTCTATTTTTGTTGGATACCCAAGTTCTATAGATTGGATAACCATAGTTACAATATGTTACAATCCATTTATAGATGTAATCAATAGCTTAATGACCATAGTCGCTGGTAGGATCAGTGACTGCTAAGCCCCAGGAAAACTGCTCCTCGGAGGCCGGGCATGGAGGCTGATCATTGTGATCATGATGATGCTGATAATGCTGATGATGCTGATGATGCTGATGCCCCACAACAATCTGAAACACATCTTCAGTAAGTGACCCTTAGCCCATCCTTGGCGCAACATCCCAACACATCTCCCGTGCCGACGCGGTACCGATCCCCTTGCCACGAGAAACAGTAGATGGCCGATTTCATGCCTTGGCGCTGTCAGATGGGTGGCTGACAGCTGGACATTCAATAGTCAGATGGACATAGCTATTGAAAATCACCATTTATAGTGGATTTTCCCACTAATCATGGTGATTTTCCATAGCTATGTTAAATTACCAGAGGGTACTTCAGGATACTTCAGGAGTATTGAGTGGCTGCTGTCCTAAGTGTCCAACTTTGGCGTGCTAAATATTGAGTCATAGCCAATGTGTAGCATGCCGGGGTGCACAGCAAAGACTCGCCCAGCTTGCTGTTTTTGCCAGGGATGGCATTCTGTGCAACTGTCTTTCAACGCTGACTCAAAATTCTTTTGCCAGCGTCATACCCTCAAAAAAATCGCACTACGACTCAAAATCTGCTTTCCTCCAAACGTCCAGCCAAATAGCCAAATGACCAAATGGCCAAATAGCCAAATGGCCATGACCTTTGGCCAGCCAATGAAGGCTGCAAGAAGGGAACGTGAACCCTGCCTGAATTTTAGAGTTTGCTTTGTGCAAACAAATCCTGCGCCTCTTTTTCAGCTTCTTCGATGCTGATGAAGTGTGTGCTTTCCAATTCTGCCTTTCTTGTCTTCAGGCTTCTGATTTCATCCTCCAAGCTTAAGAGCCGATCCTCAACGTTGATGTTGGGCGGGAGGTTGCCGTACTCCGCCTCAATGGTCGCCATCTTCTCAAGCGCTTCACATTTGAACCTCTGCTGCTTCTCTCTTATGTCCCGCTTGTCTTTAATCTCTGCCTGGTAGACCTCTTTTTTGTACCCAAGGCATTCGGCGGTGAGTGTGCCAGGCCCTCGAAACAAGGATGGCAACCACTCGCCGTACTTCCGTTGGAAGATCACCTCAGCTGTATAGTATAGTCTGTCGGCCTTTTGATGGTCACTCTGACCATGCCAATGTCGGACCCACCTGTTCTGATTTTACGAATTGGCACTGGATGAGAGAAGGGGAATATCCAGCCATATCCGTTGCCACCTTTGCCCGCACCTACCTCCGCCGTCGTGAAACTTTGGGGCGCTATCGGCACCAACTCCTTGGTGTCAAGCTTTTCGATTTCTGCCGAAAGACGATTGATGTCTTTGTCTGCTTTTTCTATACCACGGCTCAAGTACTGATACTGTTTCACCTTTGCCGGTGGAAAACTCTCGAGTTGTGCTTTCTCTTTCTTCTTGAAGTCAATGGAGCCCTCTAGGCGAGCTGCCTCCTCTGCATGCCGCTGCTTAACCGCAGCTGTCTTTGGAACCTTCAAGTCGAGCAGTTTTGCTGGGCAAAGATTGCATCTGGCCCAGTTGAGAATCTTCTCGCGAACTTCTAGTTGAACCTTGAGATCCTCTTCGTCTTCGGGTCGAGAATTGATGCAAAACACCTCAGGACTTTCTTCGAGGCCCAAGAAATTCTTGACATCATCTGAGCTTTGCTTGACGATCTTTTCGATTTTTGCTTGACCCTTATCTCCTGCATATTGTTTATCCTTGTGCCTAAAATTGGTGAGCACCAGGACCAAACTAGATGAGCATGCTTCCAGCCCATACAAGTCATAGTAGTACTGGACTGTGTCCTTGTAGTTTTGGTCCAGTCGTGAGTCAATCTTCATGACTAGCACAATGGCATGGGCTTTGCCTAGTTTGTGTGCCTCTTTCACAACGTTGATCATATTTGGCAAGTCTTTCTGGTGGCTTTCATTCAGCCCAGGTGTGTCCATGACGACTTCCTCCCCAGAGCTTCCGAGGCTGCACTGGCGAGTGCGTGACTCGCGGATTTCTCCCACAACGGTGCTTTTCTCCCAAACATGATCCAAGGTTGGATTCACCAGCAAATTCGCAAGGGAGCTTTTTCCATGCCCAGTCGAGCCCAGCAGCAGCACATGCGTCTTCATCTTTGCGCTGTCGCCTTCGGCCATGCTTGCGGGACGCGTTCAGCCTGTTCTGTGGACAGGGTGAAACATGTTTCTTTGATTGTTTCAATGGGTACCATCCCCAATAGAGGTTAATTCTTCGGTATACCCTCAAATAGAGGTCATGTAAAATGACCCCCAGTCATGGTCGCTTAATGGGATGGTTTATCCTTGGGTTTTCCCACATCATGCTGTTTTTTTTTAATTTTGTTCTTTGCCTTGGCAGAAGTCACGTACATGACGCGGCTTGAGGCAGGAGCTGCGATGACGTTCTTTCGTTCATGGTCTTGGCGAAGTTTGCGCCGCCATTTTTTGGACATCCCCAAACGCCGGAAAATATAGGCAAATACTTTGATGAAACTGGGAGTCATCAAATCATCATGTCAAAAGGGATTGAAAAACCACCAGCCGGTTCCCAGTTTTTTCTCACCTGCACTGGAAATCCCCATGTTTGCAGGGTCAACCCTTTAGCATCTAAGAAAGTCGAACGGGGAGCGACTACGGTCAGGATCACCACAGGATGGGCGCATAAAATTCGCTAACGTTGGGGTCACACCGCATGAAAGGAAGCGACAGATGTCCACCAAGTTGCGACAGCGCCACGAGACCTGAGCACACGAGACAGCACACGGCAGGTAACGTGGTCCCATTTCCAAGGCGTGCTGGCGCCTTTAGTGGCCCCTTTGTGGCCTTTGGTGACGGATGACATGGAGATCTCCCTGGGATTCCCTGGAATGGTTATCATCCCTATTAGCTCAACCTTGGTAGATTGTCAGCTAAACAACATACCTATACAGGTCAAATTTGGTGCACGAAAAGGAAGGTGGCTCTTGGTTACATGCAACCCAACGCAAGTCTTGAAAAAATGACCGTACACCCAAATTCTGGGGAAATGAGCTACCTATGTTGTTGCACTGGTTTCATCTGAAAACTCCAAAGCCTCGAACAAACACACGCAAACTTGTCGTTTTCGGGTATGGATCAAGTGAGTCAATGTTTTATAGTCTTCAAAAGCAACAGTATGCAAAGCTTTGTGTTTGACTTCTGTCAAAAAAACAGGCTATAGCTGGGATGGTAATCCCAGGCTATGGGGGGGGGTAGTGCCGAGGTATCACCTAAAGGATTTCAATCAATCCATTTGGTCTTGGATTTGCGCCAAAGGAGTCCCAAATCAAAAGCGCCATTCCCAGCAGATTCCCAGTCCTATAGGATTTGCCAATGGGAACATAAAACATCAGCTTCAGCAAATCTAAGTAGTTCATATGAGTTAACACAACGGACCCATCATCTTGAGTCCTTCAGGAAAGCAGTGGTGTTCCTAACGTTGTCTGTTTGGTGATATGCTCGGCCGAAACACAGCCCTTTTTAGCCACGATAGAGGTACATAGTCATGCAAGAGTGTCTAGACTTCTAGACCATGTCTTATAGGGTTCCCCAGAAAGATAGAACAATGCTTCCAGGATGTTAGTTCGATGATGTTTCCTCCATAGTTTCCAAGTGTCCAACTGTTCTACCTATTCGGGGAATGCTATGAAAAAAAAACGCCCCAGCTGCCATTGACCAATGGCCATCACACCAAGGTGCGTTTCACATGGCGCATGGCAGGGATCGCTGCATCTTGTAGCTGGAAGCTGAAGAGCAAGGTATACTCTGGCCTGGCTGGTGCCCTGCGTATGAAATCCCGATGCCTTGGTCCCCGGTACCTAAGACCTGGGGATTTTTAATCTGTGGCTTCCATGAAGATTTCAAGTATTTACCGATATCTCAGAGATTCTCAAGGGATCAAGAATGTGGGGGTACCCCAAAATAGCTATTTTAGTGCGGAAAATGATTAGAAACAAAGCATTGAATTGTCTGGGGGAATGCCCTATGTTTAAACAAAGCCATGTACGGAAGGCGGGGACCTCTCCATGGAAGCAACAAAAAATGAAGCATATTAATCTGTTGGTTCATCTACTGTATTATGAAATCAAATCAGGTCCAAAAAATAATACTATACAGTAAATATATATCCGCCGACCCTGGCCTTCGCCAAGGCCGGTGTGGATCCTGTCTTTCTTGAACCCTTGCCACGCCCACACTGCAGGCAAACGCCACCACAAGGCCACCGCAATGGCGCAAGAGCACCCCACGGCCGCAGCAATGGCTTCTTTTATAGGCTGCCGTTTGCGAAGCCTCAAACCCTCCAAACCTTCCAACTCCTCCAAAAGTTTGCCCAACTCCGCAGGGAAAAGGCACCCCACGGCCGCAGCAATGGCTTCTTTTATAGGCGTTCAAGGCTGCCATTTGCCAGGCCTCAAAGGTTCCAAACGCTCCACACCCTCGACAAGTCCGCCCAGCTCCGCAGGGAAAAGGTACCCCAACAAGGCCAAGACGCGCCACTCCCGCATGCAAAACGCCCAACTTCGCAGGCAAGCCTCTGTTGTTAGGGCGTTCAAGCCTGCCGTTTGCCAGGCTTCAAACCCTTAAAACGCTTAAAATCCCTCGCCGGCCGTTTGCACCCCACGGCCGCAGCAATGGCTTCTTTTATAGGCTGCCGTTTGCGAAGCCTCAAACCTTCCAAACCTTCCAACTCCTCCAAAAGTTTGCCCGACTCCGCAGGGAAAAGGCACCCCACGGCCGCAGCAATGGCTTCTTTTATAGGCGTTCAAGGCTGCCATTTGCCAGGCCTCAAAGGTTCCAAACGCTCCACACCCTCGACAAGTCCGCCCAGCTCCGCAGGGAAAAGGTACCCCAACAAGGCCAAGACGCGCCACTCCTGCATGCAAAACGCCCAACTTCGCAGGCAAGCCTCTGTTGTTCGGGCGTTCAAGCCTGCCGTTTGCCAGGCTTCAAACCCTTAAAACGCTTAAAATCCCTCGCCGGCCGTTTGCACCCCACGGCCGCAGCAATGGCTTCTTTTATAGGCTGCCGTTTGCGAAGCCTCAAACCCTCCAAACCTTCCAACTCCTCCAAAAGTTTGCCCAACTCCGCAGGGAAAAGGCACCCCACGGCCGCAGCAATGGCTTCTTTTATAGGCGTTCAAGGCTGCCATTTGCCAGGCCTCAAAGGTTCCAAACGCTCCACACCCTCGACAAGTCCGCCCAGCTCCGCAGGGAAAAGGTACCCCAACAAGGCCAAGACGCGCCACTCCTGCATGCAAAACGCCCAACTTCGCAGGCAAGCCTCTGTTGTTAGGGCGTTCAAGCCTGCCGTTTGCCAGGCTTCAAACCCTTAAAACGCTTAAAATCCCTCGCCGGCCGTTTGCACCCCACGGCCGCAGCAATGGCTTCTTTTATAGGCTGCCGTTTGCGAAGCCTCAAACCTTCCAAACCTTCCAACTCCTCCAAAAGTTTGCCCGACTCCGCAGGGAAAAGGCACCCCACGGCCGCAGCAATGGCTTCTTTTATAGGCGTTCAAGGCTGCCATTTGCCAGGCCTCAAAGGTTCCAAACGCTCCACACCCTCGACAAGTCCGCCCAGCTCCGCAGGGAAAAGGTACCCCAACAAGGCCAAGACGCGCCACTCCTGCATGCAAAACGCCCAACTTCGCAGGCAAGCCTCTGTTGTTAGGGCGTTCAAGCCTGCCGTTTGCCAGGCTTCAAACCCTTAAAACGCTTAAAATCCCTCGCCGGCCGTTTGCACCCCACGGCCGCAGCAATGGCTTCTTTTATAGGCTGCCGTTTGCGAAGCCTCAAACCCTCCAAACCTTCCAACTCCTCCAAAAGTTTGCCCAACTCCGCAGGGAAAAGGCACCCCACGGCCGCAGCAATGGCTTCTTTTATAGGCGTTCAAGACTGCCATTTGCCACCCTTCAAACCCCTAAACGCTCCGCAGCGGCCCTACAGACTGTGTTGTGGGGGCTTCAAGCCTGCCGGTTGCCAGCCTTCAAACGCGTCAACCCTCCGCAGCGGCCCTACACACTCTGTTGTTGGGGCGTTTAGCCGTTTGCCGCCCTTCAAACGCGTCAACCGTCCGCAGCGGCACTACACATTCTGTTGGTCGGGGTTCAAGAGTGCCCTGGGCCAGCCTCAGCCCCCGAACGTTTTTTTAAACCGTTAAACTTTCGCAGCGGCCCTACAGACTGTCTTGTCGAGGCTTTGAGAGTGCCGTTTGCCGGCCTTCCATCGGCTCAACCCTCCGCAGCGGCCCTACACAGCACTGTCTTGTTCAAACGGCTCAACCCTCCGCAGTGGCGCTACACACTGTCTTGTTGAAGGCTCAAGACTTCAAACCCCTAAACGCCCTGCAGCCGCCCTACACACTGTCTTGTTGACGCTTCAAGGCTACCATTTGCGAGCCTCCCAACCCCTTACACAGTGTCTTGTTGGGGCTGCAAGAGTGCCAGCCTTCAAACCCCTAAACGCTCCCCAGAAGCCCTACACAGTGTTTTGCTGAAGCTTCTACTCAAAACTCCCGGTTGCCAGCCTTCAAACGCGTCAACTGTCCGCAGCGGCCTTACACGCTCTATTGTTGGGGCGTTACGCCGTTTGCCGACCTTCAGACGCGTACTCTTCGCAGCCGCACTACACATTCTGTCGTTGGGGGTTCACGAGTGCCGTTTGCCAGCCTTCAAACCTTTATTCAAACCGTTACACCCTCCGCAGCGGCTCTACACACTGTCTTGTTGAGGCCTCAAGACCACCGTTTGCTAGCCTTCGATCCCTAGCCACACTGCCTTGTTGGTGCTTCAAAGGAGGGTCGGCGGCACCCGGGCGTTAGCCCATTCTATATATATATATATATGAGGTTTTCCAACATATTAATAGGAATTCGACAGATCTTATTGTAAATCCAAAATAAAATTAATTACGAGTGTGAATCCAACAACAATATGATCACTTTTTCCTTTGTGATTTCGGTACTTTACCACAAATGATGCTGGTCTTGTCTGACAAAGTCGATCATCAAGCCTGATTTACAATACTCTTCATGCATGTTCATAGCACGTTGGAAGGTTTCCCATATATCAACCTAAGGCGAGCTCCTTCCAGTTTGATATTCTGTACTGGTTGGTGGTTTCAACCCCTCTGAAAAATATTAGTCAGTTGAGATTATGATTCCCAATATATGGAAAAAAAAGTGCTCCAAACCACCAATCAGTATAAGTTATCCAAATGGAATTAAATGTTTTGCCGGCCAGAACAAGCCTATGTTCGATGCCCTCTAGGCAACACCAGTGCCAGTGCATTCTACTCTGAGAGCAACATGAAGCATGCATAAGCATGCTGCTTACACAGAATATGGGTGCCAAACGCTGAATCAAACAAAAATATGGGCGGGTCCAACTCGGTCGTAGAGCTGTTACAATTACTTTGGTAAGAAAATTCCATGCTCGCCCCTTCTCCGAAATAATTACTTGTATCGCGATACATGTATCTCGCTCACATCCCCATCCACATGTAAGGTTGTTTCTATCTCTTGTTCAATGTTTCTATCCCGACTCTCGTTGTCTTTTGCTCACAATGTCATGTTGCTTCCCTGTCCTTTCCAGGATAAGCCAGACCCTTGGCAGCTGAAAATGCAAAAATGAATTACTTTCTTCGAGTGATCACCCACTGACATTCTATCTGACAGTCTATCTGGCATTCTATCTGACATTTTATCAGACATACATTCTGACAAATCTCTGGCATTCTGACATTTGATGAGACATATGGCAGTGTGTCAAGACCTTGTACCCCTGGTGAACATCAAAATAGCTGGTAAATGGATGTTCATCCCCCTAAAAATGGTATTAATAGGTATTGATCCATACCCATATATTCTGACTGTCTATCTGGCATCTATTCTGGCATCTCTGACATACCTGGCATATGTTCGGGGACGTGCTCCACTGAATAGGGACCCTCACCTGCCAGGTGGGGAACAAACAGGTCAGGGCGATTTCAAGCCCCGCTTTTGTTGAAGTTGCACCCCATTGACAGCTGATGAAAAACCTGATGTGTTTGGATGCGATGTATCCCAGCTGTATCGGTCTTGGTCATAATTCAAGCAACTCATGCCTAGTAAGAGCCCGCAATTTCATCATAAATCAAAAGATGGAAAAAGATGGCAAATGTCATGTCCATGTCATTCACCACATTAGAATCGGATGTTTTGTTGTTTTCTACCCTTTTCCAAATCCTGGGGGGATGCCCATCCCATCCCATCCCCATGGTTCCCTCGCTCCAAAGCTCCGACGTCGACGTTGCCCGCCTCTGAGCCAGTTCCTTCACCCCGTGTCGAATGGTCTCCACACAGTTCTCGACGTCCTGATCGCTCAAGGCTTGGCGGTGCATCCGCAAATCCACGCGCACCACGTGGTCCTGCGAAGGATTTTATGGAAGGGACAGTTGTTTGGTGGGACTCAAAGTCAGCAAAATTTACTGGTCTGGCTGGTGCTAAACGTAGGGAATGGATGGGAATGGGGGAATGGGATGATTATTGATAATTATTGTGGATCATTCCCGAAAATTCCCTGCTAAGCACCAGTAAGTTTGGGGAGATGGCTAATTTTATGGTATGTTTTGGGACATGTCAGCCAACATGGGGAAATTCACTTCTTTGAAAGTGAAGATTTGCGATTTGGGTTTACTCCCTGAAGCGCCTCAGGACATTGGACCCTGGAAATGTCATAGCCTAACTCCGCCAGTTTCAGACGCACCGGCTTGGATCATCACCAAAATATCAGGGTCGATCATTAGCTGATCACTGTGTTCTCCATGAAAATTGACAGAAATTGGGAATAAACCACATTTCCACATTTATCAGGCATCGATGTTGGTAGACATGGAGGTGTCATCTCTTCAAGGAAATCCTCTGTGACGGTTGCCTGTTGAAGAATAGAGGAAATGCAGTTATAGTATGTTATAGTTGTTAGTTGTCTACCACTCCACTATCCATCAACATCCTTGTGCAACTGTTCCATAAAAATAAACTTCACAAACTGGAAGCACGAGCATTAGCAAAAACTTGGGAAAGCTATTTGAAACTCATTACCTCCAGACAAACTGCTTTTTCAGATGTCTACCAACCAACAACCAACAACCAACAACCAACAACCAACAACCAACAACCAACAACCAACAACCAACAACCAACAACCAACAACCAACAATAACCAACAACCAACAACCAACAACCAACAACCAACAACAACAACAACAACAAAAACGAAAGCACCAGAAAATATCCCATCTTTGATGCTTAGTTTTTTTTCGCCAGTAAAATTTCAGACGCTCATAAGGTTCCACACCCATTTTTCCCGGTTTTTTGAGGGAAAAAATTCTCCAGCGCCGGTCGGAGGCCTCCAAGGTAAAGGTCTCCAAGCTGAAGCTCTCGCTGGCCATGGAGATCATCTCCAACGGCGGCAGCTCCGGCTTTTCCGCCTGCGTTTCGTATAAGTCGTGGGGAAAATCAAGCAAAAAATGATCAAAAATGACGTGTTCTTGGAGAGGACAGATAAAATTACCTGGATGCAGTTATACACACACACATATAATATATATATATCTATATCATTAGATATCTATCGATATGATATCCATTCACATACTACAAACATCGCCCCCCCCCCAAAAAAAAAGGGCCATGTTTCGCCATGTTTCCATGCCCCACCTGCAATGTCCAGTGGCCGGTCCAAGCAATGCCTGACATGGCTGACATGGCAATGAAGAATGCACCTTGGCAAAGAATTCATGTATCTGTATCTATGTACATGTTATGATTAGTTTATAATCTTTAATGATGATAATGATAGTAAGTAGTAACAATAATGATAATAGTAATAATGATAATAGTAATAATGATAATAGTAATAATGATAATAGTAGTAATAATAATAGTAAGGATGAAATAAAGGCAATGATAATACTTCATATAGTTTTATACTGGTAATATTGATAATAATAATAATATTTAATGGCAAAGACTGTGCCTCTGAGCATTCTGCCAAACCTTAGGAACAAAATAGTGAAAATAACAATTGCAAATCATATAATGACAGTAACAATGATAATAGCGATAGTAATGATAATAATCGTAGTGAAAATAACAATAAATGTTACATTATATATATATATATTAATATTATATATATATATACATTCTATACATTAATGCATATATATAATACATAGTATGTAATTATGTCCTGTGTATATTACTGCATGTAAATGTATACTAATACATGTTTACATGTATCCTTTGGATTTCCCGGTTGACCGGAAAAAAAAAAAACGATTTTCAGGTGCCTGAAGAGACGCCTTCCCAGGCACCAAGAGGGGGAACCCGCGGATCCTGCCCCATCGGGCATCGACATGTCGGGGTTTAGAATTCTTTGAATATGTTCCACTGATAAGATTTACTGTTTTTAGAAATGTTGAAAAATTGTTAGTAGATTTTATTGCTCCACTGAAGATATACACTGAAATCGTTGTTTACCGTTGTTTACCTACAATAATTAGGGAAAAATCATCCACCCAATAGTGAAATTGTCTGAATGAGCCTCCGTAAGGGTGTGTCTGAAAGACACGACAAGGCCAGTGGATTTAGGCATATCCTATTGTTGCACAAACCCATATAAGGAATTATAAGGATATATAATTCAAAGCTAAACCAGCCTTTTAAGAATGTTTGGTGGAGGAAAAGGAATTATGGATCATGTACGGGTGTGGGTAAAAGATGTTTCTGCATTTCAAATGTTTCAAAATGCTTTGCAGGTGCTGAAACATTGAGGGCCCCTCATTGGCCCGCAGATTATCATCTTAGCGGTTCCCTCAGGGTATGCTTGGATGTGGCATAACGGGGCCAACTCGCCAACGCTCTGCAACAACATAAGATAAAAATCAAATTCCAGGTGATCATAAATCAGATACCCTCTGGTAAACTCACATAGCTATCCAAATTTGTCATTGATAGTCGAACTACCTATATGTGATATACCCTTTGGTAAACTAACATAACTATGGAAAATCACAAAATTCTCAATGGGTAAATCCACTATAAATGGGAATTTTCAATAGCTATGTTAGGTTACCAGAGGATATATGAAAAAAAGACATGGCCAGGGATTGAATCCATAAAAACCCAAACCTGTGAGCATCAAAATAGCTGGTTAATATACATGTATTTAATAAATAGTATATATATATATTCAATGTATACCAACTTGTGCTTACGTGGTGGTTTGGGTTGGTGGTTTGGAAGTCTGAGAATTGATGGTTTTGTAAACTTAGAAAAAAAATATCAAACCCTGCAAACAATGAAATCATTGAAAATAAAGAAAACAAATTTAAAACAACAATGATTGCTACCAGATTAGGTTTGTTTTTGAATTGATATTCATCTTGTATCTCGGAAAATGTACACTTATTTAATGTCCAATAATTTCACGTGATTGTTTAATTGATTATTGAATTCTAGTGCATTATTCTGTACTTGTCTATTTATTTTTGAAATGGGGGAAAGACAGTTTCTTGAAACCGTGTGGTCCTATCCTGTACTCTGACTGATGCAGGTTTCATGGATTTTCCATGGAGCTTCCATGCAGGTTTCATGTTGGTTACATGCTGGGTTTGCAAATTTAGCTTACTGGTGGGTAACCTCCATGACAACTCCCTGGAACCTGCATGGAATCTGCATGGAACCTCCATGGAACCTGCATCAGTCAGAGGGCATGATAAAACCAACAAGTGTAGATAGAGGCACCACCTCCATAACGCACATGGAAACTGCATGAAATTCTACATCAATTCTCCATGGAACCTGCATGGAACCTCCATGAAAACTGCATCAGTTAGAAGGCGCCATGCAACCATCACGTTTAGACACAAGAAACAACGGTTACCTACATGAAACCTCCATGAAACCTACATCAATTCTCCATGGAATCTGCGTGGATACTCCATCAAGGAAGACGCCATACAATCATCAGGTGTAGATACAGGGAACATGTTCGAGTTTTTTTAAATGGAAACTACATGGAAACCATCAGACGCTTTGATGCAAATCGATCGCAAATCGATCGTAACTAAATTGATCGCACAAAAACTGTTATAGCATCTGTGCGTTTTGATGTCGTTTTCACTAGGCCATCTGTCTTTGCTGAGGTTTCTGTACTGGAAAAGTCAAATTCTTCCAGAATTTCTATTTATCCTGAGTGTTCGTTGCTTGGCGGTTTTGATGTTGGCAAGGCCAGGGTTTCAAGTGTGGACTTTGTAATGTGTCATTTTGATGTAGGATTTCGACGTTGTTTTGCGATCATTTTGCGATCCTTTGTCGATCGATTTGACATCGGCCTAAAAACGAATAAGAAGGCCATAAAACAACATCAATATGACATCGACAAGAACCTAAGGCCTGTAGAAAACGGCACTTGCCAATTCATATATTCATGTGGTTTGGTGATCATAGAATCCAAGATGACATAAGTGAGTTCATTTCTCTTGGTGGTTTCGTCTTTTAATTAACTTAGTTTGCAATATTATATGTTAGGAACCTCCATCAAGTTGACACCGAGACAGACATAAAACTCCATCAAAATGACATCAAACAAAAATTCACATTTGAAACCTTGCCAAAATCGAAACCACCAAGCAGTGAACACTCAGGATAAATAGAAACTCTGGAAGAAATTGACTTTTCCAGTGCAGAAACAAAAAGGGACATCAACAAAGACAGATGACCTAGTGAAAACGACATCAAAATGCACAGATGCTATTACAGTTTTTGTGCGTTTTTTTACGATCAGTTTACGATCGATTTACGATCGATTTGCGATCAATTTGCGTCAAAGCGTCTGATGGTTTCCACGTAGTGTCCACTAAAAAAAAGTCTCTGTTCCCTGTATCTACACCTGGTGCTTGTATGGCGCTTCTTGATGGAGTATCCATGCAGGTTCCATGGAGAATTGATGTAGGTTTCATGGAGGTTTCATGGAGGTTTCATGTAGGTTCCGTTGTTTCTTGTGTCTAAACGTGATGGTTGCATGGCGCCTTCTAACTGATGCAGTTTTCATGGAGGTTCCATGCAGGTTCCATGGAGAATTGATGTAGAATTTCATGCAGTTTCCATGTGCGTTATGGAGGTGGTGCCTCTATCTACACTTGTTGGTTTTACCATGCACTCTGACTGATGCAGGTTCCATGGAGGTTCCATGCAGATTCCATGCAGGTTCCAGGGAGTTGTCATGGAGGTTACCCACCAGTAAGCTAAATCAGCAAACCCAGCATGTAACCAACATGAAACCTGCATGGAAGCTCCATGGAAAATCCATGGAAACTCCATAAAACCTGCATCAGTCAGAGTACTGTACAGGATAGGACCGCAATGGAATTTGTTTCAAGAGAAACTGTTTTTTTTTCTCTGCTTTGCTTTCATGTAGATTATTTAGATAGAATAGATAGGTAAGGTCACTTGGATAGGGTAGGCATATTAGATAGATCAGATAGAAAAGGTAGACTAGGTGGATTAGATAGATTAGATAGATTAATAGACAGACTTGAAAGATTAGAGAGGTTGGATTAGATTAGCTTAGATTAGATTAGATAAGATCAGAGAAGATTAGACTAGTTTGATAGACAAATAGACAAACAAATAAATAGATAGATAGATTATGTAGATATATGAGATTGGTTGATAGATTGATAGATTGATAGATTGATAGATTGATAGATTGATAGATAGATAGATATATAGACAGACAAACAAATAGATATATTGGATATGATATATTAGATAAGTAAATAGATAGACAGACAGACAAACAAACAGATAGACAGATACTTAGAAAGATAGATTAGATTAAGATTTAGATTAAGATTAAGATTTAGATTTAGATTTAGGATTCAGATTTAGGATTTAGATTTAGGATTTAGATTTAGGATTTAGAATTAGGATTTAGAATTAGGATTTAGAATTAGGATTTAGAATTAGGATTTAGAATTAGGATTTAGAATTAGGATTTAGTTTTTTTATCAATTAGAATTTAAAATTAGGATTTAGAATTAGGATTTAGAATTAGGATTTAGAATTAGGATTTAGAATTAGGATTTAGAATTAGGATTTAGAATTAGGATTTAGAATTAGGATTTAGAATAAGGATTTAGAATTAGGATTTAGAATTAGGATTTAGAATTAGGATTTAGAATTAGGATTTAGAATTAGGATTTAGAAATAGGATTTAGAAATAGGATTTAGAATTAGGATTTAGCATTGGGATTTAGCATTAGGATTTAGCATTAGGATTTAGCATTAGGATTTAGCATTAGGATTTAGCATTAGGATTTAGCATTAGGATTTAGAACTAGGATTTAGAATTAGGATTTAGAATTAGGATTTAGAATTAGGATTTAGAATTAGGATTTGGAATTAGGATTTAGAATTAGGATTTAGGATTTAGAATTAGGATTTAGAATTAGGATTTAGAATTAGGATTTAAAATTAGGATTTAGAATTAGGATTTAGAATTAGGATTTAGGATTTAGAATTAGGATTTAGAATTAGGATTTAGAATTAGGATTTAGATTTAGGATTTAGATTTAGGATTTAGATTTAGGATTTAGAATTAGGATTTAGAATTAGGATTTAGATTTAGGATTTAGATTTAGGATTTAGAATTAGGATTTAGAATTAAGATTTAGAATTAGGATTTAGAATTAGGATTTAGAATTAGGATTTAGAATTAGGATTTAGAATTAGGATTTAGAATTAGGATTTAGAATTAGGATTTAAAATTAGGATCTAGAATTAGGATTTAGAATTAGGATTTAGAATTAGGATTTAGAATTAGGATTTAGAATTAGGATTTAGAATTAGGATTTAGAATTAGGATTTAGAATTAGGATTTAGAAATAGGATTTAGAATTAGGATTTAGAATTAGGATTTAGAATTAGGATTTAGAACTAGGATTTAGAACTAGGATTTAGAACTAGGATTTAGAACTAGGATTTAGAACTAGGATTTAGAATTAGGATTTAGAATTAGGGATTTAGAATTAGGATTTAGAATTAGGATTTAGAATTAGGGATTAGAATTAGGGATTAGGATTAGGGATTAGAATTAGGGACTAGAATTAGGGATTAGAATTAGGGATTAGAATTAGGGATTAGAATTAGGGATTAGAATTAGGGATTAGAATTAGGGATTAGAATTAGGGATTAGAATTAGGGATTAGAATTAGGGATTAGGATTAGGGATTAGGATTAGGGATTAGGATTAGGGATTAGGGATTAGGATTAGGGATTAGGATTAGGGATTAGGATTAGGGATTAGGATTAGGGATTAGGATTAGGGATTAGGATTAGGGATTAGGGATTAGGGATTAGGATTAGGGATTAGGGATTAGGATTAGGGATTAGGATTAGGGATTAGGATTAGGGATTAGGATTAGGATTAGGGATTAGGATTAGGGATTAGGATTAGGGATTAGGGATTAGGATTAGGATTAGGGATTAGGATTAGGGATTAGGATTAGGGATTAGGATTAGGGATTAGGGATTAGGGATTAGGGATTAGGATTAGGGATTAGGGATTAGGGATTAGGATTAGGGATTAGGATTAGGGATTAGGGATTAGGATTAGGGATTAGGATTAGGGATTAGGGATTAGGATTAGGGATTAGGATTAGGGATTAGGGATTAGGATTAGGGATTAGGATTAGGGATTAGGGATTAGGATTAGGGATTAGGATTAGGGATAAGGATTAGGGATTAGGGATTAGGGATTAGGATTAGGGATTAGGATTAGGGATTAGAATTAGGGATTAGGATTAGGGATTAGGATTAGGGATTAGGGATTAGGATTAGGGATTAGGATTAGGGATTAGGGATTAGGATTAGGGATTAGGATTAGGGATTAGGATTAGGGATTAGAATTAGGGATTAGAATTAGGGATTAGAATTAGGGATTAGAATTAGGGATTAGGATTCGGGGTTAGGATTAGGGATTAGGATTAGGGATTAGGATTAGGGATTAGGATTAGGGATTAGGATTAGGGATTAGGATTAGGATTAGATTAGGTTAGATTTAGATTAGTTAAACAAAAAAATAAAACAAATACAAAACACACAAAACAAAAACACATTTTTCAAATCTATTTTGCACATAACTCTGATTTCCCAGACTTCCAAACCACCAACCCAAACCGCAGTTCCGGGGCCCAGGGCCCCCAGGGCCCCCATCTCCCTGACGAACTCGCCATGGCTACCCATCAAACTCACTGGTGGTTATGAATGTCATTTTGATCGCATAATCATACATGCTTGGTGGTTTTTACCGTCATCTTGGTGGGTTTTACCATCTTTTTACCATCCCCCCAGTGACGTGACTGACGTTTTATCAAGCCAATGAAGACTATGCTAGTATCATGAACCATAGCTGCTTGGTGGTTGACTAACCATCTTGAAAAATATGAGTTCGTCAATGGGAAGGATGACATCCCATATGTGAAATGGAAAATAATCCAAATGTTTGAAACCACCAATAAGATACCCTTACCCTCCGGCAATCAAATGTTCGAGGTGCTGGAACAGTGCCTTTAAAACAGTCATGATGTTCCATGAAAACCTGCATTTAAAGTGCTCATGATCCCAAAATAATGCATTGAAATTGAAATCCCATTGTAGTGGTCCCGTGTTATCTGTCATCCATTGAAATCCATTGAAATCCATTGAAAATTGATCCACAATAATCGTCAACAATCCCATTTTGAGTCATAAACAAAAAACATGAAACATAAAACTATATAAAACTTACCATTAAAATCCCATTAATCTCACTAAAATCCCATTCAAACTATATAATCCCATAAAAATCCTCCAAAACCCCCCTGTCAGGCCTGCTCCGCCAAAAGCGTTGAGGCCTGGATCTTGACTCCCCCCTGAGTGGAGCAGCACGAGGGGCTGCAATGGGCTGGACACCCTGAAAAATAAGCTGGCGATTGGTCAAGATCTACCCCGATCAATGGAGAAAAATGAATGAACACTGCCAAAAATTACTAACATCTCTGGTTTTGGATGTTTATCAGTCCATAGAATCTTACCAATCTTACCACAACATGACCAAAATCATCCAAATCTCTGGTTTGGGCTCTGGTTTCATGGGTGTTTCATTTTGACGCAACTGGCCGCAACTGGAGGGAACGAGAAAAAAAACAAAATCTGAACTCGCAGTGGGCCTCCTTGATGTGCCACCCATGTCGTCCAAAGCTCATAATGATGTGCACCTGCGAAGCTGCACATGGTGGAGATGGGCTTCTGGTGATCAAAAAATTGGGACTCCCAAGTGCATAGTCTTGAAAATCGCATCAGAATTGGACAAATCTGTAGTCTTCAAGCCAAAGATGAAGTCGAGCCAGTCCACCTCCTAGGGGTCTGTGGGTCACTCAGTCGATTACAACATAATTATAACTATAAGCCCAGCCACAACTGGACATTGCCCCTACTTCACCCTACCACTGGGGTGCACTAACCCACTTACCATCCCCTGGTTTAACAGTTGCCAACGAAAGCGATTGCCCATTTAAAGATGCATAAAGATGCTACTAGTATAAACAGATTATAAACAGATGGTTTTACTTCGTGAAATGAAGGCTTCCTAAAATGGAGGTACCTCCATAAATCATCCAAGTCATCAGGTTATATTTTGCTATTGAAACAACCAGGCTGGTGACTTAGGGATCCCCCATAGCTTAAGCAACCCCCCTTAAATGGGGACCCTAAAACAGCCCTGGCACAGCTGGTGGCCTTGGTCGCTTGCTGCGCGGGCAGTCGCGTCATGTGCCAAGTGTTGTCCCCGTCTTCGGTGAAGGTCATCACCTCCATGATCCGTGGCACCCGTGGGCCAAGGCTAGGGGACTGTTTTTTCGTGTCCTATGTGTATCTCTGAAAAAAAGGAAAGTCATGGAAAGTCTAGCAGTCTAGTAGTCCAGGATTAGTCTAGTAGCTCTTTGGGAACACTTCGTATGAGTTCATCGTTGTCTGGTGGAGAAACCAGGCTATGATCGGCTGCGCCTGGCCGCCGGTCTGGTGCACTAAGTACAGCGTCGCCATGGTGGCGTCAAAAGAGTTGGCTGATACAAAGCTATTTTAAGGTGCTTTCACAGCCCGAAAATATGGGAACATTATAGTACATTATAGTCATGGTAGGTTTTGAGATGTTTTGAGTGGTTTTGAACAACATTTGCAGTTGATGATGGCTGAGTGACTCCTAGGCTTCTACCGGTGGCTTGGCTGTTTGGATATTGTTCACTACTATTGGAGGTTTCACCATCTGCACGTGAGGTAGATATCTTTCTCCAGGCTCAGTTGGAGTGGAGTTGATGGGTCTGGCGACACTCCTTGGACCTGAACATCGCTGGTCCAGGAAGCTGCTAACTGAGTTGGGGAACAAGGATGACGGCTGATGACGCTGGATCTTCTGTGTTTGGTGAGGGTATCGAAAACCTCGGGGCTATCGATGTTCCTTGGAGGCTTCCGAATGGGGTTCCCACATCATTCATTCCACCCTTCTGTTCCCATCCCAAAAGACTTGCAAACTCGTGGAGGATTTTATGCCTAATTTCATGCCATGGATTGCCTTACGGTAATTTACCCTGTCAATTTCAGGGAACAACTTTCAAACTTTCATCCATGTTTAAAAAAATATATATATATATATACATATAATTATATTGAATAAATGTTGCCCAATATGGTGGGCTTTGATCACTGGCCAAGGCCACAGTTTGGCGCCACCAGAAAGTCTGGTAACCTTCGCAAGCGAACCGGGGCCGGCACGGTGGTGGCGCTGCTGGAAGTTGTGGGTACGTGGGGGGAGGGGGCGGCCTGCTGGAGATTCAAGGCGGCTCTGGATTTCAACAGGAAAAATGTGGGACTTAACCAGCGAACATGGTGGAAAGATTTGGATACAACCCGAAAAAAACGAAAAAAAAAACTCAACCACTAAACAACTTCACATCATTGATTCTGTTATGTTCTGTGTAAAATTATGATTTAGTTCCAAACGTGAAGGTGGCATGTAAGGGATGATGCCCATGACTAAGTCATCGCTGCGTTCCCATCTGACCCTCCGGGCAAGGCTTGTGTCATCAGGTTGCCTCATGAAAGGCGATGAGGACAGGAGAATTTGAGGCACTGGTATAGTATTAGGGCATTTAGGGCATATTAGGGCTATGCGACTTCCAGTAAAATCAGTCAATTGGTGTCATGATTGTTTTAATTCTGGGGAGCTGTTAATTTGTAGCAACCCTCAGAGATAGAAATCCGCCGACCCCGGCCTTCGCCAAGGCCGGGGCGGCGCCTGGGACCACCGCAGGTGTGGAACTTTTCCAACACGCCCAGCACGCAAAAGCTACCACAAGGCCACAGCAATGGCTCAAGGGCACCTTCCGGCCGCAGCAATGGCTTCTTATAGGCGTTCAAGGCTGCCGTTTGCCAGGCCTCAAACCCTCCAAAGCCCTCCAAACGCTCCAAAAGTTCGCATAGTCCCGCAGGGACAAGGTACCCCAACAAGCCCAACACGCGCCACTCCCGCACGCAAAAGCCACCACAAGGCCACAGCAATGGCTCAAGGGCACCTTCCGGCCGCCGCAATGGCTTCTTATAGGCGTTCAAGGCTGCCGTTTGCCAGGCCTCAAACCCTCCAAAACCCTCCAAACGCTCCAAAAGTTCGCATAGCTCCGCAGGGACAAGGTCCCCCAACAAGCCCAACACGCGCCACTTCCGCACGCAAAAGCCACCACAAGGCCACAGCAATGGCTCAAGGGCACCTTCCGGCCGCAGCAATGGCTTCTTATAGGCGTTCAAGGCTGCCGTTTGCCACGCCTCAAACCCTCCAAACGCTCCAAAACCCTCCAAACGCCCAAAAGTTGCATAGTCCTCAAGGGCCCCTTCCGGCCGCAGCAATGGCTTCTTATAGGCGTTCAAGGCTGCCGTTTGCCAGGCCTCAAACCCTCCAAAACCCTCCAAACGCTCAAAAAGTTCGCATAGCTCCGCAGGGACAAGGTACCCCAACAAGCCCACACAACACTGCCACAAGACAAGTCCGCACGCAAAAGCCACCACAAGGCCACAGCAATGGCTCAAAGGCACCTTCCGGCCGCAGCAATGGCTTCTTATAGGCGTTCAAGGCTGCCGTTTGCCAGGCCTCAAACCCTCCAAACGCTCCAAAACCCTCCAAACGCTCCAAAAGTTCGCATAGCTCCGCAGGGACAAGGTACCCCAACAAGCCTAACCAAACCCTCCAAAACCCTCCAAACGCTCCAAAAGTTCGCATAGCTCCGCAGGGACAAGGTACCCCAACAAGCCCAACACGCGCCACTCCCGCACGCAAAAGCCACCACAAGGCCACAGCAATGGCTCAAAGGCACCTTCCGGCCGCAGCAATGGCTTCTTATAGGCGTTCAAGGCTGCCGTTTGCCAGGCCTCAAACCCTCCAAAACCCTCCAAACGCTCAAAAAGTTCGCATAGCTCCGCAGGGACAAGGTACCCCAACAAGCCCAACACGCGCCACTCCCGCACGCAAAAGCCACCACAAGGCCACAGCAATGGCTCAAGGGCACCTTCCGGCCGCAGCAATGGCTTCTTATAGGCGTTCAAGGCTCCGTTTGCCAGGCCTCAAACCCTCCAAAACCCTCCAAACGCTCCAAAAGTTTCGCATTCAGGTTCCGCAGGGAACAAGGTACCAACAAGCCCAACACGCGCCACTCCACGACGGCAAAAGCCACCAACAAGGCCACCAGCAATGGGCTCGAGGGCACCTTCCGGGGCCCGCAGCAAGGCTTCTTATATGTTCGTCACATAGGGCTTGCCGTTTGCCAGGCCTCCTCAAACCTCCAAAAACCCTCCAAACGCTCCAAAAACCCTCCAAAACGACTCCAAAAGTTCGCATAGCTCGCAGGGACAAGGTACCCCAACAAGCCCAACACGCGCCACTTCCGCACGCAAAAGCCACCACAAGGCCACAGCAATGGCTCAAGGGCACCTTCCGGCCGCAGCAATGACTTCTTATAGGCATTCAAGGCTGCCGTTTGCTAGGTCTCAAACCCTCCAAACGCTCCAAAACCCTCCAAACGTTCCAAAAGTTCGCATAGCTCCGCAGGGACAAGGTACCCCAACAAGCCTAACCAAACCCTCCAAAACCCTCCAAAACCCTCCAAACGCAAGGGCACCTTCCGGCCGCAGCAATGGCTTCTTATAGGCATTCAAGGCTGCCGTTTGCCAGGCCTCAAACCCTCCAAAACCCTCCAAACGCTCCAAAAGTTCGCATAGCTCCGCAGGGACAAGGTACCCCAACAAGCCCAACCAAACCCTCCAAAACCCCCCAAACGCTCCAAAAGTTCGCATAGCTCCGCAGGGACAAGGTACCCCAACAAGCCCAACACGCGCCACTCCCGCACGCAAAAGCCACCACAAGGCCACAGCAATGGCTCAAGGGCACCTTCCGGCCGCAGCAATGGCTTCTTACAGGCGTTCAAGGCTGCCGTTTGCCAGGCCTCAAACCCTCCAAAACCCTCCAAACGCTCCAAAAGTTCGCATAGCTCCGCAGGGACAAGGTACCCCAACAAGCCCAACACGCGCCACTCCCGCACGCAAAAGCCACCACAAGGCCACAGCAATGGCTCAAGGGCACCTTCCAGCCGCAGCAATGGCTTCTTATAGGCGTTCAAGGCTGCCGTTTGCTAGGCCTCAAACCCTCCAAAACCCTCCAAACGCTCCAAAAGTTCGCATAGTTCCGCAGGGACAAGGTACCCCAACAAGCCCACCACGCGCCACTCCCGCACGCAAAAGCCCCCACAAGGCCACAGCAATGGCTCAAGGGCACCTTCCGGCCGCAGCAATGGCTTCTTATAGGCGTTCAAGGCTGCCGTTTGCCAGGCCTCAAACCCTCCAAAACCCTCCAAACGCTCCAAAACCCTCCAAAACCCCCCAAATGCTTCCCTGCAGCTCCCATGCCGTTTGCCAGCCCCGGCATTGTCCTTTTATGGTGGTTCAAGCCTGCCGTGTGCCCGCCCGCAAAACCCCCCAAATGCTTCCCTGCAGCTCCCATGCCGTTTGCCAGCCCCGGCATTGTCCTTTTATGGTGGTTCAAGCCTGCCGTCTGCCAGCCCGCAAAACCCCCCAAATGCTTCCCTGCAGCTCCCATGCCGTTTGCCAGCCCCGGCATTGTCCTTTTATGGTGGTTCAAGCCTGCCGTTTGCCAGCCCGCAAAAGGCGATGATGAGGCGCCACAACTCGTGGCCCTGGCGCGGCAAGCTCAGCAGCTTCCGGAGATCAGTACCTTTGATTATCCCTGAGTTTCAAAATCAATGATACTCTACCACCAATCATACAATGATAGGAGGCCAAATATGCTTAAAAATATGAACTGAGGTCTGACTTCAAATTTGTAGCGTCATACTCATTGCATACACATTGCACCTTGTGATTGAATTGCGGCATGTTGGGGCATATCAAAACATATATGTCCATGTCTGTCCCACCATGTACCACCATCGACCTCAGCACGGCCCGCCGGAAGCGACGCGCCACTGACCCACTGAACCGCTGATGCCGTCGGATGCCGTCGGAGTATCTATCTCTCCCTCTCTATCTATCTATCTCTCCCTCTCTATCTTTCTCTCCCCCTCTATCTATCTCTCCCTCTCTATCTATCTATCCATCTATCTATCTATCCATCCAGCTATCTATCCATCTATCTCTCCATCTACTTATCTGTCTATCCAACTGTCTATCTATCTATCTGTCTATCTCTCTCTCTCTCTCTCTATCTCTCTACCTATCTATCCATCCATCCATCCATCCATCCATCCATCCATCCATCCATCCATCTATCTATCTCTCTCCCTCTCTCTGCAGGACCCCCCAAATAGGGGGGGTCGGCGGCACCCGGGCGCTAGCCCATTCTATTATATATATATACACTATTGTTGGACTCTGCTTTGATCTGATTCGTACTTTCACACTGTGTACAGGAGAAAAGTCGACATGCCAGCCCGTGCTATTTCTTACATTCCAAATCCACAGCATTGTAGGTAAAACCCGTAAGTTCA